TTTCTGTGTTACGTTCGCTGCTACATGACACAATTGGCACTTCTTGTGTCCACTTCTTGTGTCCACTTCTTGTGTCCAGGGTGATTCTTCCATCTAATTCCGGGTGTGTGGTGGGGGACGTGTCTGTTATGTAATATCCACGTGACAGCGCAGCAAGAGAGGAATGATAAGTTGAGTTACAAAACAACACCCATCAAAATATTAACCGAAACTACGTTGACTGATTAATCACTGTTATCTTGCACGGTGGATTTGTCAAAAGTAAGTGTTTACCTATCCTGGTTTACTAAAGCAGACGGAATACACCCATATATGGGCGTGGAGTGCCTGTGTTAAACAACATACTTTGTTCAAAGAATCAGCCAATAATAGTTGACTGATTGCTCATTGTTATCTAAATCAAAATAGTTGTCACGTAAGGCTATATACATTTTATAATATTAGATTGTTACAAAGACACGTGACACGTGACACGAACAAGTTTCTTTGTATAGTGGAAGTTCTACGGGATATTGTTCGTTCGTGTGGATATTGACGGATACATTCCTCGAACAAGGTGACTGAAGAACGCAGAATAAAGTCTCGGACAACCCTAAGCAGTGTCTACTTTTCAAACCGTTTAATATTTGCAGTTAAATTTACACCATCAGATGGAAAATTTACTATTCTACATCTCTGCGTAATATTATAGCCGGAGGTTGATCCAGTGCCGCGTGAGTGCAATTTTCGCACAACCTTCACTTTTCAGATCTTACGAAAATGTTCATCAGAAAACAAACTCGGCATCCGGACGGTTAACGCCGCACTCAGCAATATTCCACCTATATGAAGGCGGTCTGTAACCAGAAAATCCAGTGATTGACATTTTGAGCATTGATCACGCAGTTGGGATTCGATGACATGCATCAACCAAGTCAGCGTGCCTGACCACCCGATCCCGTTAGTCGCCTCTTTCAAGCATAGTCGTCTTTTACGGCAAGCATGGGTTTCTGAAGACCTATTCTACACCGCATCTTCACTGGTCCGTCTTCTTAATGAGTGTGATGATACGCCCTTACACTATCAATAAAAGTGATAAATGCTCTTACTGTCATCTTCCCGAGGCAAGAGCGTCCACTAGCCTTTTTATCAAAGTAGAAACTAGGCTTTGATTAGTGGACACGCTTGCCTCGGGAAGATGATGACTATTGGCGCAGCTTTCTGGGATATCATCCGGTTACTCACGGGGGAATATGTTGTGTCATGTGACCTAGGTACTTGTATACTAAAGGGTAGATAGTAGATAATAGAAGTGACATGTGACGTGGGTTGGTAGATAATACGTGTGTCATGTGACCTGGGTAAATATTAGGAGTGTCATGTGACCTGGGTCGATGTATTGGGAGATAATACGTGTGTCATGTGACCTGGGTAAATATTAGGAGTGTCATGTGACCTGGGTCGATGTATTGGGAGATAATACGTGTCATGTGACCTGGGTCGATGTATTGGGTAGGAAAACTTTAATTCTCAGAGATAACATACATACCTGCTTTATGAAATCATTAATGAAAACACAAATCACAAAGAACTTGGTCATTATCTAACATGTGTTTTATTGTAAAGATTCCACAAAGTCAACATGTCAAGCTGTAACAACCTCTAGTCACCATCCGTGGCTCTCTCTTTCATAGCTGACTTCCAAGTAATGGCGTCCGTGATCCACGGCACTTGACACATGAACACTCCGTGAGTGAGTTCTTTGAATAATATGTCAGTTTTGAAGACACAATGTCATTTAGAAAGTGGTCAAATGTAACAAATGTTATATTAGGGATAACACTTTCTGAGTAAAGTACAGATTCTCGTACTTTTTGGGGTTGATTAACTAATTGCCATGGTAGCTGTGGGAGCCGTGCCAATTTACACTTGTCAGAGGGGTGCACAAAGTACATGATCTAGACTACCAGTTGTCAGACTTTCATTTTTGTGGAAGCCTTAGTGGCTGAGTGGTATAGATGACTGACTTTGTGTGCTGGCGATTAGGTGCATCACTCTGGCAGTGTGGGCTCGAATCCAAGACAGGACTCCCAAAAAGTATGAGAATCTTATATTATATTATCGCAAATTTAACATTTGTTAAATATGTCAGGGGTGCAACTCTGAGCATAATCAATGTTAATCTACAAAACTGAAGCAAACTAGGCAGATGATACAAAACCTGAAGCTGTAACCATGGTAACCACTAGCATGAAACTACATCAAAGCCCTATATTTTTTATTAATTGGTTTACAGAAGCGACTGACATTAAAAATAAAATAAGACAAAAAATATAACTACTTTTGAAAATTGTTCAGGTGACCGACAATTATCTATCATCCCAGGAATGTGTTACATTCTTACCTTTAACTGGTGACAAATCAATCACATACCACCTGATGTTTGCTGGGGGAGAGATGGTTTGTCAACCCTTAAAAAGGACGTGTTTGTTTTGAGCCTGTAAAGGTTAATTGTTTGTATCTTTCACCAGGATATCATTTGGTTTGGGGCAAAGATTTTGTGAGCTAATAAACAAAACATAATGTGCATAAAGAGGCACAGGAACAAGTGAAATAATTCTCTGAAAAGTATAAGTTTGTCCAGTACTCTTGTATCAGCATCACATCATGTCAGCACAGTAACCATGGCAACAATACCATAAATATATACAAATATAAGTTTCAGGAATGTAACTGATCTACAAATATTTCATACAAACATGTTGTCAGAGGAATGTATAACAGTGAACTAGCCTCGACTATAAAGTGTAGAAAATAGACTCTGTTACCTGACAGACATTGAAGGAACTGTTTCCTGGACCTGGGATTGTGTGGGTATAACAGGAAGACCAGACAAAGACCATCCTACACAACATGTGTCTAACACAGTCCCACACGGACATCGTGATTCACAAACACCCAACACAACATGTGTCTAACACAATCCCACACGGACATCGTGATTCACAAACACCCAACACAACATGTGTCTAACACAGTCCCACATGGACATCGTGATTCACAAACACAAACAATTAACAGTGAAATGTTTGATAGGCATAAATTAGAAGTTGACGAATGACAAAGTAGACACAATCTATGGATAACAACTTCTTTATTTACTGTAACGGCGATGTATCTGTACAGAACCACTTACCGTCGTCAAGCATGGCTTGCTTGACAACGATTTAAGGATTTATACCGAAATGTCCCCCTCACAGTACATAAGGAAGTTGTCATCCATACATTGCGTCTACTTTGTCAGCCAACACAGTGACTGACTGACTGACAGCTGGTGGAGGGACAACATCTGTACGTGACTCTGTGTTCAGACACAGCTGGGAACATGTTACACACCACACTTTGCTTACTGCCTTGTATCACTATCTTCCTAGTATATCCTGGAAATATCTACAACTGACATCCATCGCATGTTGCCATGGATACCACGGATACCTCCTCGCCAGTTGGTACAAAAACACGATGTTCCTCCACCACAAAGTCCTGGGTCACATGATGCAGAGGAAGGAATTGAAAGTGTTGTGAAATAACTATACCCTAAGTGCTGTAACAAAACATGTCCTGAGACATGATAGAACATCTATATAAATTTCTTGAATATGTAACTTGGAAAACAAAGATAAATGTGCTGGCATAATAATAAATAATGATATAATTTTTTAAAAAATGACAATTTTATATGGAAATATATAGTGGAAAAATATAGCAGTGCTCAGATGTTTCCAGGTGGATAGTCTGGGTCTTCAGCTCAATTCCAGGAACTAAAGTAGAGAACACATTACATAAAGGAATACTAACATCTAGTCTCTGAAATGAACATATCTTACAGAAAAAAACAGTGTTAAACTATCTTGACAAGCTATATTATAAAAAAGAGTCCTGAGACTCTCTTCATTTTCCTGATACATGTACTGCAGTAATCTATTATAGACTTGCATGGGCTGTATTGGATATATTTGTTTCCGAGTCTGTTTAACAAACTACATACATGGAAGTCTTGACAGATTCTTCGCAAAGAAAATCATGAAAATACAGCAGTTTTGGTAGCTGCAGCCTTTCATAGACATTCTCATATAACTCTCCACCTCCTGATCACAGGGCACGGTTTTACCAGATGCAAAATGTGTTCAGAGCTCATAACGTGCGGATGTTGGAAGGAGTGAAACTCATTGAAATGAAGCATGTACATTTGATTTACCGGATATTTCTGTTTTGATAAATGCAATCCATGTTGGTCACTCAATCAATATGTTTGGTCTTAGGCATCCCACATTTTAGGTTTATTTCTAACTACAGTGGTGACCTTGCCCTCCCCGCCCCCCATTTTGATGCTGCCTCCCCGCCCCACCCACATACCTCTGACCACACACACCTCTGACCACACACACCTCTGACCACACACACCTCTGACCACACACACCTCTGACCACACACACATTATACAAAAGTAAATCCCTGGGCGAGAGTTGAAGAGTATTTCAGTGGAAAAAGCAATCAGGCTGTCAGACACAATCCTGAACCAATCAGAGTCAACACGAGGACTGACAAGGGACATAACTCTGCTCAGTAGTTGCAGCAGATAGACCTCTGGCACCATCTAACCCAGATACACATTCACTGTAATAAGCACCTTGGGGGCTTAGAATTGACAAATGGGAATGCTTATTAAAAGCATAAACTGCGAATTAAATTTGTTCTCAGAGATCAAGCGAAAGTGAACAAACTTTGTTCAAATGTTGATGAAACTTAAGTGTTTCGATAATGGTAACTAGGCAATTCTACTGTTTCTGTGATACACGTCTGTGAAACAAGTCTGTAATATACACAAGAAAGTATGGCCTTCCAGGTTGGTTGGGTGGTTTGTTGTTTAACACCGCTCTCAGCAATATTCCAGCTATATGACGGGGGTCTGTAAATAATCGAGTCTGGACCAGACAATCCAGTGCTTAATATCATGAGCATCGATCCACGCAATTGGGATCGATGACATGCATCAACCAAGTCGCCTTTTACGACAAGCATAGTCGCCTTTCACGGCAAGCATGGGTTGCTGAAGATCTATTCTTCCCCGGATCTTTACGGGTCGGCCTTCCAGGTAAACTGTCAGGTCTTAGAAGGGAGTGCTTATAAAGGTTACTATCAAACTGGTCAAGAATTTGGTCAGGGTGCTAATTAGAGCGGGGAGCTTACTACAGTGAAGGCGGCACCACAGAGAAGTGATGCTTGAAGCAAGTAGTCCATACAGACTCCTCATAAAAAGTAATAAACACAAGTCTTTCATCAAAACACACTCTGAATAACAAAATATAGTGTCATGCTGCATAAATATATACATCATTGTTTTGTACAAGTAACTACAATAAACACTGATCAGACTTCTAACAAACTCAACAGTAACCATGACAACATATAAAGGAAATAAAGCCACTTTGACACAACAGATTCTTGTCCCGATCAACGGCAGTAACAACTCTGTAACAAAGACTGTTCATGAGGAAGCATGGGAATCCGAGCTGCCAACGTTAAAATTCATATCCTTTCATTTAAGTTCTGTAGGAAGTAAAACACACCTCATACAATAATGTGTGTGAACTAAAAATAAAAACATGTTGTCAACTGATGGTTAAAGTTCCTCTTGAAAGGATATAAAACAGTTTGGTGTAAAAACACAGCAATTCATCGATGGTGTGAATAGTGTACTGTTGGATATAGACATTGTCCTGGTCGGACATCACACAGAAACTAAGCCGTGTTTCACGTCCTGATACATCTTCCAAGACTTAACTTGCTCAACTTCTCTATACTAACTAACCAGACTTTGTGGCTGGCAACTATTTAGTGTTTAACTTGACAGCTGGTTAATTATCGCATTCAAGGTATTAAACAATCAGATTGTTACTATAGGTTTTGCCATAGTCATGAGCATGATGAGTAGGGATCAGATTGTGTTAGTACAAAGATTTTGAAATATTACTTTTTGAAAATCTAAACAGCTTCAAAACATGGAAAGACAGCTGGGCAAGTTTTCAGTATTGCCAGGTGTAGGTTCATAAACACATGTCTTTCATCAGAACTTGGTCTGAATAACAAAATATAGTGTCATGCTGAATAAATATATAGATCCTTGCTGCATCGGTGAATCCTGACCCCACTACACATCAGGGTTGAAACTAGAGCTGATGGTGTGCTGTTTGAGCGATATTCTACTAATATAATGACAGGGGACTTTACACATGGACTTTACACACCAACTCTACACTCAAGACTTCACCCATGGGGAATCAAGTTGACCCAAGCTTCTTTTTTTTAAAGTGATGGAAGATCGAGTGTGACAAGTTTCTGAATCAGATATTTGCACATATAAATTTGAAAGCTCAAGAGATGATTGGTTGCTTCCAGTCACATGACATCATCCATTCAGCAGTACATAAACCAGTGCTGGGACGATACACTGATGCATCAGTGGATCACAATATTTTACTTCTCGATACAAGTATCGATCACAGTCGCACACTCAGTAAAAAGTATTGATTCTTACTGTAAATGTTGGCCTTAATAACTGTTGTACTAAAGGCTAATTAGTAGGGTAAGTTTATAGTAAAAAAAACATAAATATTTTCATCCATTGTGCCATACTTGACACTGCTGACTGTAAATCAGGTATTTGGCCATCCTGTCTATGAGAAAGATGGCTTAGGGACCACAGATAAGAGCACATGCAAGTATCATGATACATATCGATCGTAAGTAAGGTATCGTGATACATATTGAATCGCACAGTTGGTGTATCGCCCCCAGGCCTAATATAAAAAGAGAGGTATGTTTAATGTCATCAGATAATTGCCATCTGTTTCCATACATCAAGGCACAGTTTATTATCATGGGAAAAATAGGAGACTACAGGGATTGCTAAAGATGTTAAATATGTCGTTTTGAACTGCCAACCACAAGAATATTTTTCAGTAAAAAATGAATTAGGTTATTTGAATGATGTTCATCAAACATGCTTGTATTGTGTATCATGGGTCATTACAGCGAAGTACATTTGTCACTTGTTTCACACAATAAAATTCTTCACAGCATGCTTTATTTAAAAAAAATTAAACTTTAAAATGTGCCCTTACGGTAACAGAACTTATTTTAACCGTGCCATTAGGATTTTAACCATGCCATTGGCACTTTTTTTTATAAGTAATTTTGAAACGTGATCATGACTTGCTGATTTTACCACAACTGCTATTGTGGATGTCTTTAAACTTCAACAAAGGGGGACATTTCACATCATCAGAAAAATGATCCTAAGAAGAAAACATTTCCATAACATTTCCAGTTTCGTACATTATACATGTTCTTTCTTAACATTGCAGAAGACTGCTCCACGATCTGCTACTCAAGTCTCAGCATGACGGGCAGCCCCACTTTCACACAGGAGATAAACTGTGTTTGCTCATGTCTTGTCAGTTGTGTCAGAGATGACAATAGATGAGGATCAAGAAGACTTTTCATCAGAACTGGCCCCCTTCTATGTCTAGTGTCATTCTACTTGAAATAGACATATTTCTGCAGGTATGTGAAACATCGATATGTCAGAACAATAACTAGGGCAACAACCTCTCACCTAGTCACATGATCTCCATGGGATTCGTCTGGACAGTCACACATCTGCTTCTTACGCAACTCACTTGTGAACAAATAATCAAAGGCACCATAAAAGTTTGTGAGGCTGCAGTCATGGACGCTGCCATTAAGGAAGGGGGCTCGTAGATCAATGAGGAGATGAACACTGGCGTACAGTCTCACAAACATCTCTTCATCCAGACATCGTAACAGCACAATGATGATGGACAGCATCTCGTCACAGCAGGCCAAGGGGCCATTCTTGTTCAGATCTGACAACAGGCTACCAAGTGATCGAAAAACTCTGGTCAAGCGACGCAGTTTCTCCAAGATTGTCTTCGCCCTGAACGATGATGTAAGGTGCTGCTTGACAGGAGAAAACATGTCCTCCAAAAGAACCCGGGGGTCTTCAAGTTCTTTATCTTGTTCAGCAACACATTCCTCTTCAGCATCAGCCTCACTGTCAGCAAGTTCATCGCTGTCAGTCGCAGACGACCTCTGTGGCGATACATCGCCATCAGAAACAGGCCCACAGTTGGTTTCATCAAAAATATTGGGGATGCTCCCAGAGATCTGGTGACACTCTCGGTCCGCGATCTGGTATAGCTCCTCCAGAGTACACCTCTTGATCTCAATACTCACACAAGACTTGGCCAGACTACTTCTGGTGGGACTGAGTATTTCAAACTCCTCACTGCTCTCACTCCCTGCTGTCAGACTTCTGCCCCGCCTGTACACAGATGGTTGGCCACCAGACCGGAGTCCACTGAGGATGATGTTGAGGATGTTGTCATCAAGGAGCAGCTCCTGGAGGCTGAGACGAGTGATGCCTCTATATAAGGAGATACACTTAGGAGCATGGGTCAACTCATACAGGTTACACAGGTGAGGCAACAGCTCCGTGTACAGCACATTTTCATATGACACCCACACCTTGTTCTTTGGGCTGCCGGCACATTCTGGGATACTGTTGATAAGTAAACAACACATTGCCTCCATCTGAGACCGGATGTCATCCTTGATTCTCTCTAGTGAATTCTTCAGAGCATCGACAGCCATTGGGAGAATTTCATCAGCTAAGTCAGGAGAATACACTGTTGATTTAGCATGTCCTCGTCGTCTCCGCTGAGATGAGCCGCCAGTTGCTTCAACAAATCTCACATCAATATCACTGATGGAAGCTCTGTCAAAGTTAACCAACTGCCACAACCCTTCAATATTGTCAGAAGAAGCACCAAACATCTTTGTTTCATCAATGGCACTTGAAATTTTATCCATGATCATCTTACATGCTTGGTGATGTCTCCGGAAAGCATGCGACTTCTGATTTTGTAAGAGCGAGTAGACTTTTTCCTCCAGTGTTTTCCATTCTTCTGGCTTGTCATTCAGACCAATGATGTCCAGAGAGAACTCACTACCATCTGTGCAGTGGACTGGGCTCAACTGATCCCTTGAGGAATTAATCTCAGAGAAAGCTGCCAATATTGCCTCTCGCACCGAGGATATTTTGACCTTCACAAGACAAGCCCTTTGTAAGTCTTCCTTCTGAAGTCTTAGTCTGTCATTCACCTCCAAGTAGATGTCATGGAACACATTTTCTTTCACTTTAATCTTTTTCAGTTTCTTCTTTTTGATGACTGGTGGACGGAACAAAACATTTCTCAAAGTTTCTTTTGCAGTCTGCATTGCAACAATATGTTCATGAATATTATCTCGCTTCTTTCTGAGGTCTTCAAGTTTAAGCATCGCTCCCTCTGATACCTGACAGTCTCGATATCTGTTAACCTGAAGCTGTGTGCCTTCGAATTCTGAATTCAACCTCAAGATATCTCTCTCCAGATGATTGTAAAGAAGAGATAAAAATTCCTTCTTACAAGACCTCGCATAAAGTTCACTTTCAAAATTTTCATTTTTCAGAATTCGTGTCCGCTGTTTCAGTAAGGTTTGTTCTGTTATATCTACTGATTTGGATTTCTTTAAAATCTCAGCTTCAACCATTTCAAATTTACTCTCCACCTGCAACAAGACATCCTGTAACGTGTCTCGGTCTTCCATGGTGAATGTGATAGCCGGGAAAATGTAACAATGAAGAAGTCGTGTTACTTCAGTGAGGAAGGAATCCCATGTCATCTTCTTGTCTCTAAACAGTGCCATGCAATCATTGGCCTTGTCTGCAAGCTCATCGACAGTTGGATCAAAATCATAAACATCAATGTCACCATGCAACATTTCAGCACCCTCAGGCACAAAACATTTCTGTGTTTCGATTTCATCATCGATAGTCTTCAACGCCGTTTGTTCCCTCCTCAGCCAGTGAACCTGGCGTTCATCACAGTCGATATACACAGAATCGAGGAGTAATGTCTTATACCACAGGGCAGACTCGATGTGGAAGTTGACTCTGGTCCCAGACGTGCAGGAACTACCATCCACGACGGGACGATATCCATCCCGTAAACATACGTCCCTGACCACAACAACCTTTTCGCCTAGTTTAAGATTGACGTGCATATCAGATTGTAGATCTTCCCCAGCCTGTATCATATACTGCGTCTTTTAAAATCATACCAGTGACTAAAAGCAGAACCCGTTGCTTACGTCATCGTAGATTGCCCGATGCCAAAACAACCCAAAACCAGGAAGTGACAATGTGCGACCTTTACCGAGGTTGACACAACACTCCCCCACACACCATAGCAAAATCAAATTCAGATACGTTATGATAACAAAATATGATAAATAGTATATTCTATTATTGATTGTTAATTATCGAAGGTTGAAAGTGCTACACTTTTAAATCCAATGAGAAGTGTACTTGTGTTCTTGATAACGTGCATGCTTTAAGCGGCAATACACGCATGCGCAGTTGGTTTGCGGAAAAGGAAACCGCATGTATTGTTGACTTTTCAGCACAAAGAAATATTTAGTTTTAGTTGAAAGCAAGAAGAAGGTATCAATTAGCGGTTGTGTTTATTTACTTTAGGATGTGAAGTAAATGCAACGTATTGTTGACATACATTAAATGGAATAACGACCACATCTGCTTAAGTGCACATACCACCTGTCGGTTGTAAACTTGTCGGCCGGTTCTTGTTTTCTTCAAGACAGTTTCAAGCATGGCTGAGGCGAGTCAGTCAGATGATGACTTGAGCATTCCGAGAGCCGCTCTAAACAAAATGATCAAGGAACTTGTGCCGAATGTACGTGTCGCCAATGAGGCAAGAGAACTGATTCTCAGTTGTTGCACGGAGTTCATACATCTCGTGTCGTCGGAAGCCAACGAAGTCTGCACCAAACAACAGAAGAAAACAATTTCACCTGAACACGTCTTGAATGGTAGGGTAAAGTTCACTCTCAACATGCTCAAGGCCTTTTAGGAATTTTTGCATAATCATTTGGTGGATATGTTTTGCAACAATGATTAATGGGGGTTATAGCGAAAACGGCACCTCAGCAAAACGTCAACGGGCGAAAACGGCACCGATTGGCGAAAACGGCACCTCGACTCAAGCGAAAACGACTACTATTGCCTGGCGAAAACTGCACCTTATTTTTTTTTACCTTGGTCAAATAAGGGATATTAAACTTATATGGTAACTTGCAAACACCAATAATTGTGTGATGTTAAAACAAGTTTACATTAGAAATTAGCCTCTACTCCAACTATGATCCAGCTTAGCTTATACGCAACACAACTTATTTTGAAAACATGACATGCTTTGAAGAAAAATAATAGAAATTAAACTCACGTTGTCTCTTACAAACACAAATTGTGAAATAAAACAAGTAAGAAATTAGACCCCTACTCCAATTTACTCACCGACTGATTGTGAGGCGAGTTAACTTATTGTGAAAACACTATACGCTTTGAAGTTTAAAGTACCTTTCTCAACTCAATTTAATCTGAAACTGTATTTAAGAGGCCTTACATGGTGCTGTCAGATCACAATTATTCACAATGGCCTTTCGATGTGTGCATGTGAGAAGAATGTCAGAAAACAACAACATGCTGTGATAACTGTGACCATGTAAATAAACCATATATATTACTACAAAAATCGTTCTTATCATTATTAAAAATAGAGATGCCGTTTTCGCCCGACGCATAGTAGCCGTTTTCACCAAATGTGTTGCCGTTTTCACCCGGGGAAATCGGTGACGTTTTGCTGAGGTGCCGTTTTAGCCTGCACCCCTTAATGGTATCCGTCCAATGTTACAGTATTGAATAGGAAGGCTTGGAATTCTCATCAGCTGATCATAGGCAACGCGCCTTCCCACCTTATTTGTGACTAATATTGCAACACGTGAGAGTGTCACTATCTGAAAAATAGTCCGATACAGCTCAAAATAACTTCAAAATGAGAAGAAAAATTACTCCTGTTGCATTTGTATGGCTTATTGTGAGTAAATCAAAATTGAAAATCAAACCAATACAAAAGTTTACATAGAAAATTAAACATCAGCATAAAATAAAATGTACAACCTCATCCTGAATGACATCCATCAGATTCAGAAACAGATGTTAACAAACACGTGGTATTAACTTTGGTAACTAATGTAATCAAACTACACCAACACCCGCCACATTGGTTTGATAGGGAATGCGAGACACAGAAACATAACAAATATGTCCTTCTAGAAAGGTTTAGGATTACGAATGATTGATAGTGAACATTGCAGTGAGTATTTAAACACCAAAAAGCTTTTTGAAAAAAACAGTCTGAAATGTCATTATGAAATGTCTGTCTCTGAAGAAGTTGTTAAAGCTGCAAAAAGTAAAGATTGTAATTCATTTTGGAAAACAATTAACATGATTATGCAATATTGCTATAGATGTGAGATGGGATCGTCATCCATCACTGCTGATAATTGGCATGCCTACTTAAGAGAATTTTTAATTCTGCAAGTAAAATCAAATCACTCATTTGATAAAGATGTTGCAGATTTTCTAGAAAACAATTCTACTGTAGACTGTGAAAATGTAGAAACTGCGATGAACTGGTCTGTGGGGAAATATCACACTGTGAAATAATAAATGCTTTACAGCATTTGAAAACTGGAAAATCACCGGGACATGATGGGATCCCAACAGAGCTGTGAAGGAAACCTGTTCTTTGTTATTACCCTACTATAAGTGTTTTTTTTTACCGTATTCTTGAAACAGGTCAAGTCCCAGAATCATGGAATCTTGGACTTAATCATGTCCCATTAGATAAATCCGACTCAAAGGATAACGCAAATAAATACAGAGCCAGTGTCATGTCAGACATTTTAAATCAAATATTCATATCAAGTTTTGAATCTCAAATAAACTTTTGGATCTCCACCCAACAGATACTGTCAGAATGCCAAGCAGGGTTTAGAGAAGATTACTGTACAATTGATCACATATTGGAAAATTGTTTTGTTGACTTCAAAATAGCATTTGACATCGTGGATCGAAATAAACTTCAATATACGTTCCTCGGTAAAGGTATACATGGTGAGATAAGTACACTACTTAGAAGTATATTTGGCAACATAAAAGCAGCTGTAAGATGTAGTAAAAATACTATGTCTGATGTAATCAATATAAGTGCAGGTGTAAGACAGGGATGTATACTATCACCACTCCTCTTTACATTGATGAACTTGTGAATGATATCGTGAACACTGATTGTAGTGGTATTTTTGTAGACTAAAGTCATACAGGAATTATAGATTTTACTATTTGCGGATGGTGTTGCAATATTTGCAGATAGTGTTCAAAATTTACAGAAAAAGATAGATGTTCTACATAAATATTTTGCTAAGTGGGAGTATCTGCAAATGCTAACAAGACAAGTTGTTGTTTTCAAGAAAGGAGGAAAGATATCTAAACATGAGAAATGCTTCTTCGGTCCAGAAAGACAAGAAGTTGTATCATACTACAAATATCTTGGCCTAACAATTTCATGTCAAAATTTATTTACCAAAGCATGTGAAGTACTTTCAAGGCAAGCAGATAAAGCAATGTATTCAGCAAAGAAGTTTATTAGTAAATTTAGAAATATACCTATTGAATCGCTGTTTAGGATATTTGATGGTAAAAAACAGCCAATACTGATGTACAGCGCGGAGCTTTGTGGAATCTTATACTGCCACAGCATAGAGAAAATTCATACAAAATTTTGTAAATTTGTTCTTGGCGTCGTCTACCGGTCACCAAGTAAGGCAATTCTAGCAGAATGCGGCCCAAAATATGTAGAATGACATCTGGTGACAAGATTATTCTGTAATTTCAGTTCATCTATGAGCTAAAATATAACTTTACAAATAAATTCATGAGAGTGGTTATGTGTTGTCTTGACCTTGAGATCGGTTCTATTCCCAGCTCTGGACAGTCTTGGGTTCGGAGCCTACAAGGAGGATGCACAGGCTGTGCTGCAGGAGGCCAAGGCTGTGGCTGCCAAGAAGAGAAGAGGCAGCTCCCGCCTCGAGAACCTCGGCATCCCGGAGGAAGAGTTGCTGCGGCAACAGCAGGAGTTGTTCGCTAAGGTTATACACACCTAGAAACTTTGAATCAGTTGTTACCTTGGTTACGAACAAGAGAAACAAGTAATTCTAGCTGGTCAATGCTTGCCATTTTCAATAACTTATTTAAGTGTTGAATTTTTTCCACATTGCATTACTATGATCACAGCAAACTGATAAAAAATTATTCCTATAGCACCTATTTATTAATGTACATGTTTTGTTAGGGTCTACTAGCTTTATCTCAACTAAAGTATTTTACTGTTTTTGTTAAAATATCATGCAGTCCCTTTCTCTCGGCTTTTGAGCTGTTTGATAAAGTCACAAGAAGCTTTCTAAACACTGCCATGTCTTCAGAGTCCACGTTATTAAGGAGATAAACATGCTGTGTTTTCAATGTAGGGCTAGCTACCTGTAGATTTAACTGTGTTAATTTGAAGTTTTAACTGAACACGCACCATAAACACAGTATGTTTATCTCCTACCATGACTGAATAAAACATGAACTCTTTGTGTCAGCAAATATATTGAGTGAATCGGCATGGGTTGGGTTCAATGTTTTGTGTGGGTTTTGATACCTTGTGATTTGATACCTTAGACTGACCATTCAAAATATTTTCCTAATTCATGGTTGAATTAAAATTCATATACATGTTATAAGCTTTGAATGTAGTATCCCCACGTCACATGTTATAAGCCTTGGGTGTAGTGTCCCCACGTCACATGTTATAAGCCTTGGGTGTAGTTTCCCCACGTCACATGTTATAAGCCTTGGGTGTAGTTTCCCCACGTCACATGTTATAAGCTTTGGGTTTAGTATCCCCACGTCACATGTTATCAGCCTTGGGTGTAGTGTCCCCATGTCACATGTTATAAGCCTTGGGTGTAGTTTCCCCACGTCACATGTTATAAGCCTTGGGTGTAGTTTCCCCACGTCACATGTTATAAGCCTTGGGTGTAGTGTCCCCACGTCACATGTTATAAGCCTTGGATGGAGTATCCCCACGTCACATGTTATAAGCCTTGGGTGGAGTATCCCCACGTCACGTGTTATAAGCCTTGGGTGTAGTGTCCCCACGTCACATGTTATAAGCCTTGGGTGCAGTGTCCCCACGTCACGTGTTATAAGCCTTGGGTGGAGTATCCCCACGTCACATGTTATAAGCCTTGGGTGGAGTATCCCCACGTCACATGTTATAAGCCTTGGGTGTAGTGTCCCCACGTCACATGTTATAAGCCTTGGGTGTAGTTTCCCCATGTCACATGTTATAAGCCTTGGGTGTAGTGTCCCCATGTCACATGAAGCCTTGGGTGTAGTGTCCCCACGTCACGTGTTATAAGCCTTGGGTGTAGTGTCCCCACGTCACATGTTATAAGCCTTGGGTGCAGTGTCCCCATGTCACATGTTATAAGCCTTGGGTGCAGTGTCCCCACGTCACGTGTTATAAGCCTTGGGTGTAGTGTCCCCACGTCACGTGTTATAAGCCTTGGGTGTAGTGTCCCCACGTCACATGTTATAAGCCTTGGGTGTAGTGTCCCCACGTCACATGTTATAAGCCTTGGGTGCAGTGTCCCCATGTCACATGTTATAAGCCTTGGGTGCAGTGTCCCCACGTCACATGTTATAAGCCTTGGGTGTAGTGTCCCCATGTCACATGTTATAAGCCTTGGGTGTAGTATCCCCATGTCACATGTTAAAAGCCTTGGGTGGAGTGTCCCCATGTCACATGTTATAAGCCTTGGGTGCAGTGTCCCCATGTCACATGTTATAAGCCTTGGGTGTAGTGTCCCCACGTCGCATGTTATAAGCCTTGGGTGGAGTATCCCAACGTCACATGTTATAAGCCTTGGGTGTAGTGTCGACATGTCACATGTTATAAGCCTTGGGTGTAGTGTCCCCACGTCACATGTTATAAGCCTTGGGTGGAGTAACCCCACGTCACATGTTATAAGCCTCGGGTGTAGTGTCGACACGTCACATGTTATAAGCCTTGGGTGTAGTGTCGCCACGTCACATGTTATAAGCCTTGGGTGTAGTGTCCCCACGTTACATGTTATAAGCCTTGGGTGTAGTGTCCCCAAGTCACATGTTATAAGCCTTGGGTGTAGTGTCCCCACATCGCATGTTATAAGCCTTGGGTGTAGTGTCCCCACGTCGCATGTTATAAGCCTTGGGTGTAGTGTCCCCATGTCACATGTTATAAGCTTTGGGTTGAGTATCCCCATGTCACATGTTATAAGCTTTGGGTGTAGTATCCCCACATCACATGTTATAAGCTTTGGGTGTAGTGTCCCCATGTCACATGTTATAAGCTTTGGGTGGAGTATCCCCATGTCACATGTTATAAGCTTTGGGTTGAGTATCCCCACGTCACATGTTATAAGCTTTGGGTTGAGTATCCCCACGTCACATGTTATAAGCCTTGGGTGTAGTGTCCCCACGTCACATGTTATAAGCTTTGGGTTGAGTATCCCAACGTCACATGTTATAAGCTTTGGGTTGAGTATCCCCACGTCACATGTTATAAGCTTTGGGTTGAGTATCCCCACGTCACATGTTATAAGCTTTGGGTGGAGTATCCCCACGTCACATGTTATAAGCTTTGGGTGTAGTGTCCCCACGTCACATGTTATAAGCTTTGGGTGGAGTATCCCCACGTCACATGTTATAAGCCTTGGGTTGAGTATCCCCACATCACATGTTATAAGCCTTGGGTTGAGTATCCCCACGTCACATGTTATAAGCCTTGGGTGTAGTGTCCCCACGTCGCATGTTATAAGCTTTGGGTGGAGTATCCCCACATCACATGTTATAAGCCTTGGGTTGAGTATCCCCACGTCACATGTTATAAGCCTTGGGTGTAGTGTCCCCACGTCACATGTTATAAGGTTTGGGTGGAGTATCCCCACGTCACATGTTAAAAGCTTTGGGTTGAGTATCCCCATGTCACATGTTATAAGCTTTGGGTGTAGTGTCCCCATGTCACATGTTATAAGCTTTGGGTTGAGTATCCCAATGTCACATGTTATAAGCTTTGGGTTGAGTATCCCCACGTCACATGTTATAAGCTTTGGGTTGAGTATCCCCATGTCACATGTTATAAGCCTTGGGTGGAGTATCCCCACGTCACATGTTATAAGCTTTGGGTTGAGTATCCCCACGTCACATGTTATAAGCTTTGGGTTGAGTATCCCCACGTCACATGTTATAAGCTTTGGGTTGAGTATCCCCACGTCACATGTTATAAGCCTTGGGTGTAGTGTCCCCACGTCACATGTTATAAGCTTTGGGTGGAGTATCCCCACGTCACATGTTATAAGCCTTGGGTGGAGTATCCCCACGTCACATGTTATAAGCTTTGGGTTGAGTATCCCAACGTCACATGTTATAAGCTTTGGGTTGAGTATCCCCACGTCACATGTTATAAGCTTTGGGTTGAGTATCCCCACGTCACATGTTATAAGCTTTGGGTGGAGTATCCCCACGTCACATGTTATAAGCTTTGGGTGTAGTGTCCCCACGTCACATGTTATAAGCTTTGGGTGGAGTATCCCCACGTCACATGTTATAAGCCTTGGGTTGAGTATCCCCACGTCACATGTTATAAGCCTTGGGTTGAGTATCCCCACGTCACATGTTATAAGCCTTGGGTGTAGTGTCCCCACGTCACATGTTATAAGCTTTGGGTGGAGTATCCCCACATCACATGTTATAAGCCTTGGGTTGAGTATCCCCACGTCACATGTTATAAGCTTTGGGTTGAGTATCCCAACGTCACATGTTATAAGCTTTGGGTTGAGTATCCCCACGTCACATGTTATAAGCCTTGGGTGGAGTATCCCCACGTCACATGTTATAAGCTTTGGGTTGAGTATCCCCACGTCACATGTTATAAGCCTTGGGTGGAGTATCCCCACGTCACATGTTATAAGCTTTGGGTTGAGTATCCCCACGTCACATGTTATAAGCCTTGGGTTGAGTATCCCCACGTCACATGTTATAAGCTTTGGGTTGAGTATCCCCACGTCACATGTTATAAGCTTTGGGTTGAGTATCCCCACGTCACATGTTATAAGCCTTGGGTGGAGTATCCCCACGTCACATGTTATAAGCTTTGGGTTGAGTATCCCCACGTCACATGTTATAAGCTTTGGGTTGAGTATCCCCACGTCACATGTTATAAGCCTTGGGTGTAGTGTCCCCACGTCACATGTTATAAGCTTTGGGTTGAGTATCCCCATGTCACATGTTATAAGCCTTGGGTGGAGTATCCCCACGTCACATGTTATAAGCTTTGGGTGGAGTATCCCCACGTCACATGTTATAAGCTTTGGGTTGAGTATCCCCACGTCACATGTTATAAGCCTTGGGTGGAGTATCCCCACGTCACATGTTATAAGCTTTGGGTTGAGTATCCCCACGTCACATGTTATAAGCTTTGGGTTGAGTGTCCCCACGTCACATGTTATAAGCTTTGGGTGGAGTATCCCAACGTCACATGTTATAAGCTTTGGGTTGAGTATCCCCATGTCACATGTTATAAGCCTTGGGTGGAGTATCCCCACGTCACATGTTATAAGCTTTGGGTTGAGTATCCCCACGTCACATGTTATAAGCCTTGGGTGTAGTGTCCCTACGTCACATGTTATAAGCTTTGGGTTGAGTATCCCCACGTCACATGTTATAAGCTTTGGGTGGAGTATCCCCACATCACATGTTATAATCTTTGGGTGTAGTGTCCCCACGTCGCATGTTATAAGCCTTGGGTGTAGTGTCCCCACGTCACATGTTATAAGCCTTGGGTGGAGTATCCCCACGTCACATGTTATAAGCCTTGGGTTGAGTATCCCCACGTCACATGTTATAAGCCTTGGGTGTAGTGTCCCCACGTCGCATGTTATAAGCTTTGGGTGGAGTATCCCCACGTCACATGTTATAAGCTTTGGGTGTAGTGTCCCTACGTCACATGTTATAAGCTTTGGGTGGAGTATCCCCACGTCACATGTTGTAAGCCTTGGGTTGAGTATCCCCACGTCACATGTTATAAGCCTTGGGTGTAGTGTCCCCACGTCGCATGTTATAAGCTTTGGGTGGAGTACCCCCACGTCACATGTTATAAGCTTTGGGTGGAGTACCCCCACGTCACATGTTATAAGCCTTGGGTGTAGTGTCCCCACGTCGCATGTTATAAGCCTTGGGTGTAGTGTCCCCACGTCACATGTTATAAGCCTTGGGTGGAGTATCCCCATGTCACATGTTATAAGCTTTGGGTTGAGTATCCCCACGTCACATGTTATAAGCTTTGGGTTGAGTATCCCCACGTCACATGTTATAAGCTTTGGGTGGAGTATCCCCACGTCACATGTTATAAGCCTTGGGTGGAGTATCCCCACGTCACATGTTATAAGCTTTGGGTGGAGTATCCCCACGTCACATGTTATAAGCTTTGGGTTGAGTATCCCCACGTCACATGTTATAAGCTTTTGGTTGAGTATCCCCATGTCACATGTTATAAGCTTTGGGTTGAGTATCCCCACGTCACATGTTATAAGCTTTGGGTTGAGTATCCCCACGTCACATGTTATAAGCTTTGGGTGGAGTATCCCCACGTCACATGTTATAAGCTTTGGGTGGAGTATCCCCACGTCACATGTTATAAGCTTTGGGTGGAGTATCCCCAAGTGACATGACCCGTGAAGATCCGGAGTAGAATAGGTCTTCAGCAACCCATGCTTGCCGTAAAAGGCGACTATGCTTGTCGTAAAAGGCGACTGACGGGATTGGGTGGTCAGGCTTGCTGACTTGGTTGATGCATGTCATCAATCCCAATTGCGTGGATCGATGCTCATGATATCTATCACTGTATTCGATTATTTACAGACCGCCGTCATATGGCTGGAATATTGCTGAGTGTGGCACAAAACAACAAACCAACCGACCCAAGTGACGTGTTATAAGCCTTGGGTGTAGTGTCCCCAGTTGTAGTCAGTGCGGGCAATCATGTGTGACTGTGACAAACCAGTCCATCATGTCTGTCAGTTTTTATGACCCTCGGGAGTAGTGGGCACATCCTGCCCGGGAAACTGTACATCCTGTTTTTTATTAAGACGGATGAATACAATAATACTTTGTATTTGTAGGCTCGACAGGAGCAGGCCCAGCGAGACCAACAGCAGTGGTTTCAGATGCAGCAGGCTCTTCAACAGCAACAGCTTCTACAGCTGCAGCAGCAACAGCAGCAACCTATAGACAGTCAAGAGGACTATTCCTAGGATAGTGTAGTTGTCTCCCCTGAGTGAAGGTAGCAGAGACTGTCAAGGGGATATGACGGACATGTGATAATTCAAAATTTCAATGTTTATCTTGAAAACTGCATGGATACAGGGTTTCAGATGTGTGTTACCATGGATACAGGCTTTCTGCTCTATATTACCATGGTTAGGGTGGATTGCCATTCTTGTAGACAGAACTACTGCATACAACACTATAGACTGTTGGTACAACGCTACAGCCAATGATCCCAACACTCCAATCAATTATAAGAATCTTTAGTGCTGACTGCTCGCAGAGAGGAATGGAGTTGGTCTGACCTTTAGTGTATCTCTTTGAAGACAAGCAACCATTGTGTGTTACAGTAATACATATTTTTGGTCTGCTTTTCTACAAAATCCTGAAGACCTATAATCTGTGTAGGAACCTCGACCATGGTGTTCATGCTATGTAGTAGCTTCAACTTGGAATCAGGAAGCATGACCACTTCTCAACATCATCAAGATGCTCATTGTGTTATAAGTACAACCAACGTGGCCATCACAAGGCTCACTCCACTTTCCTCTATACATGGAGATCGGCTGTTCTTAATGAAAGATCTTAATACAAATTCTTAGATCTCTTGCCGTAATACTAACATTAAAAAGAATGGTTGAATCTGAAACTTGATCAGTTACCATGGCAACTACAGAAGCTGAAGTTGAGCCTGAACATTCCTCAGCTGCTGGCTCCTGATGTAAGCTGGTGGACCAGCTTCTAACATTGCATGTTGGGAAATATTGTATATATGTGACCTTGACATTTCCATTGTTTGAAGGCTGATGTGTTGTGGCAGTGTACTTGGGAGTGACTGTGAACATTGTTATGTATATATTATAATGTCGGGTGGTCATTCATTGCTTGTCAAATAAACTATTTGTTGATAGCAGTTGTTTTATTCATGATGGCGGAATGCAAGAGACAGACAGACCAGTCCGGGTATTGTGAGACTTGGATCCACATGTGAACAACAGACAATCTCATTAGAATCAAATCTTAGTGCTCGACACAAAGATCTGAAGACATCCAATTCACTACACCAGTGTGCCCTGTCACAGTGAGTGAGTGACGTTTACACCACTTTTAGCAATATTCCAGCAATATCACGGCGGAAGACACCAGAACTGGGCTTCACACATTGTACCCATGTCGGGAATCGAACCCGGGTCTTGGCGTGACGAGCGAACACTTTGACCACAAGGCTGAGTACACCTGAGTTTAGATGGTATGTGTAGACACTATGTGGAAAACCTTCGGAGTGGACACAAATAAGTGAAAAGAACTTGAGTTTGCTGGTGTTTATTGTTTTGACATCATTGTATATATATTTACACAGTATTTACAACAAAATCACAAAGACGTGATTACCAGAATCACTTTCTGCAGTCATTTGATCATCAGACATTTGATTGCCAGCAACAGAGATGATGTGGGGACAGGTCAGTTGGGAATGGGGTGCGGATAGGTCAGTTGGGGGTGAGGGACAGGTCAGTTGGGAATGGGGTGCGGATAGGTCAGTTGGGGGTGAGGGACAGGTCAGTTGGGAATGGGGTGCGGATAGGTCAGTTGGGGGTGAGGGACAGGTCAGTTGGGAATGGGGTGCGGATAGGTCAGTTGGGGGTGAGGGACAGGTCAGTTGGGAATGGGGTGCGGATAGGTCAGTTGGGGGTGAGGGACAGGTCAGTTGGGGCTGGGGGTGAGGGACAGGTCAGTTGGGGCTGGGGGTGACAGTTAAGGGTGGGGGGACAGTTGGGGAAGGGTGGGGATATGCATCAGTTGGGGGTGGGATTGTTATTAGCACCTCATAATATGTTAGACCTTTGAAGAATCATAATTAACTGAAATATTTGATCACCCTTGGTTCTCACAGGCGAAGGGGAATATCTAACACTGGAAAGCGTCGTCTTGGCATTTCTTGTGAATCAATCTATATTTAGATTACAAGAATACCGAGGACCTGCTCTGAGGGGAGTCAAGGCCCCCATGCTGGTTGTGAGAAGCGACGGATTGGATGGGGGTGATTTTGTGTTGTCATATAGATGGACGATTGCTGACTGCGGCTTTTAACCAGAGTGAATGTCGTCCTTTGTGGGGGAACTGATGACTTCTCACTGACTAATTGACAGGATCACCGACTATACCACAGGATCACTGCCTCTGACACACTCTTCCCTAATCACTGCAGGTAAATGCACAGCTCCAAACTCGGGTACATGTACACAATATTGCCTAAGGGAACATGGTGACGTCATGTTTTCACTGATATGCTGTATCTGTCAAGGTCGGCCTGGCTGACCTCTGCTGGGGATTGACTCATTGGATCCTTGCCGTCATGTGACTTGGGGAAGGCGATGACGTCCCTGATGCTGTTTGTGCCACAGATGATGGCCAGCAGGCGGTCCAGTCCTGGCAACAAACATCTCAGTTTCAGTCTTGTGTCAGCAGACAATCAGTCTTTTTCATGTGTCAGTAGACAATCAGTCTCAGTCTTGTGTCAGCAGACAATCAGTCTCAGTCTTGTGTCAGCAGACAATCAGTTTCAGTCTTGTGTCGGCAGACAATCAGTCTTTTTCATGTGTCAGTAGACAATCAGTCTCAGTCTTGTGTCAGCAGACAATCAGTTTCAGTCTTGTGTCAGCAGACAATCAGTCTTTTTCATGTGTCAGTAGACAATCAGTCTCAGTCTTGTGTCAGCAGACAATCAGTCTCAGTCTTGTGTCAGCAGACAATCAGTCTCAGTCTTGTGTCAGCAGACAATCAGTCTCAGTCTTGTGTCAGTAGACAATCAGTCTCAGTCTTGTGTCAGCAGACAATCAGTCTCAGTCTTTTGTCAGCAGACAATTAGTCTGTCTTGTGTAAGCAGACAATCAGTCTCAGTCTTTTGTCAGAAGACAATCGGTCTCAGTCTTTTGTCAGCAGACAATTGGTCTTAGTCTTGTGTCAGCAGACAAACAGTCTCAGGCTTGTGTCAGCAGACAATCGGTCTCAGTCTTGTGTCAGCAGACAATTGGTCTTAGTCTTGTGTCAGCAGACAATCAGTCTTAGTCTTGTGTCAGCAGACAATCAGTCTCAGTCTTTTGTCAGCAGACAATTGGTCTTAGTCTTGTGTCAGCAGACAATCAGTCTCAGTCTTTTGTCAGAAGACAATCAGTCTTAGTCTTGTGTCAGCAGACAATTGGTCTTAGTCTTGTGTCAGAAGACAATCAGTCTCAGTCTTTTGTCAGCAGACAGTCTGAGTCTTGTGTCAGCAGACAATCAGTTTCAGTCTTTTTTCAGCAGACAGTCAGTCTCAGTCTTGTGTCAGTAGACAATCAGTCTCAGTCTTGTGTCAGTAGACAGTCTCAGTCTTGTGTCAGCAGACAATCAGTCTCAGTCTTTTGTCAGAAAACAATCGGTCTTAGTATTGTGTCAGCAGACAATCAGTCTGTCTTTTTTCAGCAGACAATCAGTCTTAGTCTTGTGTCAGCAGACAATCAGTCTCAGTCTTGTGTCAGCAGACAATCAGTCTCAGTCTTGTGTCAGCAGACAATCAGTCTTTTTCATGTGTCAGTAGACAATCAGTCTCAGTCTTGTGTCAGCAGACAATCAGTCTCAGTCTTGTGTCAGCAGACAATCAGTCTCAGTCTTGTGTCAGCAGACAATCAGTCTCAGTCTTGTGTCAGTAGACAATCAGTCTCAGTCTTGTGTCAGCAGAAAATCAGTCTCAGTCTTGTGTCAGCAGAAAATCAGTCTCAGTCTTGTGTCCGCAGACAATCAGTCTCAGTCTTGTGTCTGCAGACAATCAGTCTCTGTCTTGTGTCAGCAGACAATCAGTCTTAGTATTGTGTCAGCAGACAATCAGTCTCAGTCTTGTGTCAGCAGACAATCAGCCTCAGTCTTGTGTCCGCAGACAATCAGTCTCAGTCTTGTGTCAGCAGAAAATCAGTCTCAGTCTTGTGTCCGCAGACAATCAGTCTCAGTCTTTTTTAAGCAGACAATCAGTCTCAGTCTTGTGTCCGCAGACAATCAGTCTCAGTCTTTTTTCAGCAGACAATCAGTCTTAGTCTTGTGTCAGCAGACAATCAGTCTCAGTCTTGTGTCAGCAGACAATAAGTCGCTGTCTTGTGTCAGCAGACAATCAGCCTCAGTCTTGTGTCAGCAGAAAATCAGTCTCAGTCTTGTGTCCGCAGACAATCAGTCTCAGTCTTGTGTCTGCAGACAATCAGTCTCTGTCTTGTGTCAGCAGACAATCAGTCTCAGTCTTGTGTCAGCAGACAATTAGTCGCTGTCTTGTGTCAGCAGAAAATCAGACTCAGTGTTGTGTCAGTAGACAATCAGTCTCAGTCTTGTGTCAGCAGACAATCAGTCTCAGTCTTTTGTCAGCAGACAATCAGTCTCTGTCTTGTGTCAGTAGACAATCAGTCTTAGTCTTGTGTCAGCAGACAATCAGTCTCAGTCTTTTGTCGGCAGACAATTGGTCTTAGTCTTGTGTCTGAAGACAATCGGTCTTAGTCTTGTGTCAGCAGACAATCAGTCTCAGTCTTTTGTCACCAGACAATTGGTCTTAGTCTTGTATCAGAAGACAATAGGTCTTAGTCTTGTGTCAGCAGACAATCAGTGTCAGCCTTGTGTCAGCACACAATCAGTCTCAGTCTTGTGTCAGAAGACAATCAGTCTTAGTCTTGTGTCAGTAGACAGTCTCAGTCTTTTGTCAGAAGACAATCAGTCTCAGTCTTGTGTCAGAAGACAATCAGTCTCAGTCTTGTGTCAGTAGACAGTCTCAGTCTTTTGTCAGCAGACAATCAGTCTCAGTCTTTTGTCAGCAGACAATCAGTCTTAGTCTTGTGTCAGAAGACAATCAGTCACAGCCAGACAGTGTCACCAGACTTGGTTTTTGGTGCTCTACCAAGGTTCTCTGACCTGCATGTTACCATAACAACCTGTGTCTTACCTAGGGCAATACCTCCATGTGGGGGACACCCGGAGTCCAGTGCGTCCAGCAGGTGCTCCAACTGACCGGCATCCTCCTACAACACAGCAAAATCTACAACATTTACAACATTATCAACATATCCACATTCAAAAAACACTATCAATGTCCAACATTCTAAATGATTCCAGGAAATTTACAAATTAACCTTGTACGGTTATTTAACTGTGGAACTCTACATCAGCAAACCTTGTATATCCCTTAAATTGCTTCATCCAAGAACTTTTTGAGCCCTTCATCAATTATTATATTGCAAAGTATATTTAGCCTTCAATACCTCCATGCCTGACAGGTCTTCATTGTACACTACATAAAGGTTTGTGACATAATCAACTCAAGTCGGGCGAGTATGGAGGGTGAGGAGGCTCTTTGAACCCACGTCACACAGCAGCCTGTAAGTCGAGAGGTGTGAGCAGAGGCATTGTCGTGAAGTAGTAGAATTCCAGCAGTCGGCATTCCTAGACGCTTTTCTTTGAAAGAATCTCAGGTGACGAAGCAAATCAGCATATTAGGCACTGGTAATCATGTTTGGAAGTAATCAACAAGGATCACATCCTTTGCATCCCAGAATACAGTGGCAATAACTTTCTTCACTGATCTCAGAAGAATTTCTCTGATGCCGGAGAAGTGGAATGGTGTTCCCAACACAGCACTATAGCAACCCAAGCGATGACGTGTGTAATGGTGGGAATCTCACTTCTTTTCCCACATCTAACCACTAGAGGTAGAGGAATTGGGGAGGTGTGTGGGAGTACTTCTGGGGCCATTTTAGTTAGTGTGACTGAAGCTAAAATACAGGATTCTATATATTCTTAGAATTATTAACAATGATAACTATTGTTTGATGTTTGACTGGGAATAGTTTGACTGTACTTATATGCATGTATGAAATGATCAGATCAAGCGTACACAGAAGTTGTCTGAAGCTTTATCTTTACTCAAACATGTACAAGTCAAAAGGAAGGTGTGCATCATCAGGAAGAAATGTGTAACCACTGAGCTATAGTGAGTTGTCCTCATTAAACAATATATCACATGACTAACCACAGGTCCGATTAGTACTGTGGGTAAACGGGCCCCACTCAGGACCCACCCGACCTGAGTACCAGAGTTACCCGTCCAAGCCCTAAATGGTGCCATTCCATGGATTGACATTTTGACTCGGGATCATAGTGGTAGACCCATGTTTTATCACCTGTTACCAATCTGTTTGTGAATTTGACAAAATCCTCCTCAATTAGCTCTAAATGTTCTCTGGCAATGGCAGTTCTTTTTTCCTTAATATCAGAATTTAGAAACTTTGGCACAAGCAGATATCAGGGATGTGAAATCTCTGCGGAAACGCGGAAAATCGCGTTTTTTAAAACAGTAGTCCTCGGAAAAAATCATCTTCCGCGTAAACATTTAATATAATTTTTAAAAAAAACACTCCGAAAAATATTATCGAAAACCGGACAATTGGCGCGGATTGTCCTGTTTTCGATCAGAGCTTTCACCAGCATAGGTTTTCGGACATCATACGTTTTCTGTCACGAATACTTGCACTATAACGTGGGGTGTGGCGTCACACAGAAATTGTAAATACTCAGAGTCAGCTGATGGCTTGTTTTTAAGATAAAGTTGTCGTTTAGCCTGTAAGTGAATGAGATGTTTTACAGTTGTTCATGTGATAAGCGAGAAAACTATGAATGTTTCTTCAGCGTCCAAAACCCCATGTCATGGGGATATATGTTGTATTAATGTCTTATGTTTGCAATGGGGTTTTGTTTTTTTCATCAAAAGGTAAGTAAAAGGTAAGTTTTTTTCAATATGCTTCAACATGGGGAAAGGGTCAGACATTGCACGCTTGTGACAGTTGTCCTTGTGTCTGGGGGATGGGGGTTGAAGTTATGGCAGTATTGCTCCCAGACCTGGCGGGTAGCCAGGTGCGCGAAAGCTATGCCCAATTTTTTAAAAGTACTGATTTAACTTCGAAATTTTACTGCATCTGCCATCTTGTTTATTTGACTTATTGACTTTGACCATTGACTTATTATATTTCTTGGTGTGAATGTTGTCCAAACTGCACGAAATTGCTTAAAATGCAATCAAATGTTTTAAAGACCCCCCTAGACTTTTCCTCTTTTTTCGGGAAACCTGCTCACATCCCTGAGTTATCTTATTCATCTGTAAATGTTCATGAATAATAGTTTCAATGGATCTATGGCTTAGACCTGTGTGTTCTTCAAGTGCAGCAATGGTAAATTTTTCTATATCCTTGACTGAATCTTCATTGATGGAAGTTGAGGGACGTCCAGACCTAGGGTCATCTTCAAGGCTTGTTGACATGCGGTCATGAATTTCTTGGAGAGTACCTTTTCAAGTGGCTGTCACTAATATACAAACGGCCTCAACAGACCAAGTACACTTGCAATGTACTACTCAAACAATGAACTACTCAAACAATGAACTACTCAAACAATGAACTACTCAAACAATGTACTACAATGACTTGTTCACTTTGTTATGGCCCATAGTTAAAAGTAAGTCAGGCTTAGAACTTTTTTAACCAATCCCCGTAACAATATATGGAACAAGAAGAAGAGATATTTTGAAAATAATTATTAAATTTTGCAAAAAAAACCATGAGAACTGATGGCGAGCTGACAGAAGCACACAACTGGTTCTCACAAACAAAGCCACATGTTAAGAATGGTGCGTACAACTGCAACGATGGCTTATAAAACACTTGCCACACTGACATTATAAAACACTTGCCACACTGACATTCTAAAACACTTGCCAAACTGACATTCTAAAACACTTGCCACACTGACATTATAAAACACTTGCCACACTGACATTCTAAAACACTTGCCACACTGACATTATAAAACACTTGCCACACTGACATTCTAAAACACTTGCCAAACTGACATTCTAAAACACTTGCCACACTGACATTCTAAAACACTTGCCACACTGACATTATAAAACACTTGCCACACTGACATTATAAAACACTTGCCACACTGACATTCTAAAACACTTGCCAAACTGACATTCTAAAACACTCGCCACACTGACATTCTAAAACACTTGCCACACTGACATTATAAAACACTTGCCACACTGACATTCTAAAACACTTGCCAAACTGACATTCTAAAACACTTGCCACACTGACATTCTAAAACACTTGCCAAACTGACATTCTAAAACACTTGCCACACTGATATTATAAAACACTTGCCACACTGACATTCTAAAACACTTGCCAAACTGACATTATAAAACACTTGCCACACTGACATTCTAAAACACTTGCCAAACTGACATTCTAAAACACTTGCCACACTGACATTATAAAACACTTGCCACACTGACATTCTAAAACACTTGCCACACTGACATTCTAAAACACTTGCCACACTGACATTCTAAAACACTTGCCACACTGACATTCTAAAACACTTGCCACACTGACATTATAAAACACTTGCCACACTGACATTCTAAAACACTTGCCAAACTGACATTCTAAAACACTTGCCACACTGACATTATAAAACACTTGCCACACTGACATTATAAAACACTTGCCACACTGACATTCTAAAACACTTGCCAAACTGACATTCTAAAACACTTGCCACACTGACATTATAAAACACTTGCCAAACTGACATTCTAAAACACTTGCCACACTGACATTATAAAACACTTGCCACACTGACATTCTAAAACACTTGCCAAACTGACATTATAAAACACTTGCCACACTGACATTCTAAAACACTTGCCAAACTGACATTCTAAAACACTTGCCACACTGACATTATAAAACACTTGCCACACTGACATTATAAAACACTTGCCACACTGACATTCTAAAACACTTGCCACACTGACATTATAAAACACTTGCCACACTGACATTCTAAAACACTTGCCACACTGACATTATAAAACACTTGCCACACTGACATTATAAAACACTTGCCAAACTGACATTCTAAAACACTTGCCACACTGACATTATAAAACACTTGCCACACTGACATTATAAAACACTTGCCACACTGACATTCTAAAACACTTGCCACACTGACATTCTAAAACACTTGCCACACTGACATTATAAAACACTTGCCACACTGACATTATAAAACACTTGCCACACTGACATTCTAAAACACTTGCCAAACTGACATTCTAAAACACTTGCCACACTGACATTATAAAACACTTGCCACACTGACATTCTAAAACACTTGCCACACTGACATTCTAAAACACTTGCCACACTGACATTATAAAACACTTGCCACACTGACATTATAAAACACTTGCCACACTGACATTATAAAACACTTGCCACACTGACATTCTAAAACACTTGCCACACTGACATTCTAAAACACTTGCCACACTGACATTCTAAAACACTTGCCAAACTGACATTCTAAAACACTTGCCACACTGACATTATAAAACACTTGCCACACTGACATTATAAAACACTTGCCACACTGACATTCTAAAACACTTGCCACACTGACATTCTAAAACACTTGCCACACTGACATTCTAAAACACTTGCCACACTGACATTATAAAACACTTGCCACACTGACATTATAAAACACTTGCCACACTGACATTATAAAACACTTGCCACACTGACATTGGGTAACAAAAGCAGTAAAACTCAAACTCATATATGAAAGTATATACAGAGAGCTTCCCATGTTGTGAGGTTAGGGAAATAAAGGTGTGACACTATAGCCCTAATGGGAGGGGCCCTCCATCACTGTATGGGCTGCTGGTGTTGAGTGAGTTTACCTTTAAGATGGTTTCCAGCACATATCTCTGCATCCTGGAGTTGTGTATTCGGATGGAGCCGCCGCCCACCTCGGCACCGTTCAGGACCAGATCATAGTGCTGACTCCGCACCTGCAGGAACACACATAGATGTGTAGCACCTCCAACACACACATGTAGCACCTTCAAAACACACACATACACACACACACACATGTAGCACCTCCAACACACACATGTAGCACCTTCAAAACACACATATACACATGCTATGTGTATATGTGATGTGTGTGTGTATGTGTGCTGTGTGTGTAGGAGTGTGTGATGCACTGACCTCAGTGTGTGAACCATGTGTTCATCATTCTTCTGAGGGGCTGTAGAGGAGTTTGTGTGAGAGTGTGAGAGTGTGTGATGTGTGTGATGTGTGTGATGTGTGTGTGTAATTGTGTGTATGAGTACATGTAAGTATGCACTGACCTCGGGGTGGGTATATATGTGTATATATGAGTTTGTGTGTGTGATGTGTGTGCATGCACATTTGTGTGTATGATGTGTGTAATATATTTGTATGCATTATATGTGCATGTGTGTATTATGTGTGATGTGTGTGTATGATGTGTGTGTACGTGTTTATGTGATGCACTGACCTTCTCGGGGTGTGTGTACAGCAGGTGTTCGTCCTCCTTGTGTGGGGCTGTGAAGGGATGGTGGGCAGACGTGTGTGTGTGACGTGTGTGTGTGATGTGTGTGTGTGATGCACTGACCTTCTCGGGGTGTGTGTACAGCAGCTGTTCATCCTCCTTGTGTGGGGCTGTGAAGGGATGGTGGGCAGACTCGACTCCCTCTGTAACATGAAGCCACCAACATTGTTCTCATCATCAACTGATAACACTGTCAACACTCAACAAGTTAAATATGCTTTATGACAGGGCTGCAACGACACAGGAAGGTCACAATACAATACACATCTCGACATTCTGGTCACGATACGATACATATCGCGTTACGCAATGATAAAAAAAAATGTCAAAACTGAAACTTTCATGATTTTGGAACAGTCAAAATTATTTTATAATAACAAGACTACTGAAGTAGTCCTTTCCTTCAAAACAATTCAAAGTTCAAACACCAGAAAATAATTAATGTACTTCACCAGTGATACAACTTCAAAGAATTTTGATGCAATGGTCGAAGAAATTGTATCTTAAATTATTGCTTTATCAGAAATAATATATTCCAATATTGTGTTACTTTAGTTGCAGCTTTTTCTTTATATATATATTTAAGATTATAAGAACCACAAGTGTAGCATTTTGGTACTGGTGATTGCTGTTGCAGGATATTTTTACGAATGGAACAATTTGACCAGTCAACGAAGGGGCTTCCCGCGCTACATGTATTTCGATTGCGAAAATGTTATGTTGACATATATTAGCCAAATTGCCACAAATATGACTTTTAACGAGTCAAAGTATGGCATTTTTAATATATGTATCCATTCTCTAGCAACTAAAGTTCGTTTCAATACGTCAAAAGCGGTAATCTGACCGTGGTTGCTGTATCTTTTCACACACGATTTCACCTAACTTAATAAAAACAATATTATATGAAATTTAAATAAAATTCCAGATATACAATGAACGAGTTTTAATAACAAGATAGTATAATAATGGTATTGAATTCCATACTTCAGTTCGGATTTGCTGACTGGTATTTCCGGTCTTATGTGATTTTGGTGATCAGCTGATAATGTTTTTTGAGATGGGGAAAAACATCTGTAAGTGTAAAACCTGAGCTTATTAAAAATGTAAGTACGTTTTGGGAGCCATGCGTTACCGCGCACTATAACCAAGTTAGCGGCTTATTGAAAGGCACAATAGCAAGGAAACGCTGTACTTGAGATTTGCGTACTGTATCGTGGCTTATCGATAAATGGGCCCACGTTTATCGTACATCGTATCATGGGTCAAGTATCAGTGTATCGTTTCACCCTTACTTTATGAGTGCTTCACCACCGTCGCAGCACTACAACCATTGCCTCTCATAGTTCAACATAGACCTACCACAGTCGTAAGTGTGAATCCCTTGTGGTTAGTGGGCAAGGTGATCTTGTACCAGCACATGAACTACAACCTGAGGTGACAAAAGTACTGAACTGGCAGCCTTTCTTTCAAGGACATCTAGAATACTACCACTGCCCCACCATGGAGGAACACAGCACTCCCCGTCACACGGCACTCCAGGTCACACGGCGCTCATGGTCACATGGCACTCCTGGTCATATGATGCTCAGGGTCACACAGCACTCGAGGTCACATCGCACTCGTGGTCACACGGCACTCCTGGTCACACAGCATTAATGCTAACACGGCACTCCTGGTCAAACGGCACTCGTGGTCACATGGCGCTCCAGGTCACACCGCACTCCTGGTCACATGGCGCTCTTGGTCATATGATGCTCAGGGTCACACAGCACTCGAGGTCACATGGCACTCGTGGTCACATAGCATTCTAGGTCACATGGCACTCACAGCATTCTAGGTCACATGGCACTCATGGTCACACGGCACTCGGGGTCACACAGCACTCGGTCACATGGCACTCATGGTCACATAGCATTCTAGGTCACATGGCACTTGAGGTCACACGGCACTTGATGTCACATGGCACTCGTCACATAGCATTTTAGGTTACATGGCACTCATGGTCACACAGCACTCATGTTCACACAATACTCAGGGTCACACGGCACTCATGGTCACATGGCACATGGGGTCACACAGCACTAGGTCACATGGCCCTCATGGTCACATGACCCTCATGGTCACATGGCACTCATGGTCACACGGCACTCATGGTCACGCTGCACTCATGGTCATATGGCACTTGGGGTCACACAGCACTCATGGCCACATGGTACTCATGGTCACATGGCACTCATGGCCACATGGCACTCATGGCCACATGGCACTCATGGTCACATGGCACTCATGGCCACACGGCACTCATGGCCACATGGCACTCATGGTCACATGGCACTCATGGTCACATGGCACACGGGGTCACACAGCACTAGGTCACATGGCCCTCATGGCCACATGGCACTCATGGTCACATGGCACTCATGGCCACACGGCCCTCATGGTCACATGGCACTAGGTCACATGGCACTCATGGTCACATGGCCCTCATGGTCACATGGCACTCATGGCCACACGGCACTCATGGTCACACGGAACTCATGGTCACATAGCACTCATGGCCAGACGGCACTCTTGGTCACACAGCACTCATGGTCACACGGCACTCATGGTCATATGGCACTCGGGGTCACACAGCATTCTAGGTCACATGGCACTCGGGGTCACATGGCACTCATGGTCACACAGCATTCTAGGTCACATGGCACTCATGGTCATACGGCACTCATGGTCACACAATACTAAGGGTCACACAGCACTCATGTTCACACAATACTCAGGGTCACACGGCACTCATGGTCACTTGGCACACGGGGTCACACAGCACTAGGTCACATGGCCCTCATGGTCACATGGCCCTCATGGTCACATGGCCCTCATGGCCACATGGCACTCATGGCCACACTGCACTCATGGTCACACGGCACTCATGGTCACACGGCACTCATGGTCACACGGCGCTCATGGTCACATGGCACTCATGGTCACATGACCCTCATGGTCACATGGCACTCATGGTCACACGGCACTCATGGTCACGCTGCACTCATGGTCATATGGCACTCATGGTCACACAGCACTCATGGCCACATGGTACTCATGGTCACATGGCACTCATGGCCACATGGCACTCATGGCCACATGGCACTCATGGTCACATGGCACTCATGGCCACACGGCATTCATGGCCACATGGCACTCATGGTCACATGGCACTCATGGTCACATGGCACACGGGGTCACACAGCACTAGGTCACATGGCACTCATGGTCACATGGCCCTCATGGTCACATGGCACTCATGGCCACACGGCACTCATGGTCACATGGAACTCATGGTCACATAGCACTCATGGCCAGACGGCACTCTTGGTCACACGGCACTCATGGTCACACGGCACTCATGGTCATATGGCACTCGGGGTCACACAGCATTCTAGGTCACATGGCACTCGGGGTCACATGGCACTCATGGTCACACAGCATTCTAGGTCACATGGCACTCATGGTCATACCGCACTCATGGTCACACAATACTAAGGGTCACACAGCACTCATGTTCACACAATACTCAGGGTCTCACGGCACTCATGGTCACATGGCACACGGGGTCACACAGCACTAGGTCACATGGCCACATGGTCACATGGCCCTCATGGTCACATGGCACTCATGGTCACATGGCGCTCATGGCCACACGGCACTCATGGTCACACGGCACTCATGGTCACACAGCACTTATGGTCACACGGCACTCATGGTCACATGGCACTCATGGCCACACGGCACTCATGGTCACATGGCACTCATGGCCACACGGCACTCATGGTCACATGGCACTCATGGTCACACGGCACTCATGGTCACACGGCACTCATGGTCATATGGTACTCGGGGTCACACAGCATTCTAGGTCACATGGCACTCGGGATCACATGGCACTCATGGTCACACAGCATTCTAGGTCACATGGAACTCATGGTCATACGGCACTCCTGGTCACACAATACTAAGGGTCACACGGCACTCATGGTCACATGGCACTCGGGGTCACAGGGCACTTGAGGTCACACGGCACTCGTGGTCACACAGTATTCTAGGTCACACGGGATGGAGTCACGACACTTGTGGTCACAAGGCACCCTATTCTCTACCTTCTCCATCTTCTCTTGGCAGGAACAGTGGAAAGTCCTCCACCCATAGGAAGTGGAATCCAGCACTCGACCTCACCGGCACACCTGCACAGGGAAGATGAATGCAATCAACACACCAGACAATCCAGTGATTGGCATCATGAGCCTCAATCCACGCAATAGGGATACGATGACATGCATCAACCATGTCAGGGAGCCTGACCACCCGGTCCCGTTAGTCGCCTCTTACGAGAACCATAGTGGCTTTTACGGCAAGCATGGGTTGCTGAAGACCTATTCTACCCCGGATCTTCACGGGTCTCAAGGTTTTGAGAAGAATGGGTGCATAAGTATGGAACTACGCCAATTTGAGCAATATTCCAGCAATGTCCTGGAAGGGGTCCCCAGAGGATTCCTGAATTCATATTGTTTTAATCAAAGATGGCTATGTTGCAGCCATACTGAAATTCCAATTTGATGCTGTTTAAAAACCTGAATACCCTTATAGCAAACAAATATTCACACAAAGATTCAGCTAAATCCATGTAGCCATATCGGAGGAAAAGTTGAAAATATATAATATTTATCAACGACGGATAACAGATGCCTTGACTGACATGGCTTTCAAGTTAGGTGAGCTAAAAAATCTGTAAAACATTTCTCAAGTTTTTATTAATTTCTTATTTGTACAACTCAGGAAATGAAGAATGAATTTGTTTGCAATATTTTTCAGATACAGTTTTGTGCCATTGATAAATTACTGATATCAGAGACCATATACTGATATTCCATATTAAATATTGATATTTTTCTTTGGGGGAGTATTCAACATATTTCTACATCCTTGGTTCACTCTATTGGGTATGTTTAATATTTAAAGGTTCTGCTTAGAATGCTGTTTCTGGCGTCACAGAAGCTCACATCATCGATATACTTGTCTCCCTTTAAAGCAAGACATATCATTTTGTGCATTATTCACTGTACTAGATTTCATGTGGTGAGGTGAAATGGGGTTCATACATTGTGTCCAAGATTATAGCACTTATAAAGCGATGTGTTGCTGCTTGTACTAGTCTGGACTCATGCCGATTTTATAGTGCTAGCCCACTGAGATACATGCCGCAGTTTAACATGAATACCCCACTCAGACACAGTATACTGACTCCGAGCCGACCAGTCCTTGTTTTTGCCCCCCAACAACAAGTAACATCTTTTCACATCTTCTGGTCTGACAAAGTTGGGGATCAAACCACCAACTTTGTGCTCTCAAAACAGATCTATCCACAGGACCGCAAATCCTGAAAGGGCTGCACAGGGTAATGATTAGCCCGTAACGTTTACAGTTTTGTCACGCTATTAGATTTCAGCAATTCCTTGTACGTATTTGTACACATGTAATTAAATTAATTGGCCAATGGTGATATATCTATGCATCTTATGCAAATATGCAGCTTATCAGCTGCGTGAAGTATTCCTCATTTCCTACTTACATCAACAGAAAGCTGAGAAGCACTGGAGGGCCCCGATTGATGTGTTACTATCTGCAGACAACACCTCCTCCTCCCCACATGGGGTTAATTAGCCTCATTACACACAGCTAATTGTTGTGTTGACCCTGGGGTTATCTGACAAGGATGTGCAGGGCAGGGTAACACGCTTATCTCCCCTGGCCGGGGCCGGCACACACAAGGTACAACCTAGGAGTGTCCAGGGGAGGCATGGACTCTAATATTAGCAGGATATCAGTACACATTAGCTATGATTGGATGGGTCACACACCTTTGCACAGCATCAAGAATATCTAATTATTTCTGAGTCTCCATGTCTCCCTTAGTGTTGTAATCATCTTAATTCTGCATGACCCGTACCTCCGGAGAAGGCCTATTACACCATTAGCAGTAGACTAGTCTCTGAAAATGTATAATACTGATCGGAACAAATAACTCCATTTAAATTGAAAAGGCGCCCTAGATAGGAGATTCAGTGTGTGAGTGAGTATGGTTTTAGCAACATTCCAGCAATATCACGGCAGGGGACACCAGAAACGAGCTTCATATATTGTACCCATGTGGGGATTCAAACCCAGGTCTTCGGCGTGATGAGTGAGCACTTTAACCACTGGACTACCCCACCACCCCCTCAGAACCTGAGGGAAATCTAGACTTGCTTCATTTCGGGGTTTTGCATTACAGTCAGGGCTGGACGGAAGGAAAAATAATATGGATAAGCTTGACCACTGTTAACTACTATATCGTACAACAAGGACGTGACACAGACTGGAACAAACATGTGACACAGACATGTATTGCGTATTGAATGTACTATTATCATAAACTAACACGTTCTACATGGCAGCACGGTGACAAGCATCCCTCTACTGACAGGATGAGGTCATGCTACGTACTGCTGCACCAACATCCGTTACCTCTTGCCTCCAGTGTGTCCGCACACGCCAGTCTTGCCCGGCCCAGACAGGTCAGCTATTGGAAGCAATGAAATTATAGAATTATCAAAGGAATTACTGATCCTACTTTCCACAAAAATCAAGACTGGATGGGTACCGGTGTTTTGCAAATCCAGATGTTATTTTAAAGAAAACTATGAACCCTGGTGAGTTTTTTAAGAAATACACCTTGTAACTATGTAATTTTTATGGCAGAAAATTTCTCTTTTTTTATTCAACAGTCTGAAGCAAAATTATATTTTTGAAATTGGACAATTTGTAAATGACAATTACATCAGGAACAACAGATAATCACTGACAACTCACCACATTTTCTGTTTCCCCTGTTACCATGACAACAATATCATTCGGTTGCACAGCCAGTCTATCTGAGATGGACTGCTTGACTCCCTCAGTCAGAGACTTGGCCACGCCCCCCTGCCATGTGTTGTCTTCCTTGATCTTCACAGTCATGACATTCTGTAACAAACATTCCCCATGTTACCATGACAACCACATCATGCCACGCCCCCCTGCCATGTGTTGTCTTCCTTGATCTTCACAGTCATGACATTCTGTAACAAACATTCCCCATGTTACCATGACAACCACATCATGCCACGCCCCCTGCCACGTGTTGTCTTCCTTGATCTTCAGTCATGACATTCTGTAACAAACATTCCCCATGTTACCATGACAACCACATCATGCCACGCCCCCTGCCATGTGTTGTCTTCCTTGATCTTCACAGTCATGACATTCTGTAACAAACATTCCCCATGTTACCATGACAACCACATCATGCCACACCCCTGCCATGTGTTGTCTTCCTTGATCTTCACAGTCATGACATTCTGTAACAAACATTCCCCATGTTACCATGACAACCACATCATGCCACGCCCCCTGCCATGTGTTGTCTTCCTTGATCTTCACAGTCATGACATTCTGTAACAAACATTCCCCATGTTACCATGACAACCACATCATGCCACGCCCCTGCCATGTGTTGTCTTCCTTGATCTTCACAGTCATGACATTCTGTAACAAACATTCCCCATGTTACCATGACAACCACATCATGCCACACACCCACTGCCATGTGTTGTCCTCCTTGATCTTCACAGTCATGACATTCTGTAACAAACATTCCCCATGTTACCATGACAACCACATCATGCCACACACCCACTGCCATGTGTTGTCTTCCTTGATCTTCACAGTCATGACATTCTGTAACAAACATTCCCCATGTTACCATGACAACCACATCATGCCACGCCCCTGCCATGTGTTGTCTTCCTTGATCTTCACAGTCATGACATTCTGTAACAAACATTCCCCATGTTACCATGACAACCACATCATGCCACGCCCCTGCCATGTGTTGTCTTCCTTGATCTTCACAGTCATGACATTCTGTAACAAACATTCCCCATGTTACCATGACAACCACATCATGCCACGCCCCTGCCATGTGTTGTCTTCCTTGATCTTCACAGTCATGACATTCTGTAACAAACATTCCCCATGTTACCATGACAACCACATCATGCCACACACCCACTGCCATGTGTTGTCTTCCTTGATCTTCACAGTCATGACATTCTGTAACAAACATTCCCCATGTTACCATGACAACCACATCATGCCACGCCCCCTGCCATGTGTTGTCTTCCTTGATCTTCACAGTCATGACATTCTGTAACAAACATTCCCCATGTTACCATGACAACCACATCATGCCACGCCCCTGCCATGTGTTGTCTTCCTTGATCTTCACAGTCATGACATTCTGTAACAAACATTCCCCATGTTACCATGACAACCACATCATGCCACGCCCCTGCCATGTGTTGTCTTCCTTGATCTTCAGTCATGACATTCTGTAACAAACATTCCCCATGTTACCATGACAACCACATCATGCCATGCCCCCTGCCATGTGTTGTCTTCCTTGATCTTCACAGTCATGACATTCTGTAACAAACATTCCCCATGTTACCATGACAACCACATCATGCCATGATCCGAGTATTATGAGCAGAATTATTTTACATCGCATCCCTTCAGCAAAATTAGGTAAACGAACATGTGACAACAAATTTGGTCAATGCAAATTTGTGATAAAACATCACTTGACACGTAATGATTTATCATTTAAATTGTATTTCCAATTCTAGTCAGCAAATTTGTTTTATATGCAGAGATTAAGATTAATGTGTGTAATTTTTTCGTAAACTAAGCTGGAAACAGCAATCAGCGATACACACGTTTCTCGGAATCTACTGGTGATTCTGTTAAATATTACCCAATACTATAACTTTAAAGAATTTTGATGCAATGATCTGAAGAATTGTACATGAAACTATTATTTTGTCAGGAATGATATATTCCTATATCGTGCTATTTTAGTTGCAGCTTTACTATATATATTTAAAACAACAATAACCATAAGCATTACTAAGCACTAACTTTGGGGCAGGTGATCGCTATTGCTGGATAGTTTTTACGCGTGGAGCAGTATGACCAGTCACCGTCAAGGTGAAACTGCAACAAATCTACTTTTGACTAGTCAAAGTGTGTCATTTATGAAATCTACCTGTACATACCTTTTTTCTGTCAACTAAAGTTCATTTCAAGGCATCAATAACAGTAATATAGCTGGTTGCGGTGTACGACTAAGAAAGTCCTTTACAGGTTTAAGCCAGTAACTATGTGACAACTTTAGGTTGTTTAAAACCCCTAATATTCATTCCCCTGATTTTCCATTAACAATCAACATAAGTATTTAGTGCTGATATTAATATGGCAGCGTCCTTGTAGTGTTCTGTAGTGAGTGTTTTCTTTTACAAATTGCGAAATGTCTAAGAGACTTGGCCACACATCCCAGAAAATATATCATTTTATGGAAACAAATAACTCAATTTAAATTGAAAAGGAGCCCTATAGTCTGTCATACAGACCCTGAAACAAAATATATCCAATACAGGCCATGCAAGTCTATAATATTTGGCAAGTCTAGATGACTGCATGAAAATGAAGAAAGTCTCTTGGCTGCTTTTTATCATATTTAAAAACTATAGCTTAACCACTGGTTTTTTTTGTAAAATATGTTCATTTCATGTAAATCTAGGAGCCCCAGTGATGTGGAAGATTAAGAACCTTAGGAAAATCTAGACTTGCTTCATTTACAGCCATAGCATATTACAAGAAAGGACTGGGCAGATTAAGGGAATATAACATGGTTCAGGGATTGTGAGACTGCCTACCACTCCGCCATGTATTGTCCTTCTGGATGTTCACACTCATAACATCCCCCCATCCCTCCTCCACCCCCCACCCCAACACACTATGTAACAGGATCAGAATCTTGTATCAAAATAACCAAATGTCTCACCAGCTTATATATGACCTATATATATTATTATCAAATAATATCTATATTCTATTTTTAAACACAACAATGTAGAAAATTAAAAACAAACAAACCCATAAATAATTGAATGAGAAATATTAATGAACTGAAGATCACAGAAAGTACAGATGTTGGTAGGTGTATAGACTCACACAAGTCTCAAAAGCAATAATTATTTGTATAAAACATAAGTACTAGTTTTTCAGTTGTCCCCACAAGAGGCTGGTGTCCTCAGACTGTTGACATATGTAGACTTGCCCATCAGGAGAATATAATTACTACACATCCATGGACTTTTCTTTCGGTACAGCCTTGGAGCAAGGCTAGTCAGTGTAGCGCCGTGGGCGTGGAGTGGGAACCATCACCTCCTCCTCTACACCAGACAGGGAGGGATCCTGTTACCCAGCTCTAGGGTGTTGAATTACCCCCAGTGATACAGGATCCCCCCCAGTGATACAGGATCCCCCCCAATCAGTTGGCGAGAGGAGGCAGACCCATCTTGTTGAACTGTACCTTACAGGCCAGGACACTGCTTCACACACACCACTCCTGGTATCATATGTACTCAAATTGTTTTCTCCTACACTGATGAGATGTTACTTGATTTTGAGTGAGACTGATGGTATTGTGATGTGATGGTATTGTGATGTGATAGTTTTGTGATGTGATGGTATTGTGATGTAATGTCAGTGTGATGTCATGTCAGAGTGATGTGATTGTATTGTGATGTAATAGTTGTGTGATGTGATGGTATTGTGATGTGATAGTTTTGTGATGTGATGGTATTGTGATGTGATAGTTTTGTGATGTGATGGTATTGTGATGTAATGTCAGTGTGATGTCATGTCAGAGTGATGTGATGGTATTGTGATGTAATAGTTGTGTGATGTGATGGTATTGTGATGTGATAGTTGTGTGATGTGATGGTATTGTGATGTGATAGTTGTGTGATGTGATGGTATTGTGATGTGATAGTTGTGTAATGTGATGGTATTGTGATGTGATAGTTGTGTGATGTGATGGTATTGTGATGTGATAGTTGTGTGATGTGATGGTATTGTGATGTGATGGTTGTGTAATGTGATGGTATTGTGATGTGATAGTTGTGTGATGTGATGGTATTGTGATGTAATAGTTGTGTGATGTGATGGTATTGTGATGTGATGGTATTGTGATGTGATAGTTGTGTGATGTGATGGTATTGTGATGTGATAGTTGTGTGATGTGATGGTATTGTGATGTCATGTAGGTGTGATGTCATGTTAGTGCGATGTCATGTTAGTGTGATGTCATCTTTGTGTGATTTCATGTCAGTTTGATGTGAAGGTATAGTGATGTGATGGTTGTGTGATGTGAAGGTATAGTGATGTGATGGTTGTGTAATGTGATGGTATTGTGATGTTGTTTTTGTTTGTTTGTTTGTTGTTTTAATGCCACACTCAGCAATATTCCAGCCTTATGACGGCGGTCTGTAAATAATCTAGTTTAGACCAGACAATTCAGTGACGGACATCATGAGCATCAATCCACGCAATTAGGATACGATGAACCAACCAAGTCAGCGAGCCTGACCACCTGATCCTGTTAGTCGCCTCTTATGACAAGCATAGTCACCTTTCATGGCAAGCATCAGGGTTGCTGAAGACCTATTCCACCCCGGATCTTCACGGGTCAGTATTGTGATGTATGTGATATGTCAGTGTGATGTGATGGTTGTGTGACGTAAGGTAATATGACATCTTAGACCAGGTCAAGTCAGGAAAGTCAGTCTGTGCAATCATGTTTGGTATTTAACGATGTACTCAGCAATTTTCCAGCTATAGGACGGCAGCCTCTAAATAATCAATTCTCGGCCAAACAATCCAGTGATTGACATGATGAACATCGATCCACGTAATTGGGATAGGATGACATGCATCAACCAAGTCAGTGAGCCTGATCACCCGATCTTGTTACTCGCCCTTTACGACAGAAATATACGCCTTTTATGACAAGCATTGGTTGCAGAAGACCTATTCGAACCTGGATCTTAATATCATGACATCACTGTTTAACTGTCAATGACAATCGATGATGTAAGTATTGGGCACTGTTGTGTTTGTCTGCCTGAGATGATATATTTCCATCAATTCACCAAATTAAAAACTGAAAGAAACTGCACTCTTCATATTTTAGTTTGTCTCCTATATCTTACAATATTGACCAAAGGGAAATGTGAAATAGGAAGCCAATCTGGACTGGCCAAAAAATAGAACACCCTTGGAACATTCCTGTCTCCTGGCTTGAGCAGTGCCAGTGTGAACCTGTACCCCCGACATGTGTCCCTACATCTAATAACTATCACAAGGACTGGCTGATTGGGAGGTCATATCAGTGTCATCAGAGAAGATACCAGGCGTGGCGGCAGGGCCAGTCAGCCAGTTACGACCAGCCAGTGAGCCACGAGCCAGCACACTTACAGACACACATACACATGCAAGTACAGACGGACGGGACCTAGACACAGACAGCCACACACAGGTAGGATCATCTTGACCACCCCATTACAGCACATCTGTACTCCTTCTTGTAACACCACCCCATGTCTACATCTGTACTCCTTGTAACACCACCCCATGTCTACATCTGTACTCTTTGTAACACCACTCCATGTCTACATCTGTACTCCTTCTTGTAACACCACCCAATGTCTACATCTGTACTCCTTGTAACACCACCCCATGTCTACATCTGTACTCCTTGTAACACCACCCTATGTCTACATCTGTACTCCTTGTAACACAACCCCATGTCTACATCTGTACTCCTTGTAACACCACCCTATGTCTACATCTGTACTCTTCCTTGTAACACCACCCTGACATGTCTACATCTTTACTCCTTGTAACACCACCCCATGTCTACATCTTTACTCCTTGTAACACCACCCTGACATGTCTACATCTGTACTCCTTGTAACACCACCCTATGTCTACATCTTTACTCCTTGTAACACCACCCTGACATGTCTACATCTGTACTCCTTGTTACACCACCCCATGTCTAAATCTATACTCTTTGTAACACCACCCTATGTCTACATCTGTACTCCTTGTAACACCACCCTATGTCTACATCTGTACTCCTTGTAACACCACCCCATGTCTACATCTGTACTTCTTGTAACACCACCCCATGTCTACATCTGTACTCCTTGTAACACCACCCTATGTCTACATCTGTACTCCTTGTAACACCACCCTATGTCTACATCTGTACTCCTTGTAACACCACCCTCTGTCTACATCTGTACTCCTTGTAACACCACCCCCTGTCTACGTCTGTACTCCTTCTTGGAATACCATCCTGACATGTCGTCATCTGTACTCCTTCTTGTAACACCATCCTGACATGTCTACATCTGTACTCCTTGTAACACCACCCAATGTCTACATCTGTACTCCTTGTCACACCACCCTGACATGTCTACATCTGTACTTCTTGTAACACCACCCAATGTCTACATCTGTACTCTTCCTTGTAACACCACCCTATGTCTACATCTGTACTCCTTGTAACACCACCCTGACATGTCTACATCTGTACTTCTTGTAACACCACCCAATGTCTACATCTGTACTCTTCTTGTAACACCACCCAATGTCTACATCTGTACTCTTCCTTGTAACACCACCCAATGTCTACATCTGTACTCCTTGTCACACCACCCTGACATGTCTACATCTGTACTTCTTGTAACACCACCCTCTGTCTACATCTTTACTCCTTGTAACACCACCCCATGTCTACATCTATACTCTTTGTAACACCACCCTATGTCTACATCTGTACTCCTTGTAACACCACCCCATGTCTACATCTATACTCTTTGTAACACCACCCTATGTCTACATCTGTACTCCTTGTAACACCACCCCATGTCTACATCTGTACTCCTTGTAACACCACCCTGACATGTCTACATCTGTACTTCTTGTAACACCACCCTCTGTCTACATCTGTACTTCTTGTAACACCACCCTGTCTACATCTGTACTTCTTGTAACACCACCCTCTGTCTACATCTGTACTTCTTGTAACACCACCCTCTGTCTACATCTGTACTTCTTGTAACACCACCCAATGTCTACATCTGTACTCTTCCTTGTAACACCACCCAATGTCTACATCTGTACTCCTCCTTGTAACACCACCCAATGTCTACGTCTGTACTCTTCCTTGTAACACCACCCCATGTCTACATCTGTACTCCTTCTTGTAACACCACCCTATGTCTACATCTGTACTCTGACATGACATGTCTACATCTGAACTCTCTTCTTCAACACACTAACACACACGCTTTCCCTCAGTTTTCAAAATAGACATCGGTCCGCGTCCAACAGATTTGTTCTCGGGCTGAAAATTTTAAATTTCAGCAGGTCCTTTAGGCCTGCAGTTTATTTTAAGCTGTCAACATGGCAAATGAGCCACAACACAGGTTGCTTGGTGAAACAGGGTCCAGCTTCAGAGTAACTCTGCTTGTTAACTCTATCAACACTGCAGACCGCAAAATAATACATAGTTTCATGAACCTACCTGTCATATCATTCATTTATTAAATCTATTACTTTTCACAATGTCAGGAAATATCGAACATGTCAAAGATCAATATAAAGACGTTTCAAGCAAATAGTAACTAAATTAAATAAAGTAATATAGAAAATCAACAAACACATTTTAAAAAATTGTCCAACTTACATCTAAGTTACTATTTTCTATCTTTTTGTGCGATCGTGTATTGAAAGTCAAATGACATCTCGGCAGTTGTCACCTCAATTTATAGGCTCCCACATGATGCTTAATGCCAAAATATATGCATGAGAACATATGATACATAGGGGCGGCTCCCTCCTTGCTCTATGTGATACATGGGACGGCTCCCTCCTGGCTCTATATGATACATGGGGCGGCTCCCTCTTGGCTCTGTGATACATGGGGGGCTCCCTCCTTGCTCTATGTGATACATGGGGCGGGTCCCTCCTGGCTCTATGTGATACATGGGGTGGCTCCCTCCTGGCTCTATGTGATACATGGGGTGGCTCCCTCCTTGCTCTATGTGATACATGGGACGGCTCCCTCCTGGCTCTATATGATACATGGGAGCTCCCTCCTGGCTCTATGTGATACATGGGGCAGCTCCCTCCTGGCTCTATATGATACACTGGGCGGCTCCCTCCTGGCTCTATGTGATACATGGGGCGGCTCCCTCCTGGCTCTATGTGATACATGGGGTGGCTCCCTCCTGGCTCTATGTGATACATGGGACGGCTCCCTCCTGGCTCTATGTGATACACTGGGCGGTTTCCTCCTGGCTCTATGGGATACATGGGGCGGCTCCCTCCTGGCTCTATGTGATACATGGGGTGGCTCCCTCCTGGCTCTATGGGATACATGGGGCAGCTCCCTCCTGGCTCTATGTGATACATGGGGTGGCTCCCTCCTGGCTCTATGGGATACATGGGGCGGCTCCCTCCTGGCTCTATGTGATACATGGGGCGGCTTCCTCCTGGCTCTATGTGATACACTGGGCAGCTCCCTCCTGGCTCTATGGGATACATGGGGCAGCTCCCTCCTGGCTCTATGTGATACACTGGGCGGCTTCCTCCTGGCTCTATGTGATACATGGGGTGGCTCCCTCCTGGCTCTATATGATACATGGGGCGGCTCCCTCTTGGCTCTATGGGATACATGGGGCAGCTCCCTCCTGGCTCTATGTGATACACTGGGCGGCTTCCTCCTGGCTCTATGGGATACATGGGGCGGCTCCCTCCTGGCTCTATGGGATACACTAGGCAGCTCCCTCCTGGCTCTATGGGATACATGGGGCAGCTCCCTCCTGGCTCTATGTGATACACTGGGCGGCTCCATCCTGGCTCTATGGGATACATGGGGCAGCTCCCTCCTGGCTCTATGTGATACATGGGGCGGCCCCCTCCTGGCTCTATGTGATACACTGGGCGGCTTCCTCCTGGCTGTATGTGATACATGGGGCGGCTCCCTCTTGACTCTATGGGATACATGGGGCAGCTCCCTCCTGGCTCTATGTGATACACTGGGCGGCTCCCTCCTGGCTCTATGGGATACATGGGGCAGCTCCCTCCTGGCTCTATGTGATACACTGGGCGGCTTCCTCCAGCATTATGTAATCACGCATGGTTTCTTAAATATTCTGAAACACTGATTTTCTTAGAATGTATGACAAAGAGTTTATGACCCTTGTGTTTTTGGTGTAGTATATGTATCATATGTATAAAAATAATTATGATGCGACATGGTAGGCGTGTCAGGGTGATGCGGACACACTCTGCAAATCAGTGCAGTAATTCAATCATTCTTACTAAGGACTCCAGTCTCTTACAGGGACAACTTGTTCATAGTATTTACATAATCTAGAACTTATGATTAAATCAAATAATTATTGCCTCAGAGACTTGTGCAAGTCCAGATATATTGTTACTCTTTTCGGGAATCATAGTTTCTATGAAATGTCATCTTCCCAAGGCAAGTGCATCGATAAGCCTTTTTATCAAAGTCTTGTTTCCACCCTTGCTACATCAAGCCCACTTTCCTGCACCAAATATAATTGGACTATCGCACATGTCGCAGTCCAATCAGAAAATGTCTCACAAACTCAACATCCACGACAGTACATGTTCATATGAAAGTGATATACCGCTGCCTGTCTTTGTTGACAAGAATTTGTCTTTTTCATCTTTTAAACCCCAAACGATTGCCTATGTTTTTGTGTCCGGGATGAAATCGTGAATGTTTTCGTTACATGATCGACTAAGACTTCGACATCTTTGTGAAGCTATACGGGATAAGAACAGCGATCTGATTGGATATCACGTTTTCATTACAACAGGCACAACTCGTGATCTATGCGAGGTGGTGCCAGGTTTGAGCCAAGAAAAGTGGCCTTGATGTGGCAAGGGTAGAAACTAGGCTTTGATATAGGCTAGTGGACATGCATGCCTCGGTAAAATGTACATCTTGACTAGTGACAGTACCTAAGACACCGATTATTAGGCAAGACAGCTGTCTTGCAACTTGAAGCTGTTAACATGCTGTTTTTGTTACAGGTTCATCCAGTCACCATGGAGACCTCCATGTTGGTCAGTCTGACGATGCTGGTCAGCATCCTGCTGTTCCCTGCCAGTCACGCCCAGTGTCCTAGCGTCTGCAGCTGTAACGACGCCCTCACAAGCATACAGTGCAGAGATCGGGACCTGTTCCACCTGCCTGAGCTGCCCGCGGCGAAGGTGCATCACCTCAACGTGTCCAACAACATCCTGGGCCCTGTCCTCACCATCTCCTTCAGCTCCTTCACCAGGCTCACCCATCTCGACCTCTCCACCAATCTTATCTCCTTCATCAGCAACGACACATTCCGTGGCCTGGGATCCCTGACCCATCTCGACCTCAGCAGCAACAACCTGAAAGTGTTGGAGGCAGACGTGTTTCAGGGACTTCATCGGCTGCAGGTGCTCCACCTCAGCAACAACCGCATTGACACCATGGACGGAGCATTCTACCGCCATCTGTCCAACCTCAGAGAACTCTATCTCAGTAGGAACAACTTCTTCCAGCTGAAGCTTGGTTTGAGATTCCAGGTTCTCAACCAACTGCAGGTTCTTGATCTCTCTCATAATGACTTTGCTGACATTACAAATGATGCTTTTGATAATGTTCACAGCTGGACAAATACTGTAAAAAGAAAACTCAGCTTGTCTCACTGTCAAATCACATCTGTTGAAAACGGAACTTTTATACAGTTCCGAGGACTGAATGACCTTGACCTCTCGGGGGTGACCACATTGACCTCTGAAAACATCTCCATCATCATGCAGGACCTCAAACACTCTAACACCAAGCGACTTAACCTGGCATCAATGAACCTCGCCAACATCGACATGATCTTTGCCAACTCACCCAAGCTGTCCCTACACTATCTTAACCTCTCCAACAACAAACTAGAAAACATATCAGCTACAGCCTTTGCCAATGTAGGCTCACTTCAGCAACTAGACATCAGCCACAACAACATGCAGGTATTGCAGCCCTCCTTCACAAGGCTTAACAACCTAAAGACTCTGGACATTTCTCACAATGAGCTCAAGTCCTTTGATGGGCCTGCAGTTGCCCAGCTAACCAGCCTGGAGACTCTCACAGCCAGCCATAACAGGTTTGATGACAGGTCACAGCTGAAGCTTAACCCTATGCAGCAGCTCAAGGTCCTCGATCTCAGCTTCAACACTCTGGATGATCTGATAACCACTGGTAATACCATCAAACTGGAAGAACTAGTTCTGGCAGGAAATAACATCTCCAGTCTCGACATGATACCGCAGGCAGATAACCTTCGTGTCCTGGATGTCAGCCAGAACAAGATCACCGTTCTCGGACCCTACATATTCTCATCAGCTGTCAAGTTAGAGAAAGTGGATTTTAGTCGCAACCTGATCTCAGTGATCAGTCACATGGTATTCCTCCCCAACACCTCCCATCCCTACATCATAAATCTGTCAGGGAACCAGCTGACCACACTGTGGTTCGGTGGATGGTCCAGAGCTCAAGTTCTAGATCTCTCCAACAATCAGATATCTGAAGTTGACTACAATGCCTTCCAGAGTATGAGTGACCTGGAAGTGTTAGACCTGTCTTTCAATTCCATCACAGGTTTCCATGACTACACCTTCAGAGACCTTCTGAATCTGCACACTCTTATTGTGTCAAACAACTCTCTGGAAAACCACAATCCCAACCAGAAATTCAAATATACTTTCAATGGTCTTGGTTCTCTGAAAACACTTGACCTGAGTTCTAACAGCATCACACATCTGGAAGAAAGCACTTTTGACAAAAATCCTGCACTGGTCAACATATCTCTTGCTAGTAACCAGCTTTCAAATATTTCTCCATTTGTGTTCAAAGACTTGAAAGAGTTGCAAAACCTCCGCTTATCTGGCAACCCATTCCTCTGTGACTGTGCTCTGCTTCCACTGGTGACCTGGCTGACTGAGATCAATCCCCACATCTACGGAAAGTCGTCTTCCGCCTTTGTGTGTGGATCTCCCTACAGTAGGAGAGGGTTGAGCATATTTGACTACGAGGTGACTGTCCTTGAGTGCAATGAAGGCCTTCTACACTTCATTGTCTTCGGCTCCCTGGGACTATTGATGATCTTTGTCGGAGTAGTGGGGACCATTGTTTGTCGGTGCTACCACAAGGGGAGGGTGATTATGAAATCAAAGATACGTGATGAGAAGATAAAGGAAGACGTCAAGGTGAACCATGTGAGGAAAGCTAAGAAGGACATGCCCATGGAGATACTGGATGAGCTGGACCACCATCTCAAGATGAAGCTGTGGAGCAGCAAACACAAGGGTCTCAGTCATGTTCCAAACGGTGTTCTGAAACAGAGCAAGACTGAAGAGCCAAAGTCTCACAAGGTCAAAGAATCTAAGGACAGAGGGAGAAAGGAAAAGAAAGACTCTTCAAGGTCAAGGTCAAAGTCTCAAGATAGGAAGTCCTCCAAATCCCGATCCAAAAGTCGTGACAGGAACAGATCCCACAGCAAAACTGACAAGAGAACCAAGGAGGAAAAAGAGCGACTCCGACGCTACGAGAAGCAGCTGCTGTTTACACTGGCCCGGTACAACCCAACCAGTCGGTGGGATTCCGAGGGAAGGGACAGGTGGGCAACGCTTGGACAAATGGACCTGGGGAACAGGAGAGACTACGATCCCCAGAGAGCAGATATGTTCTATACCATGCCCTCTCACCGACGTCAGACTCTGCTAGACGACCGGCGGCATCGCCAGCCCCCTCATCGACGTCATCAACAGACTCTGCTGGATGACCGGGAGCTCGGCCGGAGTGAGTACAGTCAAATCAACCGACAAGGCAGACTTGCACCATCTCACAGGAGAACAGCTAAACCTAGACCCTATGCACAGGATGATCTTGGCATGAGGAGAGTGTCCCCGTCACACCGATATGACATTGTGCGAGGACGTCGGGGAGGCGAGGAAGACTGCAGGAGACAGACACAGAGGCTGCCAGACAGGTACCACTCCGAACCCTATGTCCATTTTCTGAAGGACAGACAACATGACGGCTATCAGTCTCAGAAACATGACCGTCACACTGAACCCAGGTCAAGGGGAGATAAGCGTGGGTATGATGTGATGACCTTGGAGAAGGCAAATGCTGCTGAAGGTGCCAGGCAGTCCCGAGGCACAGAAAGAGAATATGTTGAGCTGCCATTCCCCGACACCCGAGGCCGGCCAGGACACGAGGAAATCATCATCCAGCCGCAGAGGAGCAAGAGCTATGGTGACATTGATTTCCATTCGAAGAAGAGAAGATTTGAGCATGATGCAGACAACTTATTACACAAACAGAGGGAGCGAGACACAGAGCGCTCCCAGCAAGGGAGGGACACCCAAGAAGCGGCTCAGGTTAGGTTAAGTTCTCACTATAGGTCAGAGCCTGCCATTAGTGAAGTGAAAGTGGAAATTCATCAGGAAGATCCAAGGAGAACCCCAGAGCCAGATTATCCCTCCGACAATCCAAAATTGTCTGACTGGGTTTGACACTGCGACCGTCACAAAGTGTGAATATAACATCCTGACCAGACAGTAACCATCTAGGAAAGTGTGACATATATGTGAAATGAAGACCTTGTTGGCCATGTTTGGTGTGAAATGAAGACCTTGTTGGCCATGTTTGGTGTGAAATGAAGACCTTGTTGGCCATGTTTGGTGTGAAATGAAGACCTTGTTGGCCATGTTTGGTGTGAAATGAAGACCTTGTTGGCCATGTTTGGTGTGACAATGAAGACTTGTTTGACATATCTGGTGTGACAACGAAGACTTGTTTGACATATCTGGTGTGACAACGAAGAATTGATTGGCATGTTTAGTGTGAAAACGAAGACTTGTTTTGGCATGTTTAGTGTGAAAATGGAGACTTTTGGGCATATCTGATTTGACAACGAAGATTTGTTTGGCATGTTTGGTTTGTCATATTGACTGGACAGTTAAGTAGGAATCCTACCTGTGTAGATGAATGCTATGTGTGTAATATGTGTGTAATATGTGTTTGTTTTGTTCTTCCTGATGTACAGATTGTGAGTGTATATCTTCTCCATAAGCATACACAACGGTATGACTGTACACATACAAACATGTGATATCAGATATATACAATACACTCAATACATGTGGTATCAGATATATACAATACACTCAATACATGTGGTATCAAACATACAATACAGTCAATATATGTGGTATCGGACATATACAATACACTCAATACATGTGGTATCAGACATACAATACAGTCAATACATGTGGTATCAGACATACAATACAGTCAATACATGTGGTATCAGACATACAATACAGTCAATACATGTGGTATCAGATATATACAATACAGTCAATACATGTGGTATCAGACATACAATACAGTCAATACATGTGGGATCAGATATATACAATACAGTCAATACATGTGTTATCAGACATACAATACGCTCAATACATGTGGTATCAGACACACAATACACTCAATACATGTGACATTAGGCACATAATGCACTCAATACATGTGACATCAGACATATAATGCACTCAATACATGTGACATCTGACACACAATGCACCCAATACATGTGACATCAGACAAACAATACATGTGACATCAGACACACAATACATGTGACATCTGACACACAATGCACCCAATACATGTGACATCAGACAAACAATACATGTGACATCAGACACACAATACATGTGACATCAGACAAACAATACATGTGACATCAGACACACAATACATGTGACATCAGACACACAATGCACCCAATACATGTGACATCAGACAAACAATACATGTGACATCAGACACACAATACATGTGACATCAGACAAACAATACATGTGACATCAGACACACAATACATGTGACATCAGACACACAATACATGTGACATCTGACACACAATACATGTGACATCAGACACACAATGCACCCAATACATGTGACATCAGACACACAATACATGTGACATCAGACACACAATACATGTGACATCAGACACACAATACATGTGACATCAGACACACAATACATGTGACATCAAACACACAATGCACCCAATACATGTGACATCAGACACACAATACATGTGACATCAGACACACAACACATGTGACATCAGACAAACAATGCATGTGACATCAGACAAACAATACATGTGACATCAGACACACAATACATTTGACATCAGACACAATACATGTGACATCAGACACACAATACATGTGACATCAGACACACATTGCACTTGATTCATGAACAGAGCAAGCAGTGGTGAGTGGATCTAGGTGAACTCAACATTGAGATGTTCGTCCTTCAGTGAGTGTGGGGTGTGAGTAGGGGTGAAACGATACAGCTAGGTTACGAATCGATACATATTATGTTGCATAGGTCATGATATGATACGTATCGTAATGCGAATATTTACGTCAAATCGTGTGGAAATCTCTTACTATAAATACTTCTGAGCAGTATCAAAAGGAAAAGCTAGTTGTAGCCACATGTTTGTAGCGGCTATTATTAGTAGTGAACTTAAAACTCGAATTCCAACACATTTTGCGATATTTTACTGACAAAAACTCTGAGGTCATAAAACAAGTAGTAAGTAATTTCTTTAACAAGTGTATCGTCTTGTATCAATACAGAAAAAACGTACCGTGTATCGTATCATCGCACCAGTGCACCGATGTATTGTTCACCTGTGGGTGTGAGCAAGCTGGAGGGGATGCTGTAGGGGATGCTGTATATAGCTGCATGTATAAACTGGACACTCATAACCATTCCTGTAGTACACATGTATTTCCTGGTATCAGTAGTAAACATATAAGGTTCATTTGTGTTAGTGTGTCTTTTCTAAAACAGTTGTCAAACATCGGTTACAAGTTGGTGGAGTGAGTGAGTGAGTGAGTGAGTGAGTGAGTGAGTGAGTGAGTGAGTGAGTGAGTGAGTGAGTGAGTGAGTGAGTGAGTGAGTGAGTGAGTGAGTGAGTGAGTGAGTGAGTGAGTGAGTGAGTGAGCGGGGTTTAATGCTGCTTTTAGCAGTATTCCAGTTATATCGCGGCATGTCAGCTATCAGTGGGAGCAAAGCCCAAAGTGATACAGGTCTCAGACGTTACCACTTCTGTGAAACCCACGAGCAAGGGTATGGTGCTGACAAACCTAGAAACATAATCAGGGCAAACCGGGATTTGAACCCACAATAATAGGTTTCTGTCATGCCCAAGGATCGCAACTCTGCACAGCAAATCGCGGCGCCTTAGACGATTGGCCACCCGTGCCCCCAGTGGAATGAGATAAACCGCTAATTTGGTGGAGGAAATCATGAAACTAATGTGAGTGTTGACCCCTTGACCCTTGCCTGACCCATGTTAACCCCAAGCCTAAGATGTTTCACCCCTTGACCCTTGCCTGACCCATGTTAACCCTAAGCCTAAGATGTGTCACCCCCAGACCCTTGCCTGACCCATGTTAACCCCAAGCCTAAGATGTTTCACCCCTAGACCCTTGCCTGACCCATGTTAACCCCAAGCCTAAGATGTGTCACCCCTAGACCCTTGCCTGACCCATGTTAACCCCAAGCCTAAGATGTTTCACCCCTAGACCCTTGCCTGACCCATGTTAACCCAAAGCCTAAGATGTGTCACCCCTAGACCTTGCCTGACCCATGTTAACCCCAAGCCTAAGATGTGTCACCCCAGACCCTTGCCTGACCCATGTTAACCCCAAGCCTAAGATGTGTCACCCCTAGACCCTTGCCTGACCCATGTTAACCCCAAGCCCAAAATGTGTCACCCCCAGACCCTTGCCTGACCCATGTTAACCCCAAGCCTAAAATGTGTCACCCCCAGACCCTTGCCTGACCCATGTTAACCCCAAGCCTAAGATGTGTCACCCCCAGACCCTTGCCTGACCCATGTTAACCCCAAGCCTAAGATGTGTCACCCCCAGACCCTTGCCTGACCCATGTTAACCCCAAGCCTAAGATGTGTCACCCCAGACCCTTGCCTGACCCATGTTAACCCTAAGCCTAAGATGTGTCACCCCTAGACCCTTGCCTGACCCATGTTAACCCCAAGCCCAAAATGTGTCACCCCCAGACCCTTGCCTGACCCATGTTAACCCCAAGCCTAAAATGTGTCACCCCCAGACCCTTGCCTGACCCATGTTAACCCCAAGCCTAAGATGTGTCACCCCCAGACCCTTGCCTGACCCATGTTAACCCCAAGCCTAAGATGTGTCACCCCCAGACCCTTGCCTGACCCATGTTAACCCCAAGCCTAAGATGTGTCACCCCTAGACCCTTGCCTGACCCATGTTAACCCTAAGCCTAAGATGTGTCACCCCCAGACCCTTGCCTGACCCATGTTAACCCTAAGCCCAAAATGTGTCCCCCCCAGACCCTTGCCTGACCTATGTTAACCCCAAGCCTAAGATGTGTCACCCCTAGACCCTTGCCTGACCCATGTTAACCCTAAGCCCAAAATGTGTCTCCCCTAGATTAAAATGTCGCCAATGTTGACCCCCACCTTAAATCATGTCGCTAATGTCCTTGCCCAAACACCTTGCCTGAATTTGTTACCAAAATAAAGTATCCCTATACTTGACATCATGGGGATGCATTACCTTATTATTGAGCTGCTGACATCAAGACTTAGAATACCAGGACGTAGTTTGGGTGTTATTAGTATAACTGAAATGTTTACATTTCACACAAACTTCTCCAGCCATCAAACTTCTGTGAAATCCAAAACAAGGAATGCACCTATATCCTTCTTCAAATGAGACACTTCAGTGACTCTGTACTACATGACACGGGATTGATCGAAGCGTCTTCAAATGAGACACTTCAGTGACTCTGTACTACATGACACAGGTTTGATCGAAGCGTCTTCAAATGAGACACTTCAGTGACTCTGTACTACATGACACAGGTTTGATCGAAGCGTCTTCAAATGAGACACTTCAGTGACTCTGTACTACATGACACGGGTTTGATCGAAGCGTCTTCAAATGAGACACTTCAGTGACTCTGTACTACATGACACGGGTTTGATCGAAGCGTCTTCAAATGAGACACTTCAGTGACTCTGTACTACATGACACGGGTTTGATCGAAGCGTCTTCAAATGAGACACTTCAGTGACTCTGTACTACATGACACGGGTTTGATCGAAGCGTCTTCAAATGAGACACTTCAGTGACTCTGTACTACATGACACAGGTTTGATCGAAGCGTCTTCAAATGAGACACTTCAGTGACACTCTACTACATGACACAGGGTTGATCGAAGCGTCTTCAAATGAGACACTTCAGTGACACTATATTAAATGACGTAGGCTTGATCGAAGATTCTTCAAATGAGACACTTCAGTGACACTGTAATAAATGACGTAGGCTTGATCGAAGACTCTTCAGATGAGACAGGTCATGTCAACCGATCAAGAATGTTTCATGAGTAAGCTGGAGTGAGTGAGTATGGTTCTACGCCACTTTTAACAATATTCAAGTAATATTATGGTGGGGACACCAGAAATATGCTTCACACATTATACCTATGTGGTCTTCGGGATGACGAAGAAACACCTTAATCCCTAGGCTAGCCCACCATCCCTCAGGACATAAACAAGCAATGTCATGTTGTTATGTCGTCATGAAGCATCAGCATGGCCGCCCGTACAACTCAAACATGTTCACTATGCAATCTCATTCAAATCAGATCTTAGGTATTGCTACCGCCAAACGAGGATCTGAGGACATCCCATTACAGGTCACGTCCTTTCATCCGACCAATCAGAGCGTTACTTACCAGATCAGTGACAGTCGAAGTTCGTTATCTAATCACACAACCTTGAAGGGGTATTCTGTACAGTTACCGTCTTTAGGACTGAATCCATACAATCTAGACCATCTATTAGCCATTCCAAAATGTTCCTTTGTCAAGGTTTCAAATTTTTAATCGAGAATTTTTCAAAATATATTTCAAAGTGTAGTCGCCCTTTTGAAACTAGTGCTGTAAAGCATGAGAAAGCTGCCTTCTGATTGGCTAATGTAGACTTCTTGTCAGTCAATCCATTGGTCGGTCACAGTTCGTGAAAGGTAGGTCTGACGTGACCTGTAATGGGATGTCCTCAGATATTTGTTTAGCAGTAGCGAGGACTAAGATCTGAGTTTAATGAGATTGGTTCACTGTGTGGATGGGCAGCAGTTGGCCTTCAACCATCACCATTATTCGATAACTCACCAAGTGTGGGAGACCATCCTGACACAGCTTCATGACAGAGTCCACATCCTTGTTTGACAAATGTTTCTGAAAAACAAGACGGACAAACATGTAGACTTTCATCTTGTTGAGTATTTCTTGAACATTGCAATCCCGAGCCTGCCTTGTGGAACGCCAATGAACACCTTATTGACACATGATCTCATCTGGAACACAGCATGCAGCACTACACTACACTGGCTTCCGTGCTGCTTCAAATAGAACTTCCCTTTCAGCGGCAGCTTAATCAGGGTGTCATGCAATGCATTTTTCACCCAAACTCATCACAGGAAGGGAAACTGAAATTGTGTACTTTTTATTACAGCAGAATGAAAATAAGTTGTTCAGGGAGTATTTATTTGGGCGGGGCACTTCATACAGCAGTAGAAGTGAATGTGGAGCAGAGGGCTTAATACAGTGAATTCAGTAGTAGAAGTGAATGTGGAGCAGAGGGCTTAATACAGTGAATTCAGTAGTAGAAGTGAATGTGGAGTAGGGCACTTAATACAGTGAATACAGCAGTAGAAGTGCATGTGGAGTAGGGCACTTAATACAGTGAATACAGCAGTAGACGTGAATGTGGAATGGAGCACTTAATACAGTGAATACAGTAGTAGAAGTGAATGTGGAGTAGGGTGCTTAATACAGTGAATACAGTAGTAGAAGTGCATGTGGAGTAGGGTGCTTAATACAGTGAATACAGTAGTAGAAGTGAATGTGGAGTAGGGTGCTTAATACAGTGAATACAGTAGTAGAAGTGCATGTGGAGTAGGGTGATTAATACAGTGTATACAGTAGTAGAAGTGAATGTGGAGTAGGGTGCTTAATACAGTGAATACAGCAGTAGAAGTGCATGTGGAGTAGGGCACTTAATACAGTGTATACAGTAGTAGAAGTGAATGTGGAGTAGGGTGCTTAATACAGTGAATACAGTAGTAGAAGTGCATGTGGAGTAGGGCACTTAATACAGTGAATACAGTAGTAGAGGTGAATGTGGAGTAGGGCACTTAATACAGTGAATACAGCAGTAGAAATGAATGTGGAGTAGGGCACTTAATACAGTGAATACAGCAGTAGAAGTGAATGTGGAGTAGGGCACTTAATACAGTGAATACAGTAGTAGAAGTGAATGTGGAGTAGGGCACTTAATACAGTGAATACAGTAGTAGAAGTGAATGTGGAGTAGGGCACTTAATACAGTGAATACAGCAGTAGAGGTGAATGTGGAGTAGGGCACTTAATACAGTGAATACAGTAGTAGAAGTGAATGTGGAGTAGGGTGCTTAATACAGTGAATACAGTAGTAGAAGTGAATGTGGAGTAGGGCACTTAATACAGTGAATACAGTAGTAGAAGTGAATGTGGAATGGAGCACTTAATACAGTGAATACAGTAGTAGATGTGAATGTGGAGTAGGGTGCTTAATACAGTGAATACAGCAGTAGAAGTGAATGTGGAGTATGACACTTAATACAGAGAATACAGCAGTAGAAGTGAATGTGGAGTAGGGTGCTTAATACAGTGAATACAGCAGTAGAAGTGAATGTGGAGTAGGGTGCTTAATACAGTGAATACAGAAGTAGAAGTGAATGTGGAGTAGGGCACTTAATACAGTGAATACAGTAGTAGAGGTGAATGTGGAGTAGGGTGCTTAATACAGTGAATACAGCAGTAGAAGTGAATGTTGAGTATGACACTTAATACAGAGAATACAGCAGTAGAAGTGAATGTGGAGTAGGGTGCTTAATACAGTGAATACAGCAGTAGAAGTGAATGTGGAGTAGGGTGCTTAATACAGTGAATACAGAAGTAGAAGTGAATGTGGAGTAGGGCACTTAATACAGTGAATACAGTAGTAGAGGTGAATGTGGAGTAGGGCACTTTATACAGTGAATATAATAGTAGAAGTGAATGTGGAGTAGGGCACTTAATACAGTGAATACAGTAGTAGAAGTGAATGTGGAATGGAGCATTTAATACAGTGAATACAGTAGTAGAAGTGAATGTGGAGTAGGGTGCTTAATACAGTGAATACAGTAGTAGAAGTGAATGTGGAGTAGGGTGCTTAATACAGTGAATACAGTAGTAGAAGTGAATGTGGAGAGGAGCACTTAATACAGTGAATACAGTAGTAGAAGTGAATGTGGAGTAGGGCACTTAATACAGTGAATACAGCAGTAGAAGTGAATGTGGAGTAGGGCACTTAATACAGTGAATACAGCAGTAGAAGTGAATGTGGAGTAGGGCACTTAATACAGTGAATACAGTAGTAGAGGTGAATGTGGAGTAGGGTGCTTAATACAGTGAATACAGTAGTAGAAGTGAATGTGGAGTAGGGTGCTTAATACAGTGAATACAGTAGTAGAAGTGAATGTGGAGTAGGGCACTTAATACAGTGAATACAGTAGTAGAAGTGAATGTGGAATGGAGCATTTAATACAGTGAATACAGCAGTAGAAGTGAATGTGGAGTAGGGTGCTTAATACAGTGAATACAGTAGTAGAAGTGAATGTGGAGTAGGGTGCTTAATACAGTGAATACAGAAGTAGAAGTGAATGTGGAGTAGGGTGCTTAATACAGTGAATACAGTAGTAGAAGTGAATGTGGAGTAGGGTGCTTAATACAGTGAATACAGCAGTAGAAGTGAATGTGGAGTAGGGTGCTTAATACAGTGAATACAGTAGTAGAAGTGAATGTGGAGTAGGGTGCTTAATACAGTGAATACAGTAGTAGAGGTGAATGTGGAGTAGGGTGCTTAATACAGTGAATACAGTAGTAGAAGTGAATGTGGAGGAGGGTGCTTAATACAGTGAATACAGTAGTAGAAGTGAATGTGGAGTAGGGTGCTTAATACAGTGAATACAGTAGTAGAAGTGCATGTGGAGTAGGGCACTTAATACAGTGAATACAGTAGTAGAGGTGAATGTGGAGTAGGGCACTTAATACAGTGAATACAGTAGTAGAGGTGAATGTGGAGTAGGGCACTTAATACAGTGAATACAGCAGTAGAAGTGAATGTGGAGTAGGGCACTTAATACAGTGAATACAGCAGTAGAGGTGAATGTGGAGTAGGGCACTTAATACAGTGAATACAGTAGTAGAAGTGAATGTGGAGTAGGGTGCTTAATACAGTGAATACAGTAGTAGAAGTGAATGTGGAGTAGGGCACTTAATACAGTGAATACAGCAGTAGAAGTGAATGTGGAGTAGGGCACTTAATACAGTGAATACAGTAGTAGAAGTGAATGTGGAGTAGGGTGCTTAATACAGTGAATACAGTAGTAGAAGTGAATGTGGAGTAGGGTGCTTAATACAGTGAATACAGTAGTAGAAGTGAATGTGGAGAGGAGCACTTAATACAGTGAATACAGTAGTAGAAGTGAATGTGGAGTAGGGCACTTAATACAGTGAATACAGCAGTAGAAGTGAATGTGGAGTAGGGCACTTAATACAGTGAATACAGCAGTAGAAGTGAATGTGGAGTAGGGCACTTAATACAGTGAATACAGTAGTAGAGGTGAATGTGGAGTAGGGTGCTTAATACAGTGAATACAGTAGTAGAAGTGAATGTGGAGTAGGGTGCTTAATACAGTGAATACAGTAGTAGAAGTGAATGTGGAGTAGGGCACTTAATACAGTGAATACAGTAGTAGAAGTGAATGTGGAATGGAGCATTTAATACAGTGAATACAGCAGTAGAAGTGAATGTGGAGTAGGGTGCTTAATACAGTGAATACAGTAGTAGAAGTGAATGTGGAGTAGGGTGCTTAATACAGTGAATACAGAAGTAGAAGTGAATGTGGAGTAGGGTGCTTAATACAGTGAATACAGTAGTAGAAGTGAATGTGGAGTAGGGTGCTTAATACAGTGAATACAGCAGTAGAAGTGAATGTGGAGTAGGGTGCTTAATACAGTGAATACAGTAGTAGAAGTGAATGTGGAGTAGGGTGCTTAATACAGTGAATACAGTAGTAGAGGTGAATGTGGAGTAGGGTGCTTAATACAGTGAATACAGTAGTAGAAGTGAATGTGGAGTAGGGTGCTTAATACAGTGAATACAGTAGTAGAAGTGAATGTGGAGTAGGGTGCTTAATACAGTGAATACAGCAGTAGAAGTGAATGTGGAGAGGAGCACTTAATACAGTGAATACAGTAGTAGAAGTGAATGTGGAATGGAGCATTTAATACAGTGAATACAGTAGTAGAAGTGAATGTGGAGTAGGGTGCTTAATACAGTGAACACAGCAGTAGAAGTGAATGTGGAGAGGAGCACTTAATACAGTGAATACAGTAGTAGAGGTGAATGTGGAGTAGGGCACTTTATACAGTGAATACAGTAGTAGAAGTGAATGTGGAGAGGAGCACTTAATACAGTGAATACAGTAGTAGATGTGAATGTACTTACTCTGGCCTGGGGGACACAGATGGCGTGTACAGAAGCAGTGGGAGACTGCAGTCTATCAGTGATGACAGGGACGTCACAGGACTGCACTGCGTCGGTGATGTCACACAGCTGCAGAACAAACCACAGGCTTTGTGAAGGCAAAGACAACTACAATTTATTTTCACTCATAAAAAACAAATGTCTACACCCCCCCACCACCCCTCTCCTTTTTGTGGATGCAGTAGTTCAAGTTGTTACTAGTAATGTTTTTGTCAATCTGAATAACAATAATAGAAAAACAATACTGGTACAGATTCTGATTAATTCATTAACAAAGCAGCATTACAGTTGATGCCAAGTTCACTTTTTGTGTCCAGATAAGACTACTGAATTTCAACAGAAGTTTGGATCACAGATCGTATTGTGCAAGTATGTACCCTTAATGAACAACCAGTAGCTTTATACTAATAGATAGACTCGTAAGAATTTCTAAATAATTTACCAAATTTCATACACCTACAATAAACTTTTCTTGAGTTATTGTGAACAGCATACATTTTGAGTATGACCTTGAGAATGAATTTGACCTTCAACATAGCACTTCAATAACATAAGGGCTATCCAGCATATAAACCAAATATAATGTCCCAAGGTGGAGTCAATGTAAATATGAAAATATGGCATAGACCTGCACTCCTCATTGAAAGCAGGCCCAGTCACCTGTCACCCACTGTCACAAATATGGGTTTAAATAAGATAACTACTCCAGGCATAACATCTGAAAATGTCAAACATACTACATAAAAGACCTTCACTGTGACCTTGACCTTATACAAGACCTTATACATAGGTCACTCACAATCTTATGCAATCTGCGAAATAACCATTTTAGTGAAAATGTCAAACATACTACATAAAAGACCTTCACTGTGACCTTGACCTTATACAAGACCTTATACATAGGTCACTCACAATCTTATGCAATCTGCGAAATAACCATTTTAGTGAAAATGTCAAACATACTACATAAAAGACCTTCACTGTGACCTTGACCTTATACAAGACCTTATACATAGGTCACTCACAATCTTATGCAATCTGCGAAATAGGCATTTTAGTGAAAATGTCAAACATACTCTAAAAAAGACCTTCACTGTGACCATGACCTTACACAGAGGTCACTCACAATCTTATGCAATCTCTGTTCGGACTAAGGGAAACATGTACCAAGTTTCCTTGACCTACAGTAAATCCTTCTCCACTTTGGTGGAAAACAAACCTTTATTTTTAGACTATGGCCTTGAGAACAACCTTGACCATTGACACGACACCTGAATGTGTCAAAAACATGATGTGATATCACTAGGATGTCCAAACCCAACATGGTCTTAAAAAAACAAAGCATAGTGGTGATAAAATTCAGGCAAAAGCAGCTTAATTTGTAAATGTTATTAGGATGTCGGAGAATAGGGTCTGGAAAATTTAATACTTTTTGCATTATATTTTATCATTGAAACTAACCAAAACTTAACATAACTTAAAACTATTTTACATTGTCATCACCATCACATCATCATCATCATCATCATCACAGTTAATATTAATGATAATTTCAGTAGGAACTTGCCTCCATGGCAAACCTTGTATCTGGCTTGTCGGTGCCGAACTTGTGTCTGGCCTGAAGGTAGGACATACGGGGAAAGGGGGCGTTGACTTGCCCCGCCCATGGCCACGAGTTCTGGAGGAGATCCTCGATCAACCCCATCACAGACGCCTGGTCAGTGAAAGACATCTCAATATCTACCTGTAACGCACATTCCAGTAGAAATGAATAGTTTTTTACATGTGCCGCATAAAAATCATAACAGTGTACTTTCCAATTTAAGATTGCCCACAAGAAGAATACAGATGATAATACGTAGTTGCTATCTAGAGAGATGCTTCATTCCTTTTCATTGAGATTAAGACATTGGTGCTTATTGGCACTCTAAAAGTAGAGATTTCCAACACTGCATCAACATATAATGTTAGAGGGAAGCCCAACATGTTTTGAGATGTTAACCACTATGGGATGATCTGCACACATGGGGGGGGGAGGTGACAAGGATCTAGGGAGGAGGTGACGAGGACCTACACAAATTGGGAGGAGGTGACGAGGACCTGCACACATGGGGAGGAGGTGACGAGGACCTGCACACATGGGGAGGAGGTGACGAGGACCTGAACACATGGGAAGCAGGTGACGAGGACCTACACACATGGGGAGGAGGTGAAAAGGACCTGCACACATTGGGAGGAGGTGACAAGGACCTGCACACATGGGGAGGAGGTGACGAGGACCTGCACACATGGGAAGGAGGTGACGAGAACCTGAACACATGGGAAGGAGGTGACAAGGACCTGCACACATGGGGAGGAGGTGACAAGGACCTGCACACATGGGGAGGAGGTGACAAGGACCTGAACACATGGGAAGGAGGTGACAAGGACCTGCACACATGGGAAGGAGGTGACGAGGACCTGAACACATGGGGAGGAGGTGACAAGGACCTGCACACATGGGAAGGAGGTGACAAGGACCTGCACACATGGGGAGGAGGTGACAAGGACCTGAATACATGGGGAGGAGGTGACGAGGACCTGCACACATGGGAAGGAGGTGACGAGGACCTGCACACATGGGGAGGAGGTGACAAGGACCTGCACACATGGGGAGGAGGTGACAAGGACCTGAATACATGGGGAGGAGGTGACGAGGACCTGCACACATGGGGAGGAGGTGACGAGGACCTGCAGACATGGGGAGGAGGTGACAAGGATCTGCACACATGGGAAGGAGGTGACAAGGATCTGCACACATGGGGAGGAGGTGACAAGGACCTGCACACATTGGGAGGAGGTGACAAGGACCTGCACACATTGGGAGGAGGTGACGAGGACCTGCACACATGGGGAGGAGGTGACGAGGACCTGCACACATTGGGAGGAGGTGACAAGGACCTGCACACATTGGGAGGAGGTGACAAGGACCTGAACACATGGGGAGGAGGTGACGAGGACCTGCACACATGGGAAGGAGGTGACGAGAACCTGAACACATGGGAAGGAGGTGACAAGGACCTGCACACATGGGGAGGAGGTGACAAGGATCTGCACACATGGGGAGGAGGTGACAAAGACCTGCACACATTGGGAGGAGGTGACAAGGACCTGCACACATGGGGGGGGAGGTGACAAGGATCTAGGGAGGAGGTGACAAGGATCTGCACACATGGGGAGGAGGTGACAAGGACCTGAACACATGGGGAGGAGGTGACAAGGACCTGCACACATGGGGAGGAGGTGACAAGGATCTGCACACATGGGAAGGAGGTGATGAGGACCTGCACACATTGGGAGGAGGTGACAAGGACCTGCACACATGGGAAGGAGGTGATGAGGACCTGCACACATGGGGAGGAGGTGACAAGGATCTGCACACATGGGAACGAGGTGACAAGGATCTGCACACATGGGGAGGAGGTGACAAGGATCTGCACACATGGGAAGGAGGTGATGAGGACCTGCGCACATGGGGAGGAGGTGACAAGGATCTAGGGAGGAGGTGACGAGGACCTGCACACATGGGGAGGAGGTGACGAGGACCTGAACACATGGGAAGGAGGTGACGAGGACCTGCACACATGGGAAGGAGGTGACGAGGACCTGAACACATGGGAAGGATGTGATGAGGACCTGCACACATGGGGAGGAGGTGACAAGGACCTGCACACATGGGTAGGAGGTGACGAGGACCTGCACACATGGGGAGGAGGTGACAAGGACCTGCACACATGGGGAGGAGGTGACAAGGACCTGAACACATGGGAAGGAGGTGACAAGGACCTGCACACATGGGAAGGAGGTGACGAGGACCTGAACACATGGGGAGGAGGTGACAAGGACCTGCACACATGGGAAGGAGGTGACAAGGACCTGCACACATGGGGAGGAGGTGACAAGGACCTGAATACATGGGGAGGAGGTGACGAGGACCTGCACACATGGGAAGGAGGTGACGAGGACCTGCACACATGGGGAGGAGGTGACAAGGACCTGCACACATGGGGAGGAGGTGACAAGGACCTGAATACATGGGGAGGAGGTGACGAGGACCTGCACACATGGGGAGGAGGTGACGAGGACCTGCAGACATGGGGAGGAGGTGACAAGGATCTGCACACATGGGAAGGAGGTGACAAGGATCTGCACACATGGGGAGGAGGTGACAAGGACCTGCACACATTGGGAGGAGGTGACAAGGACCTGCACACATTGGGAGGAGGTGACAAGGACCTGCACACATGGGAAGGAGGTGACGAGGACCTGCACACATTGGGAGGAGGTGACAAGGACCTGCACACATTGGGAGGAGGTGACAAGGACCTGAACACATGGGGAGGAGGTGACGAGGACCTGCACACATGGGAAGGAGGTGACGAGAACCTGAACACATGGGAAGGAGGTGACAAGGACCTGCACACATGGGGAGGAGGTGACAAGGATCTGCACACATGGGGAGGAGGTGACAAGGACCTGCACACATTGGGAGGAGGTGACAAGGACCTGCACACATGGGGGGGGAGGTGACAAGGATCTAGGGAGGAGGTGACAAGGATCTGCACACATGGGGAGGAGGTGACAAGGACCTGAACACATGGGGAGGAGGTGACAAGGACCTGCACACATGGGGAGGAGGTGACAAGGATCTGAACACATGGGAAGGAGGTGATGAGGACCTGCACACATTGGGAGGAGGTGACAAGGACCTGCACACATGGGAAGGAGGTGATGAGGACCTGCACACATGGGGAGGAGGTGACAAGGATCTGCACACATGGGAACGAGGTGACAAGGATCTGCACACATGGGGAGGAGGTGACAAGGATCTGCACACATGGGAAGGAGGTGATGAGGACCTGCGCACATGGGGAGGAGGTGACAAGGATCTAGGGAGGAGGTGACGAGGACCTGCACACATGGGGAGGAGGTGACGAGGACCTGAACACATGGGAAGGAGGTGACGAGGACCTGCACACATGGGAAGGAGGTGACGAGGACCTGAACACATGGGAAGGATGTGATGAGGACCTGCACACATGGGGAGGAGGTGACAAGGACCTGCACACATGGGTAGGAGGTGACGAGGACCTGCACACATGGGGAGGAGGTGACAAGGACCTGCACACATGGGTAGGAGGTGACGAGGACCTACACACATGGGGTGGAGGTGACAAGGACCTGCACACATGGGTAGGAGGTGACGAGGACCTGCACACATGGGTGTGTGGCATTCAAAACATGTTGAGCGAAGGGAGACAACACTGCACTCACCTGTGTGAACTCAGGCTGTCGGTCAGGCTTAGCTCCCTCGTCACGGTAACACTTAGCGATCTGGAAGTAGCGGTCAATGCCACCGACCATCAGGAGCTGCTTGAACTACAGAAATAGAGACACTATAGGTACACTGAACACACACCATAATGACAATGAACACACATCATAATGACACTGATATACACACTGTAGTGACTTTGTTATTTAACACCACACTCGGCAATATTCTTGCTTTGATGAGACCAATGTTATGACCAATGTTCCATCAGTGTCCGATGACACGCAAATCAACCAGACATGACCAGAAATCCATTCAGTTGCCTCTTGCGACCAGCCTACGTTGGTGGGGACCTATTATAATCTCCACTGGGCTACACCTATAGTGAGTGTCTGACTGACATAGCTACAGCAACACTTGCGACCAGCATTGGTGGGGACCTATTATAATCTCCACTGGGCTACATCTATAGTGAGTGTCTGACTGACATAGCTACAGCAACACTTGTGACCAGCATTGGTGGGGACCTATTATAATCTCCACTGGGCTACATCTATGGTGAGTGTCTGACTGACATAGCTACAGCAACACTTGCGACCAGCATTGGTTGGGACCTATTATAATCTCCACTGGGCTACATCTATGGTGAGTGTCTGACTGACATAGCTACAGCAACACTTGTGACCAGCATTGGTGGGGACCTATTATAATCTCCACTGGGCTACATCTATGGTGAGTGTCTGACTGACATAGCTACAGCAACACTTGTGACCAGCCTACGTTGGTGGGGACCTATTATAATCTCCACTGGGCTACACCTATAGTGAGTGTCTGACTGACATAGCTACAGCAACACTTGTGACCAGCATTGGTGGGGACCTATTATAATCTCCACTGGGCTACATCTATGGTGAGTGTCTGACTGACATAGCTACAGCAACACTTGCGACCAGCCTACGTTGGTGGGGACCTATTATAATCTCCACTGGGCTACATCTATAGTGAGTGTCTGACTGACATAGCTACAGCAACACTTGTGACCAGCATTGGTGGGGACCTATTATAATCTCCACTGGGCTACATCTATAGTGAGTGTCTGACTGACATAGCTACAGCAACACTTGTGACCAGCCTACGTTGGTTGGGACCTATTATAATCTCCACTGGGCTACACCTATAGTGAGTGTCTGACTGACATAGCTACAGCAACACTTGCGACGAGCATTGGTGGGGACCTATTATAATCTCCACTGGGCTACACCTATAGTGAGTGTCTGACTGACATAGCTACAGCAACACTTGTGACCAGCATTGGTGGGGACCTATTATAATCTCCACTGGGCTACATCTATGGTGAGTGTCTGACTGACATAGCTACAGCAACACTTGTGACCAGCATTGGTGGGGACCTATTATAATCTCCACTGGGCTACATCTATGGTGAGTGTCTGACTGACATAGCTACAGCAACACTTGTGACCAGCCTACGTTGGTGGGGACCTATTATAATCTCCACTGGGCTACATCTATAGTGAGTGTCTGACTGACATAGCTACAGCAACACTTGTGACCAGCATTGGTGGGGACCTATTATAATCTCCACTGGGCTACATCTATGGTGAGTGTCTGACTGACATAGCTACAGCAACACTTGTGACCAGCATTGGTGGGGACCTATTATAATCTCCACTGGGCTACATCTATGGTGAGTGTCTGACTGACAGAGCTACAGCAACACTTGTGACCAGCCTACGTTGGTGGGGACCTATTATAATCTCCACTGGGCTACATCTATAGTGAGTGTCTGACTGACATAGCTACAGCAACACTTGTGACCAGCATTGGTGGGGACCTATTATAATCTCCACTGGGCTACATCTATGGTGAGTGTCTGACTGACATAGCTACAGCAACACTTGTGACCAGCATTGGTGGGGACCTATTATAATCTCCACTGGGCTACATCTATGGTGAGTGTCTGACTGACATAGCTACAGCAACACTTGTGACCAGCCTACGTTGGTGGGGACCTATTATAATCTCCACTGGGCTACATCTATAGTGAGTGTCTGACTGACATAGCTACAGCAACACTTGTGACCAGCATTGGTGGGGACCTATTATAATCTCCACTGGGCTACATCTATGGTGAGTGTCTGACTGACATAGCTACAGCAACACTTGTGACCAGCCTACGTTGGTGGGGACCTATTATAATCTCCACTGGGCTACACCTATAGTGAGTGTCTGACTGACATAGCTACAGCAACACTTGTGACCAGCCTACGTTGGTGGGGACCTATTATAATCTCCACTGGGCTACATCTATAGTGAGTGTCTGACTGACATAGCTACAGCAACACTTGTGACCAGCATTGGTGGGGACCTATTATAATCTCCACTGGGCTACATCTATGGTGAGTGTCTGACTGACATAGCTACAGCAACACTTGTGACCAGCCTACGTTGGTGGGGACCTATTATAATCTCCACTGGGCTACACCTATAGTGAGTGTCTGACTGACATAGCTACAGCAACACTTGTGACCAGCCTACGTTGGTGGGGACCTATTATAATCTCCACTGGGCTACACCTATAGTGAGTGTCTGACTGACATAGCTACAGCAACACTTGTGACCAGCCTACGTTGGTGGGGACCTATTATAATCTCCACTGGGCTACATCTATAGTGAGTGTCTGACTGACATAGCTACAGCAACACTTGTGACCAGCCTACGTTGGTGGGGACCTATTATAATCTCCACTGGGCTACATCTATAGTGAGTGTCTGACTGACATAGCTACAGCAACACTTGCGACCAGCGTTGGTGGGGACCTTTTATAATCTCCAATGGGCTACATCTGTAGTGAGTGTCTGACTGACATAGCTACTGCAAGCCTACCTCGTACTATGCAACATAGGATGTAACCTTCCACAGGCTCTATTCAGGGGCTTACATGTCAGAATTTATTTGTAATTGGAGTGTCTTTCTAACAAGTGCTCATAAAAGATGTTGTTTTCTACTGTTTCCATGGTTACCTGTTGTGGACTTTGAGGTAAGGAGTAAAACTTCCCTGCAAACCGACTTGGAACGATGAATTCTTGAGCCCCCTGAAAAGTATGAAATCAATATCAGATGGGTGAGTGAGTATTTGTTTGTTTGTTTGTTGTTTAAATCCGCACTCAGCAATATTCCAGCTATATGACGGCAGTCTGTAAATAATCGATTCTTGAGAAGACAATTCAGTGATTGACATCATGAGCATCGATTTATGCAATGGAATACGATGACATGCATCACCCAAGTCAGCAAGCCTGACCACCCGATCCCGTTTGTCGCCTCTTACGACAAGCATTGGTGGCTGAAGACCTATTCCACCCTGATCTTCAACAATGGCATACAGATATAAGAGACTTCACTAACTCACCCCAGGGGTTCTCCGAAACAGCGTCGGTGTCTCAACATCAACAAACCCTGAAACAGTCAACAAGTCAACACGTCAATTTTGTCAACACGTCAATTTTCTATTAGAAATCCCGTCCAAACATAGCACACAATATCAGCCAATAATAAAATACATGATAGTCACTGCGCTAGCAATTTTTGATTGGTTTTTATATGTGATCTTTGTTACCTCAACACACATCACATCTTAATAAAGGTTGTTGCAAATTTTCTGACAGCATAGACATGATATGGAAATGGTGGAGGGTCAGAAGACACGAGAGACGTCACCAGTTTTCTAACACCTGATAGTGTTTAGTACTTTTGTGGGGTTTCTGTAAATGAACACAAGTTTTTGTGCATTGTTCTCGACATAATTCTTACAGGTCTACATTAAAACTTAAAAACTAAATGAAAGTTTGAAATCTTTTCACAAAGTGAATGTCTAACTCTTTCAAATTATAGTTTTCAAACTATTTTACTCTTCCTTTTTATCATAACACGGCCACCAAAATTGTGAATGAGGACTGACTGTTCTGACAGTACTTCAGCAACTGTTCACCTGATCATGTTGACAAGTCAGACGTGGGCACTGTCCTGTCAGCAGCTTTAATGACATCACACCTCTCATTATAAGATGACAATTCAGTATCAACATACCTGTTGGAAAATAGGTGCCGTACGTAGACTTGGATCTTTAATTACTGATCATGGGATCGTTAGACTTTAGACAGGACCAGTATTTTCATTTAGTACCAAACCACATGACCGGCAGACAAAACACACTGACATACCATGCTGGTGACACAGGAGCTCCCTCATCTTACATACCATGCTGGTGACACAGGAACTCCCTCATCTTACATACCATGCTGGTTACACAGGAACTCCATCATCTTACATACCATGCTGGTGACACAGGAACTCCCTCATCTTACATACCATGCTGGTGACACAGGAACTCCCTCATCTTACATACCATGCTGGTGACACAGGAACTCCCTCATCTTACATACCATGCTGGTGACACAGGAACTCCCTCATCTTACATACCATGCTGGTGACACAGGAACTCCCTCATCTTACATACCATGCTGGTGACACAGGAGCTCCCTCATCTTACATACCATGCTGGTTACACAGGAGCTCCCTCATCTTACATACCATGCTGGTGACACAGGAACTCCCTCATCTTACATACCATGCTGGTTACACAGGAACTCCCTCATCTTACATACCATGCTGGTTACACAGGATCTCCCTCATCTTACATACCATGCTGGTTACACAGGAACTCCCTCATCTTACATACCATGCTGGTTACACAGGAACTCCCTCATCTTACATACCATGCTGGTGACACAGGAACTCCCTCATCTTACATACCATGCTGGTGACACAGGAACTCCCTCATCTTACATACCATGCTGGTGACACAGGAGCTCCCTCATCTTACCTACCATGCTGGTGACACAGGATCTCCCTCATCTTACATACCATGCTGGTTACACAGGAACTCCCTCATCTTACATACCATGCTGGTTACACAGGAACTCCCTCATCTTACATACCATGCTGGTCACACAGGAGCTCCCTCATCTTACATACCATGCTGGTGACACAGGAACTCCCTCATCTTACATACCATGCTGGTTACACAGGAACTCCCTCATCTTACATACCATGCTGGTTACACAGGAACTCCCTCATCTTACATACCATGCTGGTTACACAGGAGCTCCCACATCTTACATACCATGCTGGTGACACAGGAGCTCCCTCATCTTACATACCATGCTGGTGACACAGGAACTCCCTCATCTTACATACCATGCTGGTGACACAGGAACTCCCTCATCTTACATACCATGCTGGTGACACAGGAGCTCCCTCATCTTACATACCATGCTGGTGACACAGGAACTCCCTCATCTTACATACCATGCTGGTTACACAGGAGCTCCCTCATCTTACATACCATGCTGGTGACACAGGAACTCCCTCATCTTACATACCATGCTGGTGACACAGGATCTCCCTCATCTTACATACCATGCTGGTGACACAGGAACTCCCTCATCTTACATACCATGCTGGTGACACAGGAACTCCCTCATCTTACATACCATGCTGGTTACACAGGAACTCCCTCATCTTCATGATCATCGCTGAGCGGAGTCTCAGGTTGCGCTGCATGGCTGGACGTCTGATATCCAGGTACCGGTACTTCATACTCAGTGCCTCACTAACCTGTATAAACAAATCAATAGAACACAACTGCACAAATATATCTGTAGAACACAACTGAACAATTATATCTGTAGAACACCACTGAACAAACATATCTGTAGAACATCACTGCACAAATATATCTGTAGAACACAACTGAACAAACATATCTGTAGAACACCACTGAACAAACATATCTGTAGAACACCACTGCACAAACAAATCTGTAGAACACCACTGCACAAACATATCTGTGGAACATCACTGCACAAATATATCTGTGGAAGATCACTGCACAAACATATCTGTAGAACATCACTGCACAAACATATCTGTAGAACATCACTGCATAAACATATCTGTAGAACATCACTGCACAAACATATCTGTAGACACATATTTTGACTCATTTTAACACATATTTTGACCCATTTTGACCCATTTTAACACATATTTTGACCCAATTTAAACATATTTTGACCAAGTTGACACATTTTAACACATATTTTGACACACATTTTAACACATATTTTGACCTATTTTAAACATATTTTGACCCTTTTTAACACATATCTTGACCCATTTAAAAAACATTTTGACGTATATTTTGACGTATATTTTGACCCTTAGCACATTTTGACCCATTTTAACACATATTTTGACCAATTTAACACAAATTTTAACACATATTTTGACACACATTTTAACACATATTTTGACCTATTTTAAAAAACATTTTGACCCATATTTTGACCCTTTTTAACACACATTTTAACACATATTTTGACCCATTTTAACACATATTTTGACACACATTTTAACACATATTTTGACCCATTTTAACACATATTTTGACCCATTTTAACACATATTTTGACCCATTTTAACACATATTTTGACCAATTTAACACATATTTTGACCCATTTTAAACATATTTTGACCAATTTAACACACATTGTAACACATATTTTAATACACATTTTCACACATATTTTGACACTTTTTAACACATATTTTGACACACATTTTAACACATATTTTGATTCATTTTAACACATATTTTGACACACATTTTAACATATATTTTGACCCATATTTTGACCCTTTTTAACACACATTTTAACACATATTTTGACCCTTAACACATTTTGACCCATTTTAACAAATATTTTGACCAATTTAACACATATTTTGACCAATTTAACACATATTTTGACACACATTTTAACACATATTTTGACCCATTTTAACACATATTTTCACACATTTTAACATTGATGTTGACCCTTTTTAACACATATTTCGACCTATTTTAACACATATTTCGACCCATTTTAAACATATTTTGACCAATTTAACACACATTGTAACACATATTTTAACACACATATTTTGATACTTTTAACACACATTTTAACACATATTTTGACACACATTTTAACACATATTTTGATTCCTTTTGACACATATTTTGACACACATTTTAACACATATTTTGATTCATTTTGACACATATTTTGACACACATTTTAACATATATTTTGACCCATATTTTGACCCTTTTTAACCCACATTTTAACACATATTTTGACCCTTAACACATTTTGACCCATTTTAACACATATTTTGACCCTTTTTGACACATATTTTGACCCATCGTATTGCCTAAGCCTATGTAAATCATTATTATTTATTGATTGCTCATTGATCTTGTGTGGTTATTTACTGACTACAACACTCAGTTCTGTATGAGTGAGTGATTGAGTGAGTGAGTGAGTGAGTGAGTGAGTGAGTGAGTGAGTGAGTGAGTGAGAGAGTGAGTGAGTTGGGTTTAACGCCACTTTTAACATTATTCCAGTTATATCACGGTGTGTCAGCTTAATGTGGGAGGAAAGCCCGAAGTGATGCAGGTCTCAGACGTTTACCACTTCGGTGAAACCCACGAGCATGGGTATGGTGCTGACAAACCTAGAAACATAATCGGGGCGAACCAGGATTCGAACCCACAATCATAGCTTTCTGGCGTGCCCAAGGGACACAACTCTGCACAGCGAATCGCGGCGCCTTAGACGACTGGGCCACCCCTGCCCCCCCAGTTCTGTATGAACCAATAGCTGGGTTCCCCTTGGGACTCAACACGTAGCAAACTAGTGGCGGGGACAATGCATCGGTGGGTCGCGATGTTTTAAAAAATATCAATTCATTCTTAAATTATTTGTTTGCTTTAATAACTGTAACTCCAAACACTAATTAGTCGTGAAAACTTAAATATTTTCATTTATTGTACTGTACTTCATAATGCCAACTCTAAATCATCAGTGTGCAAGGTATTTGGCCATTCTGTCTATAAAATAGGTATCGCGATACATATTGGATCACAAGGCTGGCAAATCATACCAGCCCCAATGTGAACCAGGATCACAGAAACAGATCATCAGGAAAGTGGAGTCACAATCCAGGAGAAATTCATTACAAACATTCTTCTTAGGATAAAGATAGTGAGGGGTAAAGTAAATGGGTAAAGTAAATGGGTAAAGTAAAGGGGAAAGTAAAAGTGTAAAGAAAAGGGGTGAAGTAAAAGTGTAAAGTAAAAGGGTCAAAGTAAAGGGATAAAGTAAAAGGGGCAAAGTACAGGGGCAAAGTAAAGAGGTAAAGGAAAGGCGCAAACTAAACGGGGCAAAGTACAGGGGTAAAGTAAAGGGGCAAAGTAAAGGGGTAAAGTAAAGGGTCAAAGTACAGGGGTAAAGAAAAGGGGCAAAGAAAAGGAATGAAGTAAAGGGGCAAAGTAAAGGGGCAAAGTAAAGGGGCAAAGAAAAGGGGTAAAGTAAAGGGGTAAAGTAAAGGGGCAAAGTACAGGGGCAAAGTAAAGGGGCAAAGTAAAGGGGCAAAGAAAAGGGGTAAAGTAAAGGGGTAAAGTAAAGGGGCAAAGTACAGGGGCAAAGTAAAGGGGCAAAGAAAAGGGGTAAAGTAAAGGGGCAAAGTACAGGGGTAAAGTACAGGGGTAAAGAAAAGGGGCAAAGAAAAGGGGTGAAGTAAAGGGGCAAAGTACAGGGGTAAAGTAAAGGGGCAAAGAAAAGGGGCAATGTACAGGGGTAAAGTAAAGGGGCAAAGTAAAGGGGCAAAGTAAAGGGGCAAAGAAAAGGGGTAAAGTAAAGGGGTAAAGTAAAGGGTCAAAGTACAGGGGCAAAGTAAAGGGTCAAAGAAAAGGGGTGAAGTAAAGGGGCAAAGTACAGGGGTAAAGTACAGGGGCAAAGTAAAGGGGCAAAGTAAAGGGGTAAAGTAAAGGGGCAAAGAAAAGGGGTGAAGTACAGGGGTAAAGTAAAGGGGTAAAGTAAAGGGGCAAAGAAAAGGGGTGAAGTAAAGGGGCAAAGTACAGGGGTAAAGTAAAGGGGCAAAGTAAAGGGGCAAAGTAAAGGGTCAAAGAAAAAGGGTAAAGTAAAGGGGTAAAGTAAAGGGTCAAAGTACAGGGGTAAAGTAAAGGGGCAAAGTAAAGGGGCAAAGAAAAGGGGTAAAGTAAAGGGGTAAAGTAAAGGGTCAAAGAAAAGGGGTAAAGGGTCAAAGAAAAGGGGTAAAGTAAATAGGGCAAAGTAAAAGTAAAGGGTAAAGAAAAAGGGTAAAGTAAAGGAACCAAGTAAAGGGGTAAAGGAAAGGGGTACAAACCTGGTGGAAATCCTTGGCACCCAGCGGAAGGTTTGCTTTGCAGGAGTTGAGTATTTGTACATCCTTCACCAACACCTCAATCTCCCCAGTGTCCATTCTCTATAACAAATCTCTTCCTACAGACAACAGAACTGGGAAACATGTATTCAGAAGAAGGTCTTGGCGCCTTAAATCTTGTATCGCAATAAAATTCAAACTGACAAACAAAGAAAATATTTCAGCATGGGCAAAGGGTATTTGTTATGATGACACAATAATCATTTGCTTGGCCACCTATCACAGTGGGGAGTTTTGACTGGTGGCAGCCATAGTATAGAGAGCTCTGCAAACAGGCTATCACTGTGAGGAGCTTGTGGTTTAGTATACCAAGGGAAATAACTCTGTGTAGGAGAAACAATTATGTGTTTAAGCCAAGCCAAGCCAAGTAACAGAGAAGTTAAGTGATTTTCTGTTAGTCTGCAATCTGATTATACAAACAAAAAAGTGAATTCTTCTGGAAAAAGTGGTCAGTCGTAAAAAACTTTTCAAAATGAACTATTATGGCATTCGCAAAGACAAACAAAAGCATAAACGTTACTACATTTGGGGTTAGAGGGCAAATTTCGAGATTCTTGTAATGACCGCGCCCACACTGGTGGCAGCGATGTTACCGAGAGTGTAACGAAGGTGTCACGCGCTGGGAAGGAGCTTGTGTTTAAGTATACAAAGGGACATAACTCTGGGTAGGGGAGTAGGCCTGTCTGTGTTTAAGTATACAAAGGGACATAACTCTGAGTAGGGGAGTGGGCCCGTCTGTGTTTAAGTATACAAAGGGACTTCACATTGAGTAGGAGAGTCGGGCCCGTCTGTGTTTAAGTATACAAAGGGACATAACTCTGGGTAGGAGAGTGGGCCCGTCTGTGTTTAAGCATACAAAGGGACATAACTCTAGGTAGGGGAGTAGGCCTGTCTGTGTTTAAGCATACAAAGGGACATAATTCTGGGTAGTAGAGTGGGCCTGTCTCAATCTCATTAAAATCAGATCTTAGTTCTCGCTACCGCTAAACGCGGTAGCGAGAACTAAGATCTGATTTTAATGAGATTGGGCCTGTCTGTGTTTGAGCATACCAAGGGACATAACTGTGCAGAGTGTTGGCCAATATCAGCTGAGGTGAGGCACAGGACATCATCGTCCCACACACTTAGCAGCGCATCACTGTCTCATGTTGCTGCGACTGATGGAGGTTCTACTGAGCCAGCTGGTACGTACCTTGTTCGTCTCTCCATCAGGCCGTTGTTGGACAGTTCCCTCGACCCGCAGAACAGAATCAAATGTCAGAGCTGATAATTTGCTGTCTAAATTTTCCATCTGAAAAAGATGCTGCCATTACATCAGGGCTTCCATCTTGTGCAGTTCACATGCTGATACAGGTCATCATGATTAGAACTGACATAATATTTGCATGAACATCTAAATATATCATGATGATAATCAGCATCAGAAATTGGCACTAGTCCTGTAGTCCTTGCCAAACTGCCCAATAGTTAAGGACTAGTAGAAATTTGCCATTTTTAAGGGGTTTGCGATATGTTATCGTTATAAGGACTAGTAGACAAAAACAGTTCGTTTCCATTAATGCTCCTGTACATTTCCTAGGCCGCAAATTTTCAATTACAGTTCATTGTTTTAACAAAATAGACACAAACATAGATATTTTTAACTTTAAACATGCTATAAGTAATATAAGAAAAAATCCTACCATGATTATGATTATGTGAGTGAATAGTTCAGTGATGTGCGGTGATTGGGTAAGGAGAGACTCAGCTGTCTGGTCTGTATATCGTCTTCAATAAGGTGAGTTTTACATTCCTAGAATGATGGGGGTAAGAAAGTGGGTCGTCGTGTGCACGGGAATAACATCTCACATTGTTTTTCAAGCCGTTTTGGGTTCCACTGGCAATGTCAACATGCGTTTGAAAAACTGATGTTTGACAGCAAAATTTCGTAATTTCTTCCGAACTAACAACATTTTCTGCTATATATAACAGTTAGTACACCTACCTGCTCCTCTGGGACCACAGTCTGGGTTATGCCGTGCCAGTCTCGCAGTATAAAGAACAGACGCATCCTGCGATACTGCAGCCACCCACACAACGTCACATCCTTCCCAACATCCGCAACACGCAACTCCCCGCATGTGTGTGTGCGAGGTGTGAAGCTCACTTTGTCTGGAACCATCAAACATGATATCAGCATAGCACCAGGCAGCAGCATCACTTGCACTGGCAATGTGTCGCTCGACAGGACTGGGTGAACATTGCAGAGGAAGTCACCACTGGTTTGATTGGTTGTTTGTTTTTGTTTAACCCTGCACTCAGCAATATTCCAGCTATATGAAGGCGGTTTGTAAAGAATCGAGTCTGGACAAGAAAATCCAGTGATTGACATCATGAGCATTGATCCACATACTTGGGATACGATGATATGCATCAACCAAGTCAGCGAGTCTGCCCAGCCGATCCCATTGGTCGCCTCTTACAACAAGCATGGTAGCCTTTTATGACAAGCATGGGTTGCTGAAGACCTATTCTACCCCGAGTCTGCAAGGAGACACCACTGTTCATATCCAAAAGGTATTTTGGACATGGCTTACATGGAATAATTTCATTTGGGAGAAAACAATTAGTCCATCTCCATCTTCAGAAACCGCCTCCGTGGTCTAGTAGTAGAGCGTCCGCCCGGAGAGCGGAAGGTCCGGGGTTCGATCCCCAGCCGCGTCATATTAAAAGACGTTAAAAGATGGTACTTGTTGTTACCCTGTCTGGCGCTCGGCATTAAGGGGCTAAAACAAGGACTGGTCGCCTCTGAGTCAGTATACTGTGTCTGAATGGGGTATTCATGTTCAACTGCGGCATGGTATCTCAGTGAGCTAGCACTATAAATCGGCATCAGTCCGGACTAGAACAAGCAGCCACACAAACACAAACACATACACATACATGCACGTCGCCATATAAGTGCAATAATCTTGGACGCGACGTTAAACCCAATTTCACCTCAACTCACCTCACAATTCTCAGACTAACAGACTAATCGTGGTGTCAAACCATGTATGAGTTTACAGCACCTTCAGCAATATTCTGATGACACAGGTCTCCAGATAAATTGTTTTAGCCATTGAGTATTTACTAAAATGTTATCACTCTCATCAGGTCTTGAAAGCTTTCCTTGGGTTGTCAAACTATTTTAATCCCTTGGGTCCAGTCTATTGGGTATTTCACACCAACGAGTAGACATTTAAAAAAAAAACAATCTGCTTGGAAAATCGCATGATCTCGCAACACATGTTTAATTAACAACAATAAGAAAGACATAGCACCTTCCTTCAAGCCTTATTCACTGAGAGTGCTCATGTGTGTATGCGTGATGCCTTCACTCCATCAGTAACTACAGATCTGTATAGAAATACACTCATATAAAACGAAAAGGATACAATAGGTAATGATGAAGAACGTTATTATACTATTGGGTTTTCTTAATTTTGCAAATTGGTATGCAAACAACTCAAAATTATTTGGGTAATGGAGACTTTTTATCGTGAGCTCTGATAACAGGAATTGCAACAATGATCTTCAAACTTTGTCATCATTCAGGACACTGAGACGGAGTGAATGCTTTTGTTAACTCTCTTTTCAATGTCATGCCCCCAGTTTTGTCAACGTTCACAAGGCGAGTCCGATTAATTAAATAGTGATCCACATGTCATTTTATTTTAAGGGTGCTATGGTTTATTCTCCGAATGAAAATGAAGGTATGATGTCAGAAATAAGAAAGATGGTCTAAGATCTGAGTGAGTAAAGACGATTCAAGAGCTGATATAGTAAAGGATATCCAAGGGCTGAGATAGTAAAGAAGATCCAAGAGTTGAGATAGTAAACAGAGCTCCAGATAAGCTGCGTATCTGCGTAAAATACGCATCAGACATGCAGAAATACGCAGTAAAATAAAATCCAAGCGTATCAAATACGCAACGAACATTACAGATACGCTACAAAAATAAAACTTGTGCATATCATCAAAATATTGTGAAGTAACCCTGCCAATTCGATTAGCAAATCAGCAACTTATTTTGAAATTATAAACGGGCATTCCGACAACCTTGCCAAACTCCACGATGACAGTTACATCATGATCATTTGCCATCACACTTTCTTGTGGAAGTATCGTGGTATTTTTGAGTCCTATAAAGCTCTCGAAACCACACGACACCAGTTTGCAGGGACTTGATGAATAGTGTTTTTAAATATTTAACTTAAATACCCACATGTGTAAAAACTAGTGGGTAACAGAAATTAGAATTACTGATACCAAATGATTTTAAAATGCATGGGTAAAATACCCACAACACCAAAAGCTTATCTGCAGCTCTGGTAAAGAATGTCCAAGAGCAGATAGTAAAGGAGGTCCAAGAGCTGATATTGTATAGAAGGTCCAAGAACATATAGTAAAGGAGGTCCAAGAGCAGATAGTATAGTAAAGGAGATTCTCAAGTTTCCAGTTTTCAATAACTCTGCTATGTCAGATGTAAAGAAGGTCCAATTGGGCAAGGTCTGAGAGAGTAAAAGAGGTCAAACTAGGCAGGAGCTGTGACAGGAACATGAAGACAGGCACATGGTTAGCTGCAATGTCATAAAGAGTCACCAGTTTGCCGGACACTTGTCAGGTGCATCTCACAGGTCACAACAGGGTTGGGGAGTTGGGCACTTACGGGGCACGCTTTTTCAGGTTTCTGTTACAACCGTGTGGAGAATCAAACTTTAAAATAGGCTAATGAGTTTACCTAATTAGCCAATACCCTACCACGTCATGACAGGCACTATCACAAATAATTAGTGCTCATTTACCAAGTCAACACTTATTGTTTACCTATATGTGCATGTGCAGTAACCATATTCTCCGCGAAAGTTGATAACAATTGTACGGAGTTTCCTCAAATTACATTAGATTAATTTGTTAATAGAGATAGCTAACCAATACCCTGCCTCATAACTAACCATAAGGATCGTTAAGTGGTGCCTAACCCAAAGGATCGTAAAGGGGTGTTTGACATGCAAGACTTGAAGTGGTGTCCAACCCATAGGATCGAAAGGGGTGCTTGATCAGAAAGGGGATCCAAGGGCTAAGGATAGAGTTGGAGGTAACCCACCCAGACCCTAACACAACTAACCCTAAGGATCGAAGTGTCAAGCGAGATCTGTGAAGCGAAGGCCACAGTCGATAGTCTGATCCATATTAGCGCTGCAGTAGTAAGGAGTGCCCGTTTAACGCCATTGGTACCAAGGATTGACAGCTGTAAATATGGAATAACAGGTGAAATGTGAATTATCCTGAACAAATCTTCCTACCGGTAACGACATTCGAGGACAAATATCTATGGAAAGAACATCGTGGCCGAGTGTGATGTAATAATGCACATCTCAAAATCGAGCAGACGTTTTTCGCCGCCATGCTTTACACCGGAAGCGGAAAAGTATACCTTTGGGTTATACTAAATCCGCCTTAAGGACATGAAATGGACGAGAGTTATTTGAGAATGAAATCCTTCCCATATTCATGAGAAATAGCAAATGAACGGTAATAAAAAAGATATTTGTATGAAGTAATTGAGAATTAGATAACTATAAAAGGTAACAAAAAGCAGAATTGTCACTTGTGTCACCGTAATCATTCGTCGGATTTCGTTTTATATTTGAATTCGTAATTTCGAATTAATCAGCCAGATGGCAGGCGATGGGAGTCGTCTGACAAGAGTGTTTTCGGCATAATTCGATGTGGTTATGCATTGAAAAAAACTTAGCGTTCAAGTCATGGCACAATCATATCTATCTTTATGTTAGTTTGCGTAGAACGTCTCCATGAATATGTAAGAAAGGTTGTCACAGAAGAGGATGGTTGTGATTGACAGCTCGCTACTGTTGAATCTCACGATGCTCCACCGTGTATTGTTTATCAAGTGATCACGACACTCTCGGATATCTACTTTAAAAGATATGCTGTTATTTGTTAATTTTTATTTATTTGTTAGGCACGATAATATTGAAACTGGAAGGGATACAAACTCTTTATTTTTTAAGGCCGACTTAAGACTTTGATGCTTGAATTTGATCAAGCAGATCATATTTGTTAAGATACATCTACGTGATCAGTCAACATTAACACACAATGTCGTTGTTCAAACGTTTGCTTGGTGGCTCAAACCAAGATGTTTCCAAAGGCTCCCCACCCCAGGGAATGCAAGCCATGGGAGCTCAGCTGCAGAGAAAGTTTGCCAAAGGAGTACAGTATAACAGTGAGTTGGGAAGGAGTCTATGGTCTCCATTTCTCCATGGTGCAGTGGATAGAGTGACTGCCCAGGGGCGAATGATTATTGGTTCGATCCCTACCAGCATCATATTAAAACATGTTAAAATATGGTACTTGTTGTTACCCTTCCTGGTGTTCAGAATAAGAGGCTAAAACAAGGCTCTTTTGGTTCAGAGTCAGTATAAAAAATAATGTGGGATATCCATGTTAAACTGTGGCATGGTATATCAGTGGGCAAGCATTATAGAACTGACAAGTTCAGACGAGTACTAGCAGCCACACACACATGCATCAGACAGCTATATGAGTGCAATAATCTTGAAAGTGATGCTTAACCTCGTCACCTACCTGTAACTTCCCCGCACCTCATGTGGTAGATTTACTGATCGTCTTAAGTCTGTCTTGACCAGTTTCTGCGGACTAGACAATCATGACAATATACTTGTAAAACTGTTAATAAAATAATTTCTCACTTGAATTAATAAAAAAATATCTATGACTATATTATGCTTTCATTTTCAGTGAAAATTGTGATTCGAGGTGACCGAAATACTGGTAAGACCTGCTTGTTCCATCGCCTGCAAGGCCAGCCCTTCAAGGAGGAATACATCCCTACCGATGAAATACAGGTGGGTTCAGCTGTGACTTAGGGTTTTACCCCACATTTAGCAATGTATAAAACACCCATCTGCCCGACAATCCGAGACACTCCAGTTTAATGACTGATGGTCAGTTAGGAAAGGTTCCACCCCTGATGGGGTTATTTTTGTTTTTCCCTAAATTTCCTGAGCATTCTAGTTTTAATTCCATGTAAGAGGTCACTTAATTGTAAATGTTAAACACATTATTCAGTCACTTCCGCGTATGGTGATATCAAGTTTCTACTATTCTTATGTTTACGCTTTTGTTACTTTTGTTTGTTAGTCTAGAAGGTTCTGGACTGGCAACATTTTAACTGGTCTGGTAACTTTGCAGAGCTGCCAGTCCAGTTGTTCATCTGAAAATTGGGAAATTTTATACACTGCATTTAGCTGTATTCAAGCTATATTGAGGCAACCAGTGAGTAGCTGGTCAAGACATTGATGAAGATGAAATACCGTAAATAAGAGAAGTAACCATGGTAACAAAGGACTGTGTCTTTAGGTAGCCAGCATCCACTGGAACTACCGCGCCACCGACGATGTTGTGAAAGTGGAAGTGTGGGATGTTGTGGACAAGGGTAAGAAGAAGCGGAAGTCAGATGGGCTCAAGTTGGACAACGCTGCTGATAGCGTAAGTTGTACATTCATTGCATCATGTTTATTTGTTTGGGGTTCATTCCGCAATCAGCAAAATTATACTTTATAGCTGTCAGCCTGGGACAGCATGACAAACCAGTGTTTGACATTATGAGCATCATCTTATGCCATCAAAATAATAGTGATCTATTTTAATAGAGCCATGTCTCAGCTATTATGACCCTAGTCAGTGGATCAGTGTGCCCTTGATTTTCATTCTCATCTGCCTGTATGGAACTAGGAGGTTAACACAAGGTGTGCCCTTTGAGGTCTTGGTGCGCCCTTTGAGGTCTTGGTGTGCCCTTTAGGATCTTTAGGTGCCCTTTGAGGTCTTGGTGTGCCTTTTGAGGTCTAGATGTGCCCTTTGAGGTCTAGATGTGCCCTTTGAGGTCTAGCTGTGCCCTTTGAGGTCTAGATGTGCCCTTTGAGGTCTAGCTGTGCCCTTTGAGGTCTAGCTGTGCCCTTTGAGGTCTAGATGTGCCCTTTGGGATCTAGGTTTGCCCTTTTGAGGTCTTGGTGTGCCCTTTAGGATCTTTAGGTGCCCTTTGGGATTTAGGTGCCGTTTGAGGTCTTGGTGTGCCCTTTTGAGGTCCTGGTGTGCCCTTTAGGATCTTTAGGTGCCCTTTGGGATTTAGGTGACGTTGGAGGTCTTGCATCTTCCCGAGGCAAGAGACTTTAAAAGTCCAGTTTCGACCCTTGCCGAACTAGGCTTCAATTACTGGGCTCGATCGTACCGCCACCAGCGGCTATTACCTGTTATGTCCCTTCTAAGCCTCTCCTATGTACCAATCTGATTCCACCTCTCGTATCACTTGCGTTTGCTTCACACAAAATGGTGGCGCGCGGTCAGGATGATCTGATCGATAATCAAGTTCTATATCATGATAAAACAGGTCTTACAGTTTACGAACCGGATTTCGATTTCGGTGCACAATTTTGATTGGACTATGCATAGACTCGTTAGTCCAGCCAAAATGTAAATCCATAATACCAGCCTAGTTCGGCAAGGGTGGAAACTGGACTTTTATAGTCAGTTAACTCTCTTGCCTCCGGAAGATAGAGGTCTTGGTGTGCCCTTTGAGGTCTAGGTGTGCCGTTTGAGGTTTTGGTGTCCCCTTTGAGGTCTTGATGCGCCCTTTGTGGTTTTAGTGCGCCCTTTGAGATCTGAGTGCGCCCTTTGGGATCTAAGTGCGCCCTTTGGGATCTAGGTACCCCTTGAGGTCTTGGTGTTCAGTTTGGGATTTAGGTGTGCCCTTTGAGGTCTTGATGCGCCCTTTGTGGTCTTAGTGCGCCCTTTGAGATCTAAGTGCGCCCTTTGGGATCTAGGTACCCCTTGAGGTCTTGGTGTTCAGTTTGGGATTTAGGTGTGCCCTTTGAGGTCTAGGTTTGCCCTATGGGAGGATCTAGGTGCGCCCTTTGAGGTCTAGGTGTGCCCTTTGGGATTTAGATGCCCTTTGGGGTCTAGGTGTCCCCTTAGGGGTTTATGTGTGTTCTTTGGGGTCTTGGTGTCCCCTTAGGGGTTTATGTGTGTTCTTTGGGGACTTGGTGTCCCCTTAGGGGTTTATGTGTGTTCTTTGGGGTCTAGGTGTCCCCTTAGGGGTTTATGTGTGTTCTTTGGGGTCGAGGTGTCCCCTTAGGGGTTTATGTGTGTTCTTTGGGGTCTTGGTGGTATGTTGTAACTGCTGATGTTGTTTCTGATGCTGTTACTGTAACTGGTGATGATTTTTATGTTGCTGAAGGCATTGTGGATGATTATGTTGCAGAAGATGTTGCTGATTTTACTGATGATGTTACTGTTTGTGCAGGCTTTAGAGGAACCGTGTCTGGATGCAGAGTTCCTCGATGTTTACAAAGGAACTCACGGTGTCATCTTCGTCTATGACATCACAAAACAGTGGTAAGTACAGATGTGGTTTTCTACAAAAAGCACCAAATTCAAATCTGTTTTTCTCCACAGGTAGAAATATGTTTGAACAACTTTGTATTCACGGTTCCAAAGGTAGTAGTCATGGTAATATGACACAGTGAGGTTTTGCCATGTTTTCAGCAGGCAGGAGGCTGCTGTACTTGGCACATGTTCAACTAAAATACTCCCAATCATATTGTTTATGAGTAATATTTGATGTTCAATATGTTTATCTCTCAGTACTGGTTCCTTTAGAATCATGCAAGGAACTATAGCTATGGAAACAGATCTTTCTTTTTCTCATTTTATTCATTTTTGATCAACAGAATGTGCAGGATTTCTTGTTATTAGATGTGTTGAACTCCTGCAGGACCCATGTCCTCGATGCTGCTCATCCCACCCAAACATTAAGCAAGTCCAGAGGACTTTGTTTCATATGCTCGTGGAAACCCTGACTGTATTGAAACATTGATGCATTTAGTATATACAATGAAAACCTGTCATGTGGTCAGTAGCGTGACAGTTTCAGGGAGGGTTTCACTCACCGGAATATATTTCAGGACATTCACGTATGTTGAGCGTGAGATAGAGCGGATACCGTCTCATATTCCCATCATCGTCCTGGGCAACCACCGAGACATGGGCCACCACAGGACTGTCATCGAGGACAAGGCCCGGGTATTTGTGGAGAGTGTACAGAAAGACAGGTCAGTTTCGGGGCGGTCGGGTAGCCTAGTGGTTTAAGCGTTCGCTCATCACGCCGAAGACCCGGGTTCGATTCCCGACATGGGTACAATGTGTGAAGCCCATCTCTGGTGTCCCCCGCCGTGATATTGCTGGAATATTGCTAAAAGCGGCGTAAAATCATACTCACTCACTCACTCAGGTCAGTTTCACTGGACACCTGGCGTCATCCCACATATTTTCTTGACCAGAGTTAGTGAGAAAACATACAACTTTATGGATAACAACTTCTGGATAATTGCACGTAGCGACATTCGATATACATTCTGACAACCTTATCATTAATATCAAGATTGTGTGACAACAACCAAATGATGATAGGTATAAATGCATGACATGTTGTGATAAGCAGCAGATTAACATTGACAACAACAGGTAATAGTACCCTGACCCCACACTCACCTGGTACCTTATGAAATTCAAAGACTTCTTGTCAGCCCTGGAGAAGAATGAGCTATTATTGTTGACTCCCTCTTGTTTAATGCAACGCTCCTCAGATCGCTGACTGAGACCTAGTCAGACCCAACCAGACAGTTGATGCTTCTGCAGCCTATATCAGCTGTTATACCTATATTGGCTGCTATACCTATATTGGGCTGCTTTACCTATATTGGCTGTTATACCTATATTGGCTGCTATACCTATATTGGCTGTTATACATATATTAGCTATTATACCTCTATTGGCTGTTATACCTATATCAGCTGTTATACCTCTGTTGACTGTTATACCTATATTGGCTGTTATACCTATATCAGCTGTTATACCTATATTGGCTGTTATACCTATATTGGCTATTATACCTCTATTGGCTGTTATACCTATATCAGCTGTTATACCTCTATTGGCTGTTATACCTATATTAGCTGTAATACCTATCAGCCGTTACACCTACAGGCTGTGTTTCAGGACGGAGGGTTCAGCACAAGCCCGGTATGCAGAGTGTTCCATGAGGAACGGGTTTGGCCTCAAGTTCCTCCACATGTTCTTCAACCTCCCCTTCCTCCAGCTTCAGGTAACTGTTGATCCGTCCTTGACCTTTTGGTTGCGTCCACCATGTTGGCATTTTACCCATTTGACCATGCGGAAGCCTTATTTACTGGGAGAATATGCCAGACTCTTTCGTGGTCCACTAATCTATGTATTGTAATTGCGTCCCTCAGGTATTCCGACTGTCTCTATGGTCTAGTGGTAGATTGTCCGCCCGGAAAGCAGAACGTCCTGGGTTCGATCCTCAGCCAAAAGACTTTAAAAGATTGTACTTGTTGTTACCCTGCCTGGCACTCGGCATTGGTTGGCTTGGAGTCAGTATACTGTGTCTGAGTAGGGTGTTCATGTTAAACTGTGGCAATTTATCTCAGTGAGCTAGCACTATAAATCAGCATCAGTCCGGACTAGTACAAACAGCCACATGGTGATGGTGTGTTCAGATCCCAAACTTGCCTGTTTATGAGTCTTGGATTGCCAGCATCATACCCTTGCTATGGTAACTGTCAATATAACTGAAATAATTTTTACATCAGTGTTATGTTGTGTGTGACACCCTGTTGTGTGTGACACCGTGCTGTGTGACACCCAGTGTTATCTGTGACACCTGGTGTTATGTGTGACACCTGGTGTTGTGCATGACGTGTTGTGTGACACCTGATGCGTTGTGTGACACCCCGTGTTGTGTGTGACACCTGGTTCTGTGTGACACCTGGTGTTGTGTGAGGCACCCTGTTTTGTCTGAGACACCTGGTGTTATGTGTGACGCCGGTTGTTGTGTGTAACCCCTGATGCACTGTATGACACCTGGTGCTCTGTAATGTAGAGGGAGACGCTACTGAAGCAGCTGGAGACCAACACACAGGACATGCTGTCCACAGTGGCAGAGCTGGACATCCACGACGACTCCGAGGAGCAAAACTATGACATGTGAGTCAACACACACATACAACACACATGTGAGTCAACACGCATACAACACATGTCATACACACACAATTCACGAGTCAACACATGCACACATTAGTCAACACATGCACAACACACATGTGAGTCCACACATGCACACCACACATGTGAATCAACACATGCACAACACGTGAATCAACACACAACACACATGTGAGTCAACACGCATACAACACATGTCATACACACACAACACATGTGAGTCAACACATGCACAACACACATGTCAATCAACACATGCACAACATGCATGTGAATCACACACACACAACGCATGTGAATCAACACATGCACAACACATGTGAGTCAACACACAACTCGCATGTTAATCAACACAGGCACAACGCACATGTGAGTCAACACATGCACAACTCACATGTTAATCAACACATGCACAACTCACATGTTAATCAACACATGCACAACTCACATGTTAATCAACACACAACTCACATGTTAATCAACACATGCACAACACAAGTGTGAGTCAACACATGCACAACACAAGTGTGAGTCAACACACAGCACATGTATGATTCAACACATACACAGCGCAAATATGAGTTAACACACAGCACACATGAGTCAGCACATGCTCAACACACATGTGAGTCAACACATGCACAACACACATGTGAGTCCACACATGCACAACACACATGTGAGTCCACACATGCACAACACACGTGAATCAACAGATGCACAACACACATGTGAGTCAACACATGCACAACACACATGTGAGTCCACACATGAACAACACACATGTGAGTCCAGACAAGCACAACATACATGTGAATCAACACATGCACAACACAAATGTGAATGAACAGATGCACAACACACGTGAATCAACACACAACACACATATGAGTGAACACATTCACAACACATATGAGTCCACACATGCACAACACACATGTGAATGAACAGATGCACAACACACGTGAATCAACACACAACACACATATGAGTGAACACATTCACAACACATATGAGTCCACACATGCACAACACAAATGTGAATAAACAGATGCACAACACACATGTGAATCAACACATGCACAACACAAATGTGAATGAACAGATGCACAACACACGTGAATCAACACACAACACACATATGAGTGAACACATTCACAACACATATGAGTCCACACATGCACAACACACATGTGAATGAACAGATGCACAACACACGTGAATCAACACACAACACACATATGAGTGAACACATTCACAACACATATGAGTCCACACATGCACAACACAAATGTGAATGAACAGATGCACAACACACATGTGAATCAACACATGCACAACACAAATGTGAATGAACAGATGCACAACACACGTGAATCAACACACAACACACATATGAGTGAACACATTCACAACACATATGAGTCCACACATGCACAACACACATGTGAATGAACAGATGCACAACACACGTGAATCAACACACAACACACATATGAGTGAACACATTCACAACACATATGAGTCCACACATGCACAACACACATGTGAATGAACAGATGCACAACACACGTGAATCAACACACAACACACATATGAGTGAACACATTCACAACACATGTGAGTCCACACATACACAACACACATGTGAATCAACAGATGCACAACACACGTGAATCAACACACAACTCACATGTTAATCAACACATTCACAACACATGTGAGTCCACACACACACAACACACATGTGAATCAACACATGCATAACACACATGTTAATCAACACACAACTCACATGTGAAACAACACATGCACAACACAAGTGTGAGTCAACACATGCACAACACACGTGAATCAACACATGCACAACATACATGTTAATCAACACACAACTCACACATGAATCAACACATGCACAACTCACATGTTAATCAACACACAACTCACATGTGAAACAACACATGCACAACACACATGTGAATCAACACATGCACAACACACGTGAATCAACACATGCACAACATACATGAATCGACACATGCATAACACACGTGAATCAACACACAACACACATATGAGTGAACACATGCACAACACACATGTGAATCAACACATGCACAACACATGTGAATCAACACATGCATAACACACATGTGAATCAACACATGCACAACACACGTGAATCAACACATGCACAACACATGTGAGTCAACACATGCACAACACATGTGAATCAACACATGCACAACACACATGTGAATCAACACATGCACAACACACGTGAATCAACACATGCACAACACATGAATTGACACATGCACAACACATGAATCAACACATGCACAACACACGTGAATCAACACATGCACAACACACATGTGAATCAACACATTCACAACACACGTGAATCAACACACAACACACATATGAGTGAACATATGCACAACACTCGTGAATCAACACACAACACACATGAATGAACACATGCACAACACATGTGAATCAACACGAGCACAACACACGTGAATCAACACACAACTCACATGTTAATCAACACATTCACAACACATGTGAGTCCACACACACACAACACACATGTGAATCAACACATGCACAACTCACATGTTAATCAACACACAACTCACATGTTAATCAACACATGCACAACACTCGTGAATCAACACACAACACACATGAGTGAACACATGCACAACACATGTGAATCAACACGAGCACAACACACGTGAATCAACACACAACTCACATGTTAATCAACACATTCACAACACATGTGAGTCCACACACACACAACACACATGTGAATCAACACATGCACAACTCACATGTTAATCAACACACAACTCACATGTTAATCAACACATGCACAACACAAGTGTGAGTCAACACATGCACAACACACGTGAATCAACACATGCACAACATACATGTTAATCAACACACAACACACATGTGAAACAACACATGCACAACATACATGTGAAACAACACATGCACAACACACATGTGAAACAACACATTCACAACACACATGTGAATCAACACATGCACAACAAACATGTGAGTCAAAACAACACATGTGAATCAACACATGCAAGACTCAAGACTCAAGACTCTTTTATTCTGTAATAAAGGCCTCCAGCCCAGAGTACATGTGTAAATAATCAAGTCAACAATTTTAAGTTACAAACAACAATTACAATCATTAAGAAGAGATCTACTATAATCATCAAGAGGAGGTGAAGCATTCGTAAACTGTATATAGAGTTGTCTCCCTTTAACCTATGAGATAAACCTGCCTTGCCTGTGTGCATTTAACAATATAAAGTGCTTAAGATTCTGACAAAGAATTATCTGTCATAACTTTCTCAAATTTGTCGAGAGTACAAAGATTACTAGTACAAGTACTTGGCAAAAGCATATTTCTGAATTTGTTATACAAGTAACATGATGTAATAAAATGAACTTCATCCTCCACAATTGATACACTCAGATTATCAAAACAATATTTACATACTCTATCCTCTCTAGCAACACCTCCCCACCGCCCAATTTCAACAGCCAGTTTGTGGTTACCACATCTGAATCGACTAAGAACAATTCTTAAATTTGTACTCTTCATATTGTGCAAATACCTTTCAGGCTCCAACACTGATTTGATAATAGAATAATTATAAAGCTTACTTGTTTCACTTATAGATAGTGCCCAAGTTTGTTTCCAACAATCCTGCAACCTTTCCCTACAAATTCTAAGGAAATGGGTTATGTCACCAACACCAAACTAGACCAAATCCAAGTCTGTTCAACAGATATTTTATTCTAGTTGCCCATGTGGCTCTACCAGCCCCATCTAACTGATATAACATCAGATAGCAAGCCTTAGGATACCTATTTGTGGACATGTTTAATATTTTCAGCCAATACTTAATTGAATTGAACATGGTTGTTACATGTAATGGATACCGTCCTAGCTCCCCATACAAGACTGCTGCTGGAGTGTTTGAATTAACATGGAGAACTTTTCTAAGAAATTTGCAGTGCACATTTTCTATAACTTGGACACTTTCAAATCCCCAAACACATGATGCATAACATAAGACTGGAGAAACCATCCTATCAAATAGAAACAAGGACTCTTTAATGTTAAGCTTAGACTTTTTCAAGAATCCAAACAAAATATACAGAGCTTTTTCTCCTTGTTGTGCCAGGGTACTTCTTGCCAAACTCCATGAGAGCTTAGGGGTGAAAAACACGCCAATATACTTATAAGCGGATACTGCTTCCAGAGGAATACCATCATAATGCCACTTTCCCTTTTTTGTTACTATACCACCTCTTCGGAATACCATGACTTATGTTTTCTCCAAATTAACCCTCATCCCATACTGATTGCAAAATCCTCCTAAACAATCTATCTGATTCTGTAACCTTCTAACAGAATCTCCAACATTAGCAATATCATCTGCAAACATTATCAAATTGATGTTTTCAGCATACTCATTGACAAAAATACCCTTGCAATCATTAAACCTGTAATTAGCTCATTCAAAAACAGGGTGAATAACAGTGGGCTTATCATACACCCTTGCCTGGTTCCTATTGTACACTCAAAGAACTCAGACAGTGAAGACTTGTTAACTAGAACACATGATTTTAGCTGACTATACAGAGATGAAATAACTGTGAAAAATTTACCTTTAACACCTTTTTGTAAAAGTACATATTTCAATAAATGGTGCTGGACGCTGTCGAATGCCTTCGAAAAGTCTATGAATAAACAATAGCTGCGCCCTTTTGACTTGGAGAGGTATTTCTGAATAACCGATTGTAATACAAATATATTGTCTATGGTGCTATATCCATTTCTGTAGCCAGCTTGTTCCTCATACAGCTTTTCTTTTTCTTCACACCAGCCAACAAGTCTATTACTTAGTATTTTGGTAAAGGCCTTTCCAATTACTGATAACAAAGATATTCCCCTATAATTATTAGGATCTGTTTTTTCACCTTTTTTTATGAATAGGAAATATTATTGCCTCTGTCCATTGTGATGGGTAAACTCCAACAGATAATATCTTGTTAAATAACCTGTGGATATATGGTAAAAGTATATGAGATACACTATGAAACAACACATGCACAACACACATGTGAAACAACACATGCACAACATACATGTGAGTCAACACACAGCACACAAGTGAGTCAACACAGCACACATATGAGTGAACACATGCACAACACACATGTGAAACAACACATGCACAACATACATGTGAGTCAAAACAACACATGTGAATCAACACATGCACAACACACATGTGAAACAACACATGCACAACATACATGTGAGTCAACACACAGCACACAAGTGAGTCAACACAGCACACATATGAGTGAACACATGCACAACACACATGTGAAACAACACATGCACAACATACATGTGAGTCAAAACAACACATGTGAATCAACACATGCACAACACACATGTGAAACAACACATGCACAACATACATGTGAGTCAACACACAGCACACAAGTGAGTCAACACAGCACACATATGAGTGAACACATGCACAACACACATGTGAAACAACACATGCACAACATACATGTGAGTCAAAACAACACATGTGAATCAACACATGCACAACACACATGTGAATCAACACATGCACAACACACATGTGAGTCAACACACAGCACACAAGTGAGTCAACACAGCACACATATGAGTGAACACATGCACAACACACATGTGAAACAACACATGCACAACATACATGTGAGTCAAAACAACACATGTGAATCAACACATGCACAACACACATGTGAAACAACACATGCACAACATACATGTGAGTCAACACACAGCACACAAGTGAGTCAACACAGCACACATATGAGTGAACACATGCACAACACACATGTGAAACAACACATGAACAACATACATGTGAGTCAAAACAACACATGTGAATCAACACATGCACAACACACATGTGAATCAACACATGCACAACACACATGAGTCAACACATGCACAACACACATGTGAGTCAACACATGCACAACACACATGTGAGTCAACACATGCACAACACACATGAGTCAACACATGCACAACACACATGTGAGTCAACACACAACACACATGTGAGTCAACACATGCACAACACACATGTGAGTCAACACATGCACAACACACATGTGAGTCAACACACAGCACACAAGTGAGTCAACACACATGTGGTGTCCTGGAAACATATTGTGACATTCCATAATGTATGTGATGATGTGTCCACAGTTTCCTGGAGAGTCTGACCATGAAGCGAAGGAAGCAAGCAGAGCAGCAGGCAGAGAAAGCCTTGTCTGACTCACACCTGAAGCAGGACGAGACGGGGGTCATCCGGTCAGCTGATGACCACTCCATCCCCAACAACTCCCCACCCACCTCCACTGGTGAGTTGCTTCATGAAGTAAAACAAACACTTCATTATGGGGGTGAAACGATACAGCAAAGACACGATACGACACATGGGTCACCATACGATACATATTGCTATACACATTTTTATGCCAAATCACATGGAAACGTCTTGACTATAATATTTCAGAGCAGGTTCCAAAGGGAAATCTAGCTGTAGACACATGTTCATGTAGACAACGGCTATTTTCTTTCTTCTCTGAAATTGAAGCGCTAATTACAACACATTTTATGATATTTGACTGACAAAATGTTAAGGGTCATTAAATGAGTAGTAAGTAATTTATTTTAGCAAGTGTATCATCTTATATTGATACAGTAAAAGACATATCGTGTACCATATGGTCGCATGAAAACTCATGATGCCCCGATGTATCATTTGACCTCTACTTCCTGGATGTCTTCCTGAAACTTGAACTATGACCATTAATTGTGATGCAAGAGATCTACGTGCATAAGTTAGCCCTTGTTTTCAAAACAAAAGAATTACATTTCATAAACATAGTTCACACATAAACATGCCTTGCATGTAAACATAAACATTCATCACCATGCATGCCAGTGTGTTTACAGTGGAACTGAGCAGTGAGCATCCAGAGTAAGCTCAACCCCTCACCTTGCCATAGCTGTGAAAAGCTTCAATACAAAGTTTCGAAGTACACAATGAATGATTCTCTCTTATCACTTACGAAAGGTGTTAGGATGGGCTAACACTATTGGCCTCACATCATCTGAGGCTGACCATTTCATTCAAGAAAGACTGTTTCCCTTGTTTGTTTTTTAAAGTAATGCCACTTATTTTATCCCTGTCAAGATGAAACAGCCTCACATTTACACGACTAGATTGATCAGCTACTCCTACTGCAGTTTCAATTTGATGTTTGTTTCAGTCATGTTAGTTACCCTGAGGACCCTTGAAGATCCAGGTTAACATAGGTCTTCATAAGCCCCAGCTTGTGGTAAATGGCGACTATGCTTGTTTTAAAAGGCGCAAAAGGATCGGTGACTTGGTTGATGCATGTCATAATATTCCAATTGCGTGGATTGATGTTCATGATGTGAATCACTGGATTGTCTGGTCCAGACATATATTTTTGAGACCGCCGTCATATAGCTGGAATGTCGCTGAGTGCGGCATTGAACAACAGAGAAAGAGAAAACATGTTACCCTGAGACAGCTCCCAGGAAGGACCAGACTGCAGTGAGGACGAGGTCATGTCAGTGATCAATACCTTGTGCTGATGTCACACTATGCCAACTGACTGTGACAGCTACTTAAACTCATGACCACTGCTGTGTCAGTCTAACAGTCACTACTGTGTTAAACTGACAGCTATACTTACTATGGTAAACTCACGACCACTGCTGTGACAGTCTAACAGTCACTACTGTGTTAAACTGACAGTTATACTTACTATGCTAAACTCACGACCACTGCTGTGTCAGTCTAACAGTCACTACTGTGTTAAACTGACAGCTATACTTACTATGCTAAACTCATGACCACTGCTGTGTCAATCTAACAGTCACTACTGTGTTAAACTGACAGCTATACTTACTATGGTAAACTCATGACCACTGCTGTGTCAGTCTGACAGCCACTACTGTGTTAAACTGACAGCTATACTTACCATGGTAAACTCACGACCACTGCTGTGTCAATCTAACAGTCACTACTGTGTTAAACTGACAGCTATACTTACCATGGTAAACTCATGACCACTGCTGTGTCAATCTAACAGCCACTACTGTGTTAAACTGACAGCTATAATTACTATGCTAAACTCATGACCACTGCTGTGTCAGTCTAACAGTCACTACTGTGTTAAACTGACAGCTATACTTACTATGCGAAACTCATGACCACTGCTGTGTCAGTCTAACAGCCACTACTGTGTTAAACTGACAGTTATACTTACTATGCTAAACTCATGACCACTGCTGTGTCAATCTAACAGCCACTACTGTGTTAAACTGACAGCTATAATTACTATGCTAAACTCATGACCACTGCTGTGTCAGTCTAACAGCCACTACTGTGTTTAAACTGACAGTTATACTTACTATGCTAAACTCACGACCACTGCTGTGTCAGTCTAACAGTCACTACTGTGTTAAACTGACAGTTATACTTACTATGCTTAACTCACGACCACTGCTGTGTCAGTCTAACAGTCACTACTGTGTTAAACTGACAGCTATACTTACTATGGTAAACTCACGACCACTGCTGTGTCAGTCTAACAGTCACTACTGTGTTAAACTGACAGCTATACTTACTATGCTAAATTCACGACCACTGCTCTGTCAGTCTAACAGTCACTACTGTGTTAAACTGACAGCTATACTTACTATGGTAAACTCATGACCACTGCTGTGTCAGTCTGACAGCCACTACTGTGTTAAACTGACAGCTATACTTACCATGGTAAACTCACGACCACTGCTGTGTCAATCTAACAGTCACTACTGTGTTAAACTGACAGCTATACTTACCATGGTAAACTCACGACCACTGCTGTGTCAATCTAACAGTCACTACTGTGTTAAACTGACAGCTATAATTACTATGCTAAACTCATCACCACTGCTGTGTCAGTCTAACAGCCACTACTGTGTTAAACTGACAGCTATACTTACTATGCTAAACTCATGACCACTGCTGTGTCAGTCTAACAGCCACTATTGTGTTAAACTGACAGCTATACTTACTATGCTAAACTCATCACCACTGCTGTGTCAGTCTAACAGCCACTACTGTGTTAAACTGACAGCTATACTTACTATGCTAAACTCATGACCACTGCTGTGTCAGTCTAACAGCCACTATTGTGTTAAACTGACAGCTATACTTACTATGCTAAACTCACGACCACTGCTGTGTCAGTCTAACAGCCACTACTGTGTTAAACTGACAGCTATACTTACTATGCTAAACTCATGACCACTGCTGTGTCAGTCTAACAGCCACTATTGTGTTAAACTGACAGCTATACTTACTATGCTAAACTCATCACCACTGCTGTGTCAGTCTAACAGCCACTACTGTGTTAAACTGACAGCTATACTTACTATGCTAAACTCACGACCACTGCTGTGTCAGTCTAACAGTCACTACTGTGTTAAACTGACAGTTATACTTACTATGCTAAACTCATCACCACTGCTGTGTCAGTCTAACAGCCACTACTGTGTTAAACTGACAGCTATACTTACTATGCTAAACTCACGACCACTGCTGTGTCAGTCTAACAGTCACTACTGTGTTAAACTGACAGCTATACTTACTATGCTAAACTCATCACCACTGCTGTGTCAGTCTAACAGTCACTACTGTGTTAAACTGACAGCTATACTTACTATGCTAAACTCATCACCACTGCTGTGTCAGTCTAACAGCCACTACTGTGTTAAACTGACAGCTATACTTACTATGCTAAACTCATGACCACTGCTGTGTCAGTCTAACAGCCACTACTGTGTTTAAACTGACAGTTATACTTACTATGCTAAACTCACGACCACTGCTGTGTCAGTCTAACAGTCACTACTGTGTTAAACTGACAGTTATACTTACTATGCTTAACTCACGACCACTGCTGTGTCAGTCTAACAGTCACTACTGTGTTAAACTGACAGCTATACTTACTATGGTAAACTCACGACCACTGCTGTGTCAGTCTAACAGTCACTACTGTGTTAAACTGACAGCTATACTTACTATGCTAAATTCACGACCACTGCTCTGTCAGTCTAACAGTCACTACTGTGTTAAACTGACAGCTATACTTACTATGGTAAACTCATGACCACTGCTGTGTCAGTCTGACAGCCACTACTGTGTTAAACTGACAGCTATACTTACCATGGTAAACTCACGACCACTGCTGTGTCAATCTAACAGTCACTACTGTGTTAAACTGACAGCTATACTTACCATGGTAAACTCACGACCACTGCTGTGTCAATCTAACAGTCACTACTGTGTTAAACTGACAGCTATAATTACTATGCTAAACTCATCACCACTGCTGTGTCAGTCTAACAGCCACTACTGTGTTAAACTGATAGCTATACTTACTATGCTAAACTCATGACCACTGCTGTGTCAGTCTAACAGCCACTATTGTGTTAAACTGACAGCTATACTTACTATGCTAAACTCATCACCACTGCTGTGTCAGTCTAACAGCCACTACTGTGTTAAACTGACAGCTATACTTACTATGCTAAACTCATGACCACTGCTGTGTCAGTCTAACAGCCACTATTGTGTTAAACTGACAGCTATACTTACTATGCTAAACTCACGACCACTGCTGTGTCAGTCTAACAGCCACTACTGTGTTAAACTGACAGCTATACTTACTATGCTAAACTCATGACCACTGCTGTGTCAGTCTAACAGCCACTATTGTGTTAAACTGACAGCTATACTTACTATGCTAAACTCATGACCACTGCTGTGTCAGTCTAACAGCCACTACTGTGTTAAACTGACAGCTATACTTACTATGCTAAACTCACGACCACTGCTGTGTCAGTCTAACAGTCACTACTGTGTTAAACTGACAGTTATACTTACTATGCTAAACTCATCACCACTGCTGTGTCAGTCTAACAGCCACTACTGTGTTAAACTGACAGCTATACTTACTATGCTAAACTCACGACCACTGCTGTGTCAGTCTAACAGTCACTACTGTGTTAAACTGACAGCTATACTTACTATGCTAAACTCATCACCACTGCTGTGTCAGTCTAACAGTCACTACTGTGTTAAACTGACAGCTATACTTACTATGCTAAACTCATCACCACTGCTGTGTCAGTCTAACAGCCACTACTGTGTTAAACTGACAGCTATACTTACTATGCTAAACTCATGACCACTGCTGTGTCAATCTAACAGCCACTACTGTGTTAAACTGACAGCTATAATTACTATGCTAAACTCATGACCACTGCTGTGTCAGTCTAACAGCCACTACTGTTGTTACCCTGCAGTGCCCAGGTCAGTGTCCCAGCCTTCCCTGCCCCGTGTCCCATCAACGCCCAAGATGCCTGACATCCCACCACCCACCGCCCCTGCCACATCTGCCAGTTCATCACCAGCCACGCCCGTGGCCTCCCCACCCCCCGTGGAACAGAAGCAGGGCTTCATGTCCAGGTTGTTCAAGAAGAAGCCGAAGGAACCGCCAGAAGTGACAGAACCCCCACCAGGTAGGCATCTTCAAGCACCTGTTGTTACTTAGCAACAGTCATCATACTTAGCAACTGCCATCTTAATAGGCAACTGTCATCTTAGCAACTGTAATCTTACTTAGCAACTGCCTTCTTACTTGGCAACTGTCATCTTACTTAGCAACTACCATCTTAATAGGCAACTGTCATCTTAGCAACTGTAATCTTACTTAGCAGCTGCCATCTTACTTGACAACTGTCATCTTACTTGGCAACTGCTATCTTGCTTAGCAACTATCATCTTACTTGGCAACTGCTATCTTACTTAGCAACTATCATCTTACTTGGCAACTGCTATCTAACTTAGCAACTATCATCTTACTTGGCAACTGCTATCTTACTTAGCAACTATCATCGTTCTTGGCAACTGCTATCTAACTTAGCAACTATCATCCTACTTGGCAACTGCTATCTTAACTAATGTTATATTTGGGATAACACTTTCTTAGTAAAGTACAGATTCTAGTACTTTTTTGGGTTGAGTCCCGTCCGGGATTCGAACCCACACCTGCCAGGGTGAGGCACCTAATCGCAAGCACACAAAGTCAGCGATCTAACCCACTCAGCCACCGAGGCTTCCACAAAATGAAAGTCTGACAACTGGTAGTCTAGATCACGTACTTTGAGTACCCCCCTGACAAGTGTAAATTGGCACGGCTCCCATGGCCGAAAGCTATGAATACAACCCAAAAAAGTACTAGAATCTGTACTTTACTAAGAAAGTGTTATCCCAAATATAACATTAGTTACATTTGACCACTTTCTAAATGGCATTGTGTATTCATAACTGCTATCTTACTTAGCAACTATCATCTTACTTGGCAACTGCTTTCTTACTTAGCAACTATCATCTTACTTAGCAACTATCATCTTACCGTATTTTCTTGAGTATAGTGCTCACTTTTTTTCGAAAAAACACAGCTGTGTAGAAGGGGGTGCGCATTATACACGAATTATGAGTTTGGATGTTTTTTTCCCCCATGGAAAGACATTACTGTGAGCACGAAACACCGGAAATACCATGTCAACAAATCCATACTGAAGTACGCAAAATAATCATGTAATTACACTGTCTGGCTATAAAAAGTGTTCTTTGTATATCTGGACTTATGTTTGTAACTTATTTCATTGATTTTTATTCAAAATTCCTTATAATATTGTTTTTAATCATTTCGGCGAAATCGTGTGTGAAGCGATCGGAAGATCGCACAACTCACTGTTATTAACAGCAACCACAGTCAGAATACCGCTATTGACGCCTTGAAACGAACTTTAGTTGACAGAGAATGGATACATATATCATAAATGACATACTTTGACTCGTTAAAAGTCATATTTGTTTTTGTTTGACGATTCTATGTCAACATGAAATTCACGCGATCACTCGATCACGTGCACGTGAGCCTTGACGGTGACTGGTCGGACTGGTTCCATGTAAAAAATAATACCCGGGAATAGCTATCAGCTGCTTAGCTTAGGGTTATTATTATTTTAAATATGTTTAGTAAAGGCTGCATATAATTAAGAAAATAATGGAATATATTATTCCTGATAAAAAAAAATAGTTTCAGATACAATTGTTGCCGATCCTTGCATTAAAAATCCTATAAAGTTATATCATTGGGTGTGTCTTGACCGAATCACCGGTCGATTCCAAGAAAACGGGTGTACAGCTGATTGCTGTTTCCGGCTTAGTTTACGAGAAAATACACAAGGTAATCTTAATCCCTAGATATAAAACAATGCCTAGCAGAACAATAAATACTATTTAAACGGTTAATAAACATGTCTGGTGATTTTTTATCTCAAATTTCGAATTTGTACTGACGAAGTTTCTCAGCACCTGTTCGTTTGCCGGACTTCCCTGAGAGGGTACGGTGTAATTTTTTTCTGCGCATAAATATTGAATTTTCTTTTTTTTCAAAATATTGAACCCGCTAGAGGGGGGTGCACATTATACATGGGTGCGCACTATACTCAAGAAAATACGGTACTTAGCAACTGCTATCTAACTTAGCAACTATCATCTTACTTATCAACTGCTATCTAACTTAGCAACTATCATCTTACTTGGCAACTATCATCTAACTTAGCAACTATCATCTTACTTGGCAACTATCATCTTACTTGGCAACTATCATCTTACTTGGCAACTGCTATCTTACTTAGCAACTATCGTCTTACTTGGCAACTGCTATCTTACTTAGCAACTATCATCTTACTTGGCAACTGCTATCTAACTTAGCAACTATCATCTTACTTGGCAACTGCTATCTTACTTAGCAACTATCATCTTACTTGACAACTACTATCTTACTTAGCAACTATCATCTTCCTTGGCAACTGCTATCTTGCTTAGCAACTATCATCTTACTTGGCAACTGCTATCTTACTTAGCAACTATCGTCTTCCTTGGCAACTGCTATCTTGCTTAGCAACTATCATCTTACTTGGCAACTGCTATCTTACTTAGCAACTATCATCTTACTTGACAACTACTATCTTACTTGGCAACTATCATCTTACTTGGCAACTGCTATCTTGCTTAGCAACTATCATCTTACTTGGCAACTGCTATCTTACTTAGCAACTATCGTCTTCCTTGGCAACTGCTATCTTACTTAGCAACTATCATCTTACTTGGCAACTGCTATCTTACTTAGCAACTATCGTCTTCCTTGGCAACTATCATCTTACTTGGCAACTATCATCTAACTTAGCAACTATCATCTTACTTGGCAACTGCTATCTTACTTAGCAACTATCGTCTTCCTTGGCAACTATCATCTTACTTGGCAACTGCTATCTTACTTAGCAACTATCGTCTTCCTTGGCAACTATCATCTTACTTAGCAACTATCATCTTACTTGGCAACTGCTATCTAACTTAGCAACTATCATCTTACTTGGCAACTGCTATCTTACTTGGCAACTATCATCTTACTTGACAACTACTATCTTACTTAGCAACTATCGTCTTCCTTGGCAACTGCTATCTTACTTAGCAACTATCATCTTACTTGGCAACTGCTATCTTACTTAGCAACTATCATCTTACTTGGCAACTGCTATCTTACTTAGCAACTATCATCTTACTTGACAACTGCTAACTTACTTAGCAACTATCATCTTCCTTGACAACTGCAATCTTACTTAGCAACTATCATCTTACATAGCAACTGGCATAAGGCACCCAGGAAGGTCTTACATTCCTACTGCAACTATCATGTCTGTGTTTGAGGATGAGGTTAACCATCTTAGACATGCGAGAGTTACGATTATCATAAAGACAGACGCAGAGTAACTACTATTGTAAGTCTGTGTATCAGGATGAGGTTAACCATCTTAGACATGCGAGAGTTACGATTATCATAAAGACAGACGCAGAGTAACTACTATTGTAAGTCTGTGTTTGAGGATGAGGTTAACCATCTTAGACATGCCAGAGTTACGATTATCATAAAGACAGACGCAGAGTAACTACTATTGTAAGTCTGTGTATCAGGATGAGGTTAACCATCTTAGACATGCGAGAGTTACGATTATCATAAAGACAGACGCCATGTAACTACTATTGTAAGTCTGTGTATCAGGATGAGGTTAACCATCTTAGACATGCGAGAGTTACAATTATCATAAAGACAGACGCAGAGTAACTACTATTGTAAGTCTGTGTATCAGGATGAGGTTAACCATCTTAGACATGCGAGAGTTACAATTATCATAAAGACAGACGCAGAGTAACTACTATTGTAAGTCTGTGTATCAGGATGAGGTTAACCATCTTAGACATGCGAGAGTTACAATTATCATAAAGACAGACGCCATGTAACTACTATTGTAAGTCTGTGTATCAGGATGAGGTTAACCATCTTAGACATGCGAGAGTTACAATCATCATAAAGACAGACGCCATGTAACTACTATTGTAAGTCTGTGTATCAGGATGAGGTTAACCATCTTAGACATGCGAGAGTTACAATTATCAGAAAGACAGACTCAGAGTTACTACTATTGTAAGACTGTTAATACTGTTTCAGAGCTACGACCCTCATTAGTCTGTGTTTAAGTGTGACATACAGGATTTGTTTTGTAGAGTCTAAGACCTCCAAGCCAGCAGAGTCTATGGTGAAGAGCGTGGAGGACTTTGTCCCGGACGGTGACGGTCTTGACAGTGCTTTCCTAGACGATGCCCGTGACCCGACCAGCACTGTTAAGCAACAGGCTGACGGAGATTCTGACAGGTGAGTGTCAATTGTCACAGGTTGATGTGAATTCTTCTAATTCCTGCTGTTCTACTGATGGGAGACGAGGACGACTCCCAACGAACAGCTACTTCTTGTTTAATGATTTAGTGTATAGCAACGGAACAATTTTATATGAGAGAGAGCACTTCATTTTTATATGCCACTGATTGTAAGGGCTGGAGTGGAAATGAGCTCCAGGCTGTGGTGGATTGTCTCCTTTTAGTAAATTATTATTTGGTACTTTTGAAAACTTTGTTTCACAAGTCATCAGACTTTGTAGCTAGTGCTGCTGAACAAGACAAAACTGCCTCCTGTGTTTACATGTTGTGTCGGTTTATTAGCCCATCGGGTCCGGTGATGGGGATTCAAAATTGTACAAATGGTGGGGCTGACTCCCCAAGGGTCTAAGGGACGGGGCCAAATAGGAATAATTTGGCTATATTGCTTTAAACGACTTCCTCTCTGGAACAAGGACTCGCATGCACTTCGAAGACTGGTTATTACTCCTGACTCCCAGAATACTGACTTCCTCTTTGTGTTGCAGTGATGACGAAGGCAACAACCCAATGGTAGCAGGTTTCCAGGACGACCTGGACTCTGAGGATGAGCGTCCCATCAGTCAGACAGCAACCCCTGCTGTGTCAGGGGTCAAGGACATCGATCTCACGAGTGAGGAGGAGGAAGAGGACCATGTGGACATTCCGGAGTCAGAGGTACGGGTCATCTCCCAGGACGTGGACATCTCCTCCAGCGACGAAGCAGCAACAGTGACAACAAGCTTCACCAAGGCAGCACCAAGGGAGGTAACTCCCACTGTGAAAGTGGCCGCTGTGGACGTGAGTGTGTCAGAGTCGGAGAGTGACGATGGTGAGAGGAAGGACACACAGGGGGATGACCTGGGGGGTAGAAAGGGGAGTGAGGGAGGACAGAGTTGGGGTAGCAAGGAAGGCCACAGCAATGGCCGAGGTGGTGCTACGCCGACACCAGCTGCCGACACCAGTATGGAGGAGGACGTTGAGGGCAATGCTGGTATCGATGTTCCACAGGAGGACTTCAGTAACTGGCTGGACCAACTCGAGGAGAAGGTGAGACGTTCCACAACAACCAGCTTAAGCTGTAACAACATCTACTAGGGATCTCTCATATAAATATCAGGGGGCACAGATGTCTTACATGCTGCAATTCACTGTACTAGAAACTTATGATTGTAGCTTCGAATCATGGTTCCCCCTGTTTAGGTTCCTAGGTTTCAGCTAGCATCTAAGCAGGAATCAGGACCCGTGAAGATTCTGGGGTAGAATAGGTCTTCAGCAACCCATGCTTGCCGTAAAAGGTGACTATGCTTGTGGTAAAAGGCGACTAACGCGATCGGGTGGTCAGGCTCGCTGACTTGGTTAATACATGTCGTCGATCCCAATTGCGTGGATCGATGCTCATGATATCAATCACTGGATTGTCTGGTCCAGACTTGATTATTTACAGACAGCTGGAATATTGCTGAGTGCGGCGTTAAATAACAAACAAACCAACCAACCAACTAAGCAGGAATCAGGATTTCCCTAATTATTATTATTATTATTATTATTATTATTTACTCCCTCATTCTCAGCTCCCTGTGGAGTATACAGTTTTTTGCCTCTGTTTAGTCCACTCCAGTTGTCGTGAGAAACAAGTCCTCCAAACCTCGCCAGAAGAAGCCGTCCACAGAGAGTGAGGATGACTGTAGAATCAGTAAGTGTCTGATCCACAGAGTGAGGATGACTGTAGAATCAGTAAGTGTCTGACCCACAGAGTGAGGATGACTGTAGAATCAGTAAGTACCTGATCCACAGAGTCAGAATGACTGCAGAATCAGTAAGTACCTGATCTGCAGACACTCAGGGTGAATTTAGAATCAGTAAGTGTCTGATCCACAGAGTCAGGATGAATTTAGAATCAGTAAGTGTCTGATCCACAGAGTGAGGATGACTATAGAATCAGTAAGTACCTGATCTGCAGAGACTCAGGATGAATTTAGAATCAGTAAGTACCTGATCCACAGAGAGTCAGGATGACTGTAGAATCAGTAAGTACCTGATCCACAGAGAGTCAGGATGACTGCAGAATCAGTAAGTACCTGATCCACAGAGAGTCAGGATGACTGCAGAATCAGTAAGTACCTGATCTGCAGAGACTCAGGATGACTGTAGAATCAGTAAGTACCTGATCCACAGAGAGTCAGGATGACTGCAGAATCAGTAAGTACCTGATCCACAGAGAGTCAGGATGACTGCAGAATCAGTAAGTACCTGATCCACAGAGAGTCAGGATGACTACAGAATCAGTAAGTACCTGGTCTACAGAGACTCAGGATGACTGTAGAATCAGTATCTGATCCACAGAGTCAGGATGACTATAGAATCAGTAAGTACCTGGTCTACAGAGACTCCAGATGACTGTAGAATCAGTAGTAAGTGTCTGATCCACAGAGAGAGGATGACTATAGAATCAGTAAGTACCTGATCTGCAGAGACTCAGGATGAATTTAGAATCAGTAAGTACCTGATCCAAAGAGATAGAGGATGACTGTAGAATCAGTATCTGATCCACAGAGTGAGGATGACTACAGAATCAGTAAGTACCTGGTCCACAGAGTGAGGATGACTGTAGAATCAGTGTCTGAACCCACAGAGTGAGAATGACTACAGAATCAACGATACGAAATAGCCACTGATAATGTGACTCTCTTTTCCCCAGAAGCAATCAGCTCCGATGTAGAAGAAGCAGAGACAAGCATTGTCAAGTCCACAAAGAAGAAAAAGAAAAAGAAGTCTGAGGATAAGGTGAGACAGACTGGTCCTGTCCAATGTTGCATTATGGGATTGACCCAACATTTGATGTCCTATATATAATAGAGATTGACCCAAGACTTGATGAACTATGCCATAGGGATTGACCCGAGACTTGATGTACTACATCGTAGGGATTGACCCGAGACTTGATGTACTACATCGTAGGGATTGACCCGAGACTTGATGTACTACATCGTAGGGATTGACCCTAGTATTGATGTACTACATCGTAGGGATTGTCCCAAGACTTGATGTACTACATCGTAGGGATTGACCCAAGACTTGATGTACTACATCAAAGGGATTGACCCTAGCATTGATGTACTACATCATAGGGATTGACCCAAGACTTGAGGTACTACATTGTAGGGATTGACCCAAGACTTGATGTACTACATCGTAGGGATTGACCCAAGACTTGATGTACTACATCAAAGGGATTGACCCTAGCATTGATGTACTACATCATAGGGATTGACCCTAGTATTGATGAAATACATCGTAGGTATTGACCCAAGACTTGATATACTTCATCATAGGGATTGGCCCTAGACTTGATGTTCTGTATCATAGGGATTGGCCCAAGACTTAATGTGCTACATCGTAGGGATTGACCCAAGACTTGATGTACTATGCCATAGGGATTGACCCAAGGCTTGATGTTCTGTATCATAGGGATTGGCCCAAGACTTAATGTGCTACATCGTAGGGATTGACCCAAGACTTCATATACTATATCGTAGGTATTGACCCAAGACTTGATGTTCTGTATCATAGGGATTGGCCCAAGACTTAATGTGCTACATCATAGGGATTGACCCAAGACTTGATGTACTATGCCTTAGGGATTGACCCAAGACTTGATGTACTATATCGTAGGGATTGACCCTAGGTTTATGACTATATTATTGGTCCTAGATTTGAGACACAGTATCAAAAGCCGCCCAAAGCGATACTCTCACTCACTCACTCACTCACTCACTCACTCACTCACTCACTCACTCACTCACTTCAATTGCTTGACTGAATTATTGCAGGAGGAGGAGAAGTCTCAGAAGAAGACAAAGAAGAAAAAGGAAAAAGATGGAGATGGAGAGAAGAAATCAGCAAAGAAGGAGAAGAAAAAAAGAAAGAAGAAGAAGGAAGAAGAAGATGATGTGGACGACCAGCAAGAGAAAGATGACCTGGAGGCCTTCCTGGGAGAGCCAGAAGCAGGCCGGTCTGTGGGGGGGGACTACCAGTCGTTATAGCACAGGGTGAGCAGGATTTTGTGTGCTGGGAATACGGATAGGGAATAATGATGTGTATATACAACACGCTGAAGTCAGGAAGAGGTGATGAGCGTTGAAGCACAAGGAATGGAAGATGGGATTGGGTGTTCATATTGCAAGGCAAGTGTTATGAGTGTTTATTACACGGGGAAGGAGGAAGGGAGTTTGTGCAGCCCAACTGAGGAGGAAGACTAGTTTGTGGAACTTGAAGAGCAAGGCCTGGTGACTGGAGAGGGCTAGGAGTTTCTACGTCACAGAAGAGATGAGATCAGGTTCAGAGAAAACTTTGTCTGGTCATGGAGGCCTTCAAGTAACCATGGTAACAGTGGCAGGACCAGCTGTTGATCACAGTCAGACCAAGCTCCAATGTGGAGGAAGTTGTGTAACCCTCAACCAGAGATTGAGGCTCCATGGTATGCCAGTGTCAGATTGAGGCTCCTTGGTATGCCAGTGTCAGATTGAGGCTCCTTGGTATGCCAGTGTCAGATTGAGGCTGGATGGAATGCCAGTGTCAGATTGAGGCTCCTTGGTATGCCAGGGTCAGATCGAGGCTCCTTGGTATGCCAGTTACAGATTGGGGATCCTTGGTATGCCTGTGACAGAGTGGGGATCCTTGGTATGCCTTTGACAGAGTGGGGATCCTTGGTATGCCAGTGTCAGATCAAGGCTCCTTGGTATGCTAGTGTCAGATTGGGGATCCTTGGTATGCCTGTGACAGAGTGGGGATCCTTGGTATGCCTGTGACAGAGTGGGGATCCTTGGTATGCCTGTGACAGTGGGGATCCTTGGTATGCCAGTGTCAGATCAAGGCTCCTTGGTATGCCAGTGTCAGATTGAGGCTCCTTGGTATGCCTGTGACAGAGTGGGGATCCTTGGTATGCCTGTGACAGATTGGGGATCCTTGGTATGCCTGTGACAGAGTGGGGATCCTTGGTATGCCAGTGTCAGATCAAGGCTCCTTGGTATGCTAGTGTCAGATCGAGGCTCCATGGTATGCCAGTGTCAGATCGAGGCTCCTAGGTATGCCAGTGTCAGATCGAGGCTCCTTGGTATGCCAGTGTCAGATTGAGGCTCCTTGGTGTGCTGGTGTCAGATCGAGGCTCCATGGTATGCCAGTGTCAGACTGAGGCTCCATGGTATGCCAGTGTCAGATCGAGGCTCCATGGTATGCCAGTGTCAGATCGAGGCTCCATGGTATGCCAGTGTCAGATTGAGGCTCCATGGTATGCCAGTGTCAGAATGGTATGCTAATGTGACTCTGAGACTACATTGTATGCTAGTTTTTGGAAACTGGGTTTTGTTTTCTAATAACCAGATTAATGCTATGGTCATGAAGTATTCCTGAACAACAAAACTGACAGAAGAGTCTGCTGATGTCTGAATGATCTTGTTGTGGAGCCTCATTGATCTACCTTATGATCAGAACTAACAACATTGGGACATATGCAAGCAGGCCCACCTGTGTGGGTGGGCTGCCATGTCCCCAGGCTCCCATTGGTGGCCTCATCATTGTATGTCTGTCTGTGGGTCCACACAGTATTCAATGTCTGTCTTAATGTGCATGGAGTCCTGTCCAACTATTAATGAATTTTATTTCATGCTTCATGTTTTCTCCTGGAAAATTACATTCCTCACCAAGGCAGCGTTATCAGAACATGATGACTGTCTGGTGACAGGTCCCAAACAAATCATCCTTATTAGAGCACTGACACCTCTTACTGTTGGAACCTTCCACTCCTGTGGGGAAGGAGTTGTTGGTGTTTCAGATTCCATTTTTAGAGAAGTGTTTGCTATGTTTACACTAATTTTGACAATTGTGACAGCTGTGATTCTAAGTGCAATAGTTTGTTCCTGTGGTGTCTGAAATTATGTCTCTTAATAGAAAGTAAAAGAATTAGGTTTGTCAAGTTAACTGAACTTGTCTCCCTTTGTTGTATAGGTTATCTCCCCCCTTATGGTATGGGTTTTCTTCCCTGATTGTATGGGTTGTCTCCCATTAGTCTATGGCTTGTCTCCCATTAGTCTATGGCTTGTCTCCCCTGATTGTATGCGTTGTCTCCCTTAAGTGTATGGGTTGTCTCCCTTGATTGTACATTAACCCTGTTAACCAGAGTGTAACACCAAGAGTGTAAGTCTATATATCTGTGCATTATCCCAAGGTATCAACAGAGTATACTGTTTCTTGTGTAGCCATGACAACTAGAGTGAAGATGATAGGAGTCTGATATGAATGTTTTCTTTGATCAGGGGTTGATGAAAGAGAAACCTCGGCAGTGGGAGGTGCTTCACAAGAAACACTGCAGGCAGTCAGGGGCAGACCCAGTGTAATCTCAGCGCTGTCCTGAAATAGTCATCAAGATGAATCCATGACTGAGTGGCCACGTTGTGCATTTATTGCCTCAAGAAATATTAACACAACTAGCATTTAAGACAAATTATTGAAATACCAGATGTAAATTTTTATCACATCTGTAACTAGTTGTTAAGGTAACTTATTCCTGTAAGACATATATTGTCTAGCTGCGTACAGACACTTCACACCTGTTACTTGAAGCACCTGTACTGCTGTCTACCAGGTGAAGCAGTCAGTATGGCGGCCTCTGTATCCACTACTCAACTTCTGATGTTACTTGAAGCATCTGTACTGCTGTCTACCAGGTGAAGCAGTCAGTATGGCGGCCTCTGTATCCACTACTCAACTTCTGATGTTATTTGTAATCATGGAATAATTGGAATATGTTCAAGTACAGTAGAATATGTGTTCACCATGACAACATCCTCTGCTGTTTAACCCTCATCTAGGTAACATAAGCACCTGGAGAAACAAACCAGTCATCCCATGTGCTTCCCTCCAATCACAATGTGTGAAATTGGTGGCCCTCCATTCAAACTGATGCATATCTCTCTCTCTCTCTCTCTCTCTCTCTCTCTCTCTCTCTCTCTCTCTCTCTCTGTGTCTCTCTCTCTCTCTCTCTCTCTCTCTCTCTCTCTCTCTCTCTCTCTCACAGAGGCATGGATCATTACTCACAATGTCAGTCACTCGATTGTCTGGTCCAGATTTGATTATTTACAGGCCACTGTCATGTAGCTAGAGTTTGCTATTAAACAACACTCTCACTCACTCACTCACTCACTCACTCACTCACTCACTCACTCTACAAACTAACATGGGGTCACAGTGGTCTTAGGTTCTGGATCTACAAGTTCATGTGCAGAGTTGTATCCCTTTATTGTGCCAGGATTAGCTTATTCTGTATGCTTACTTGTCCTTGGTTAGTCAGCACCCTACTCATGCACAAAGGTTTATCTGAGGTACAGTTATATAACTCAACCCCAGACGAATTCTGCAACTAAAAGTTCAAAATTCTACGGTAAAGACATACCCGTTTCCCCCTCAAAAATTAACACAAACTCATTTTTGGAAAACTCAAATCCAAATCCCAAACAAAATATTTCCACAAACTGTTATTATTGACAGTTATCATTGGATAAGCCATCCATACAATAATGAAAATAAATATGCACAGTGTTTACATATAAGCAAATATACATGTCAGTGACATAGTGTTTGTGGTCATCAGACAAATGTTTAAGAGTGAGAATTATTTATTTCAAATTTTGTTTTATTGTTGGATTCAAATTTTGTATGTTTAAAAGCATGTAAAATGTTTTTGCATCATTCGAGTACAGAAATTTGATAGAAAAGCTTGAAAATAATTTTTAAAAATTGGTTTATTGATAGGTTTTAAAAGGCAAATTCCGTGATAATTCTGTGGTAAGATTTTCTGCAAATCTTTCCACTATTGCAGAACTGAACACTGTTACAAGCTGACTACTCACTCCCAATTTAGAATAGAGGACAGTTGTCAATAGTGAGCCATGGCAACCACTGCTGTGAGTTTCTCTGGACTAAATATTGAGACTAAGTTCAACAATGAGTTAATCACAAATTATAACTGAGAAACAAATTAGAATTATTGTCACAGAGGAGGTGAGACAGGCAGCAAGGTTAGAGGCATCCTCCCTTCCAGTAGTCCTGCTTCAAGTATACACAGTTGGAGTGAGTGAGTGAGTGGGGACCCCTGGATCAGTAAGTGTCAGTAACTCCCAGCTGTCTGTGTGGTTGTACAGCGTGATCATAGCGCTAAGGTCATCATAACTCCAATACCTCAACAAGACAGTCGTGGAGCTAAGGTTGTTTTGTACAACTTCACCCTGAACAATACAAGTCATTGACTGAATGCAGGAGTAACCACATGTCATGACCTGATCACCACAGTGACATGAACATGATGTTGTACGCCTCATAGAGGCATTTCAACTGGCATGTGGTTACTGGTATCATAGCTGCAGCCACAGTGTGATGTATACAGTGAAGCCTTACCCGTGTCAACTTGAACTTCCTTGATACATCATCCCCCTAGAACTGACAGGGATTCCATTAGTATCTTTTCTGTCTCGAGTTCGTTGGTGGCCAACCATTTGATATTGTCAAGGAGGCTTGGGATTTTTTCCAGAAAAATAAATTGTTCCTGAAATCTTGAAAAAAAGAAATATGCTTCATATTTATTGTTTAAAAAAAAGAAATTGTCTGCCACAAAAATAACATTGTTGCAATATTTCTGTTGAAAAAGGTATTTTTAAAAATATATCTGGTTTTGCAGCTGTAGCTGAAACAATATCTGGTCTCGATACTAAATGCCAGCCCCCCAAAGAATATCAAATGGTCGGTCCCTTAACATGGCATGGCTCCATGTATTCTGGTGTAAGTTGTGAAGGATGGTACGGTTGTCCACTAGTCAAGAATCTTGACCAGAAAGCCGAGTTTGATTCCCATGTGTAAAGCATGTACTTTGCCAGCCAGCCTGGTCGTGTAGTGGATCTAGTGTATTCGATCTCTGACCATGTGTTGTTGTAATGAAGAAGTAGTCTGTTGTAGTTCTGATGTTACAAGTCCTTGTGTGTGAGGTTTGTTGACAGTCAGATCATCCTGTACTTTGTGGATATGTATATACTGTTGCTAGGTGACATGTCAAAGTCAAATTGTGAATAAAAATGTAATATATTTGTCTTAAATAAAAGTCTTCCTGCCAAGACAAAGTTGACTCATTAAGTTTGTATTAAATACAGTGCAGCAGTGGCAGAATGTCGATGGGAGCAGTTTTTGTGACTGGGTCAGCAGTGTCCTCCAGGAGATGGAGTCGGACAACTACAGGGCAGCCCAGAGGGAGATAACCAGCGTGCTCTTCCGCTACATGGTCCCAGCTGCAGCTCCTAAAGTACAGCAGGACACGGTAGGGACAAGCTACCAGCAACCACAAGCCGGAACATGATTGCAGTCTCAAGCCAGAACCAGCTGCCATCCACAAGCTGGGACCAGCTTCCAGAAAACAACTTCTTTTTCTCAGTTGGACCAACAGTGGCAGCCTCACCCCTCCAAGTGTCCCAGACAGATGCCAGCAGCCTCTGTGTGGGGTCCATGGAGTCTACATACATGCAACAGGCCATGCCCCAACAGTACAATCGCTCATCCAGGTGCTCTCCCTCCAGCATGCCTGTCCAGGTTACCAGCATTCTGAACATCTCCAGTGGCCTCAGCTCCTTGCTTGATGATCCAGTTAACCAGGACACACCCCTTGTCACCATGATGCTGGGCCCGTGATCACAGAAGAGACAGCAGCAACCACAGGGACAGGCTGAAACTAGATTACAGTGATCGATGCTTTGGAGTATTGAGTTCAAGTTGTGTGTAATGTGTTCAAGCTGTGTGTACCCACTGATAGTAACATTTGGGAGTAGTCTAGTAGTGTCTATTTTGTTCTGTTTAGTGTTTAATAAATAGAACTGAAATGTTCTGGAAGCAAAATAAAACTTTATAAAATGTTCGTAGAACTTTCAAGAAGAATACTTTTATCTGAAGTGTTTTTTAAAACTTCTAATACAATTTATTATTGTCTCTTAATGTTAGAAATGTATTAATGTCTCATGTATTTCAAAGCGTCACTCTCGCTATTGCACAGTCAATTATTGCACAACTATAAATGCTGCTCAGGTGCCACCATGATATCCTGCCATGGTACCGAGCCAGCTTCACTGTTGAAGTACAGTCTGGGGTACTCTCGCATCTGTTTGGCTTCCGTAGTGTCCCTGTTGGGCCCCACTGTGTGGTACACCTCTTGCATGTTGGCGTGCTGCCTCCACTCACCAGGGATCAGGTTTTGCTGCACATCCTCTGTCCAGGTCCGCATCCTAGCTGCTGAGCAGGATATCTGTTTCTCATGACGTTGTGCAGGCAGATGGCAGCCTCGACAATGTCTCGGACCACATCAGGACCCAAGATGTCGAATGTGTTCTCCAACACCCGCCTGCCCCTGGAAATTCTGTAGTTGGCAATCTGCTGGGACCTCATCATACCTCTGCGGGAGTATGGCTTCATGAGAGACGTCCTGAGGGCGCTGCGATTCGCACGTCAGAAACCTATGATTGTGGGTTCGAATCCCGGTTCGCCCCAATTATGTTTCTAGGTTTGTCAGCACCATACCGTGCTCATGGGTTTTTACAGAAGTGGTAAACGTCTGAGACCTGCATCACTTCGGGCTTTCCTCCCACATTAAGCTAACACGCTGCGATATAACTGGAATACTGTTAAAAGCGGTGTTTAACCCAACTCACTCCTCATATTTGTGTCATCCTTGCTGATTCTTTGGGAGACCCTTTGCAACAGTTCATCAAAACATGGCGGGCTCCATCCTCATGAAGTTGTAGAATGAACTGTGTCCTCTTCCCTTAGTTCCTCCATGAGTCATAATGGCCGTATTGAAGCCTCGTCAGCAGCCAACCAGGGTCTCACCCAAAAGGTCTTACTTCTCCTTCTTCTCTGAGGTTGTTGCGCCAGAATAGCAAGCTGTTGGTTCACGATAGCATGATTCATGAAATTAAAAAGCACTTGAAAAATGGCAGCGTCTCTGTGGTTCATGATTGACTAGGACCTCAATTGTGTTGTAAATAACTGTTGCTTGGGTGTAGTGATGTATGATTTATAGTGCTAGCTCACTGAGATACCATTCCGGCGGTCTGTAAATAATCGAGTCCGGACCAGACAATCCAGTGATTCACACCATGAGCATCGTTCCACGCAATTGGGATACGATGACATGCATCAACCAAGTGAGTGAGCCTGACCACTCAATTCCGTCGGACGCCTCTTACGACAAGTATTGTCTCCTTTTATTGAAAACATGGGTTGCATAAGACCTATTCTACCCCCGGATCTTCACGAGTTCCATGTCAGAATGATGAGATCTGATTGGTCTACGTGATCTTGATAAAATAATATGTATCCTGCCTTGGAGGAAAATACTTTTTCTCAGCGGAAGAATAATCCTGTATACCCCAGTAGTATAGTGTCACTAGGCAGGAGCTGGTTTTGGTTGAGGGAGGTTGAGTGAAAATAGGGAAGGTGATTGGTTGATCCAAGTCACGTGTTCGGATAGGATGACTCATGCATCAACAGCGCGTCGGGAAAGGGTGGGGAATGAAAGGTGTGTGTGAAAGGCAGAAAAGAATTCATAAGAAAACCAAAGTAAAAGGTTATGAATAGAGCTATGCGTATAGCGTGCCGCCCTAAATAGACAGACTCACGTGACCACGTCGATTCAAATTGTTTATTGGTCATAATAGTTTCGTTTATTTCAGGCGTTAGTAGAAATTACAATTAGTGTACAACTCACGTAGTCGTTTCAAATTGACCGCGCTCGCTAGAGCGTGCGACCTGGTTTGATGAATGCAGGGTGTGTGTTGAAAGTACATCATACCACAATAGAGAAGGGTTGTGTCAACAGGATATACACCGGTAATGTAGGGGAAAAAATGTACGTCTAGCTGGATCAAATTCATCTTGTACGGTCTACACGTTGTACATCACGAACGTTAGACAACCTGTATAGAAAAAAATATATATATAGACAAAATAGATAAGACTACGCAATCAGCAAGCTAGCAGTGTCGTTTAATTACATTTAGCGCGCAACAACGAGGTAGTCACGTCACCCTGCATTGACTATAACGCTGAAGGCAACCGGATTTCGAATCACCACGCGCTGCGTAATATTGTGAACCATTTGTAAAGAATTATTCAACCCTGTCCCGACTTGCATAGTTGATATTTCAATGCTAGCTTTTCCATTTAACGCGATGACAAATAAGCCCTACGGTTTGAGTTTTAACCGTGTAACATGATGTGCACAGTTTTACTTCAGAACGTGCTATTTTGAAAATAGATAGAAAACTGATAAGTACATGTACCCGTGTGACGGCACGAAGCTAGGTTTGTTGGGAAAGTGATGGAAGCAATCTATAGGACATTTCCATGTTTACAATACTCACCCTTAATTCGAAGAGAGACAGAGTTTATCATGGAAAATTGTTTGATGAACTCGCCCGCACACATGTCTATAGGGTTATGTTCGCCCGAACTGTAAACAGTGACACATTTTATAACAGGAAGGGTGTGTGGAATGCACTCGTCCTTGTAAGGGTAAAAAACGCGTTAAAACTCACCATTTAAATGATGATGACATTACTTTTTAGATGTATTGGTATCAGTGAGTGAGTGAATTTAGTTTTACGCCACACTCGGCATTATTCCAGCTCTAGGACGGTGGTCTGTCAATAAACGAGCTTGGACCAGACAATCCAGTGATCAACAGCATGAGCAGCGATCTGTGCAACTAGGAACCGATGGCACGTGTCATCCGAGTCGGCGAGACTGACCAACCGATCCCTGTCAGTCGCCGATAAGCATGGGGGTTACTGAAGGTCGATTCTATAACCCGGGACCTTCACGGGTGTAGTATGACGAAGACTATATACTAATATGCCAAAAAAATGAGAAAAAACAAACAATTCATTCGTATCATTTATTGATTCGAGCCAATCGGTTCCATACAAAGCCGTGATATACGAATGGACAATAGTATTCACTCTGGAACATTATTCAGTCACTCATATACACATGCTGCTGCTGCTCGAAGGCCCTATTGTTTAAATAGCGAGTCCATGTTTTGAAACACATTTCGCACTGTTGAATGTTTCCTTCTCTACGCTGTTTTAAGGTTGAATGGTTGTCTTTCGTCTTTGCTTTATCCATTGCTTGTAACGATTTCCGTCCAGGAGGTCCCAGTTTCACCATTCCTCTCACGTACAGGGAAATTCGGGGTTTCTTATCTTTCAAACGCCTCAGTTTACGAGGTGTTTTCAAAATATGAATCAAACTAGACGCGTGGCGTTGACTCGGCATTCTCTTCTGACTGTTAGACTGATATAGTAGTGATGGGTATTTATGCCTAATCGTTCTGCTCACGATCATCATCCTCCTCCTCGTCATCACTGTCGTTATCCTCTGCAACGCTATCAGATTCAGTCTCACTTTCTATTTCCGGCATATCCATCAAAGGCAGGATCTCTTTCATCTTGGGTTTTAGGAGTTTGATTTTATTTTTGAGAACGGATTGTTCCGTGGAAGGATTCATGTCTCCCAGGTTGTATAGCATGTTTTGAAACAGAGGTGCCTCTTTAAAGTACGTGGTATATTCCATCGCATAGTTGAGAGTACTACGCACTAGATCCTCCCACCTCAGTTTCAATCTTCTCTCAATCCATTCTTGCGTTCGTCCCTGTCGCTTGTACTGTTTTTTCTGCAGTTTCATCTTGTCATGAAACGTATCGTACACCTGCTTCCAGATGCGTTGTAAGCCTACATTTTGCCACTTCTCGGCTTCCATATTAGTGAATGTTGACTTCCCACGTGGAGGTTTGACGGCAAGGCCACTGCCTTTCTGGGAAGAGGCTAGGTCGTCAAAGTCACTGTCATCGTCATCACTCTCGAGTCTGGCACGCTTTCTCTTAGGTTGAAGTCTATTGGCCGGACACCAGTGTTTGATATGTCGCTGTAGATCGTGCATGTTATCTATCAGCACCCCGCAATCTGCGCAAGCCATGGCCATAGTCAATGATGTCTCACTACTCGTGTCTGAATCGGTTTCAATTGGCGTGAGCTGATGTTGGGGCAATCTCTCTTCTTGTCTCAGAGGACGATCCAG